TACAGCCACGGGGGTTACTGCTTCCAAGGAGAGGGAGTCATCGACTTCCAGGACTGTTTCGCGTGTGGAGACAGTGGTTACGAAAAGGGTACCAATTGCACTTCCAAAACGTGCTGAGAAAGAGAAAGAAAAGCAAAAATGCCAGAACCAGAGCCAGTAGCTGAACCAGATGCAGAAGACGAAGCGGACGAAGACGAGATTCGAGAGATTCCACCTCAACCTGCCGCACAAAAGAAACCTGCGAGAGCGCGTCTACTTCGTGCGCGCAAAGGGGTCACAACTGATAACTCGGTATGCATCCTCTTGATAGGTCTTGTGGATGACCGATCATATGTTATTTAGGACGAAGAGCCTGCTGCCGCGTCAAAGACGCGAGATGCCAGTACTGAGCCTAGGGCTCGTATAGTTACTACCACAACAGCAAGAAAACCGAAAATAGACGTTGAAACGGTACTTTTCCTTCCTTCTTCCTATCGCGAACATCTCATTTCACTCCTGCAGGCCTCAAAAAACCCGGCGGCCCGCAGTCGTGCCACCCCTGTCCCAGTTGCTCGATCTGAGCCAACAAAGGCACGCCCACGAGTTTTTGCGAAGCCAAAGGCCGCAACCACGGCAACCCGTGCCCCTCACGGAGCAAGATGCGTAGTACGGAAGGCGACGATGATGCTGATGGGGATGACCCCCTTGATTCAATCGCGCAGCCTGAAGCCCCGGCTCCCATACAGAGGGCGAGACGCACACGGGCGGTGACCGCACCTGTGAAAGAGGAGGATGTCGATACTATGGTTCCTGGCAAGGCGAAGAGCACATCAACGACCCGCAGGCGTGCGGTGACAGCGGTGGATAAGGAAAATACCCCATCGAGTTCGAAAGAGGATGAGGGTGAGCGGAAGAAGGAGGCGGAGGTGAAGCGCACGACGCGGGCGACGAGGTCACGAGCATGATGTTGTGTCGAATGGATGTTGGTTGTTTAGTTTTCTGTCCTGATTTTCTCAACCAAACGATTATGTTCACCCTACTATGTACGTTAAGTGTTCGGGTAGTATGTATGCTACTATGGTACGCGGATTCTACCGACTCAACCCTCGTCTAGACTTTGGAGTGCGTGCGAGTATGTCATGCGTCCGCCAGAAATATCTGGTAAATTCACTTTCTCCCACTCGTCCTCGTCGGTATCGCTGCAGTTATCATTCATGGGTATGACTTTGGGATTCGAATCAAGGATTTCAAAGTCCCCCAGTCGGCTCTTGGCTATGTTAAAGTTCGGTCAGCACTTTTTCTGGGTCAGGTTATGATAAATATAATGCGCTTTACCTTTGCGCTGGCGCTTGAAGGGTACCATCTGTGCGCCGTCAAAGAGGGAAAACGTGCTAAATGACACAGTGGGAAAACCCTCTGATGAGTCGTATTCCTCAGCGTCATGAACATCATCGACCAAATGACCGTCGACTGCAGCCGCACAAATGTAGCCCCTGCTTTTCCAAGTAGAGCTATCCCCGCGTCCTGGGTTTCGACGTAGGACAGTTCCATTACTGCGTTTACGGGAATGCTGTGACATGTTTAGTGAGCGCCTCCCAGTGTAAAATAAGCACAGCGTACCCTTTTCTCCCATGCTTTGGTGCTGAGAGGTGGCATGTTTGTGTGGTGTTTACTAGAAGGGAAAAAGTTTGCGCAGTGTTAGTTTGAGCAACTGAAATTTCAAGATTTTTATTCGAGAAAATGAGTCAATAGCCTGACTGACTTTGACTAATGCGGAGCATATCTGATTTGCGCTCACGTCAAGGAGCCGAACCTGAGCGAGATTTGAGTCACTGACTCACGGAAGCAATGACTACCGTGGCTGTCGACTCATCGTCGGTCATTATTGAAGGTGGATCTACACAGCATTACAGTAGCTTTGGGAGCGGTGTGAAATAGACAGGGAAAACCGGCAATCTAATTAACACCCTCCGATTTTTCGCTGATAGGGTTGAGTGATTTGTCACAACCAGTGGAAACCTCGATAACACGAGTATCCCGCCTGCAAGTGGTCTCACGGCTATTGAGTCTGTATCCGCGTTAACAGCTCTAGTCATGGTTGATCCCCCTGAAGTGACTCACGCGGCCAGAAGCGAATTTGTATAAACTATTTAAAATTAAGCAACACATGTAAATCAGGTCGTGAAAAGCAATGCTCACCATCAGCAAGAACGTTGTAAACAGCAGTCCACAAGACTAAAGTGGAAAGGTTCAGATATGATTCCATAGCTACGACGAACTGCCTCACAAGTGTTCCTCGTGGCACAAAACTATTGACATCAGCAGTGCTCATCACAATCGTGATGGACTCACGAGGACAATAACCAAAATAGTAGACATGCTGTGAATATCAATACCATGGTCAAACCTTCGTATGCAAGGTTTGCTCACCTAGTGGCAAGACCAGTTTCAATTACCCAAAGAGTTATACGGACAGCGATATTATGTATTCTGGAAGGAATTGTTGAGAGGAGAGACCCTGAGATGGTACAGCTTACTGGTCAAATATGGTCCGCCTGCGTTCACGCTGCAGGAAATACACCAGACCGATCGTGATTACCAGATCGCAAACAGTAGCTGCAACGAGAGTCAGGATTGTCAACCAATTTAGTGCGTTTTTTCCTGTTCGGTTCGTGGGAATGTCTAGTGCCTTGGCTGCATCTACCAAAGTGCCAGTAAGAGTCAACATGCTGAAAATGCCACAAAACGCGGCGAGCATCTTGCTTCCTGAGAATTTGAACAATCTATAGATAAAAAACATCTGCAAATTTAAGTGGTATGGATTTTTACTTGAATCTATCGTTACCTACCTGAACAAGAGTGCTAATCAGAGGTGTCAGGACGATATTTGCATCTCGAGAGCTGGAGAATATCGTCACACCGTCAGGATTCTCGCAACCCGTGACGGTTAGAGTCCATGTCCAATACATGATGCAGATAATATGTGCAAATGTCAGCATCCTGAGATGAATCAGGCTTTGAAGTCGATATCGAAATGCATCGATACATACATCACGGCTGCCACCTACTTCGATTAGCTTTAACTAGAAGCAAGGCAGGCATAACACACCAAAATTTGGAAGACTCTTCTATCACCTGGAAAACGTTTATAGTAAGTGTATGTTTGCATTGTCGAGCACCCAAATAAGTAGCCAGCGATCATCGATCCAACCACCGCTGGTCCAATAGTTATTGCTGCTCCAGGCATTCTGAAGGCAAGGTGAGCGCATTGGATCGATCCAGATTATATATTCACGTGGGCCTCATATGCTGTGCGTAAGTCATAAGGACTAGATGTGTGAGGCGATCTGTCACCGAGTGGGCGTGCCAGTAAGATACTATCAGCGCAAGGAAACTGGATACGGAGCTCCGCACTATGGCAGCCATATAGAATGCATCAAAAAATAGTGTCAGGAACGAAGATCTTTCCTCGTATATCTTCGAGTTCTATCAAAAAAGATGAAGTTGAACTCGTAGTCAGTGCCCACTGGCAGCTGTCACGGTGCTATGCCAAGGTAGTCAAGCCAATTGTCATGGCTGTTGCTCGGCATTACCCAAAGAAGTCTAAACAATAAGATTTGAGTGAGCCAACGGAGATTACCTGACGACACCGGTCATATCACAACTGGCAGCAGTGCTAGTAGGAGTCCGAGTCTTCGTGGGGACTACTTTGTTTGATGTTGTTGAATTCGGAAGTCGCTGACTCATCCATGTGTGCCATAGTGTCTATAATTAAGTACCCTTTTCTGACTCGGTTGCTTCGAATCACGTTGATCTTACCTCGTGGAACTTACACTTGTCTCTCGAACAATGTCCCAAACATTCTCGGACGCTGACATCGAAGAGGAGCAAAAACATTTTTCTAATGTCATCGCAACATTCCAGCAATACGCCCAATATTCGGTAGGTATTCTTAATCATCATGCACCACACTGTCACCTTATGAATAACTTGCTTGTCCGACACATTCAGCTAGCAGCCAATAACAGGCGACGAAAAGACATCTACACACTTTCTCAGGGTGACAAAGAACTTCTCGACGTTCTTGGGTACCGACAAAAACTTCAAGAAGTGGATAGAGCCATTCTGGACAATGCAGAATTCTTGAAGCTGATTGTTGCAAACCCCGAGATCTTTGGCCATGATCTCGACTTTCCAAAAGATGCAGGTGATGATAATGCTGACCTTCGGACTTTTCATGACCTTTCGCATGGTTTGTACTTGTGCGAGACAGAATCCGATTTGTGCTTACCAATGCCAATGTTGTGCAGGTGACGCGCATTCACATTCTCATGGTCACCCGCATCACCACAGTCACTCGCATGACCATGAGAATGTCACCCCAGATCGCAGAGCTGTCAGCCAGTATCAGCGAAAGTACAAACCTACGGACTTCGACATGGACAAGTTGCGAAGCACTCTGAAGCAATTCGTACGGGACTGGAGTCAAGAGGTAAACTTATAATTCTACCCCTTTTCAAATTATGTAACTTGGGCTTGCATCCCAGGGAAAAGAAGAACGGGACACGTGTTATACGCCAATCAAAGACGCGCTGGTCGCGCATTTCTCGGACAAACCATCTCCGGAGTTAAGGTTAGTTCAGGCTCTAAACTTTCCTCTTGACAACATAAACGTATTACTCTACCAGACAAAATATCCGGGTGCTCGTTCCTGGTGCAGGCCTTGGCCGGTTGGCTTATGATGTTGCGAATTTAGGTTTGCGGAGCTTGTGTATCTCTCTTCCGATTTGGACTTAGTCAGTCCGCTAGGGTTCGCCTGTCAGGGAAATGAATTCTCTCACTACATGCTTCTTGCTTCTTATCTTATTTTAAATAGGTAAGAAAAGCAGGGATCTGAGTGTGCGACTAAACATTTGATTCTGGTCGCAGGACTGACGCGATTGGACAATACACCATATACCCTTATGTCCATTCTTTCTCCAACCTTCCTGACCGTGAAGCAATGTTACGCCCAGTGAAAATACCCGATGTCCTTCCCTCGGCCCTACCAGCTGGCTCGAATTTTCCTTGGTTGCGGGTATGATTATTGACAGGTCCTTTGAGTATCTTGGCTTCTCAACGTTTCAGGCGACTTCGAGGAGATTTATGGAACAGAATACGAAGAAGGCAATTTCGAACCACAGGCGGGGCAATGGGACGCTGTTCTGACATGTTTCTTTATTGATACTGTAGGGATTTGTTTCCGTTCAGGTGTATTTTATGCTAATGAAGCTAATTCAGGCAAAGAATATCGTCAACTACCTTCGTATAATTCACAGGATATTGGCACCTGGTGGAGTATGGATTAACATGGGTCAGAGCGGTAGCTTTGTCCCAGCTTTCCTGCTGACCACATATCAGGCCCGCTGCTCTGGCACTTCGAAAATAATGCAACCAATGATCCATCCATTGAACTTGATCTCGAAGAAGTCAAAATGCTGGCTCGAAAAATCGGTTTTGTGATCTCTGTAAGTCTTTATATCGCATTCCGCTGTGTAAATCTGACGAGAGCGATCTGCTATCAGGATGAGCGAACGATAGACACGACTTACACGAGTAATTCCCGGTCTATGCTGGGATATGTTTATAAAACTGCTTTCTGGACGGCGACGAAAGCTTAATGATAGATGCACCATGAGCTTCTCTCGTTTATTGAATGACACACATTGCTATCGTGCAGCCTTATGAGCGGCGTGTAAAATGGTAGCAACTTCGGTGAATGTCGGGTTGTGCAAAATACGTGCGTGTATCCGTCGACTGTTCATCCCTGGTATCAGCAATCATATTGCAGTTCTCAATATGCTCGGAGATAGGTATTTCTGCGCACTCATCGACCCGCTATCTCATCATTTTTCGCTATTGATTCCTGACACTGTCCTCCAAACCCATCCCAAAAGGCGGATCTCCTCGGGGCTCATCCCGGTAGTCTCAGGTAAGTAGAACAAACAGAATAGCCATCCTAGCAGACTTAGCCTTGTATAGAACTCGGCGGGAGTAATTTTCAGCAACCACATCAGTGAAGTTCATTTGGTAGTTACTTCACGCACCTATATTTCCAGATACTCAATTTCTGCGTTCAGAGCGCTGATCTCTGGGAAATAACTATAATGGCGAAAACTACAACATGAGGTCGCGTTCAAAGTCAACGTGCTGCCTTCTCATCGACTGGGAATCCTGCCACCTCTTCGTTCATCAGCCGCGGTGTCCAAAACCGCACAATTCCGCTGCCGTTCATGTCGGGTTCGTTCATGTGCACGAGCATTGATATTGAGCAAGCTAAATGCATTGCGCCCACAGGCATTATAGCCAAGAACTACAAGTGAGGCATCAAGGCGGTCCACGACACCGCCTTGTATGCGTCAGGAGGAAGATCGCGTAAAGTGGTGAACATGAGCACCAAGAGGATGGCACGTCCTATGATGTACAGGATGGGACACACTATGAACATAAATAACCATGAAATCATGGTTGCATACGGCAGGACTACTAGTGTGCAGAGTATTACTGGAAAACATGCAAAAACGCAGCTGGGTGTGCAAGATATAGCAATGGCGCTCATGCGCCAGAGGACCTGTTCCTGATATGTGGGGAAGGCAAAAAACCAAGCCATACAATGGACACCGCCAAATATGGTTGCCATAAGCAATCCAGCAAGCGCAAGAACTAGCTGGTCCAAAAGTTCGAGTGCGATACTGCCATCAAATGTTGGAACTCGGAGCTTTTGGAAGTCGGACGCGCCTAGTATTTCGAAGTATGAATCCCAGATCGTGAGAATCCAATTATGGTCTTCTGCTTCATTAACACTAAGGCAGACATAATCAACAGCAGTATAATTGTTGAGGCGCATACATACTTAATGTGATGCTCTGGCCTTGACTCGGTTGATTTCAAGTACACTGGATATGGACATTGCACGTTGAGAGGCTTGTTCCACCACGCAACATAACTTAAAAAATTGAGAACCGCAAAAGCCAGTGTCCCCACTTCGAGCTGGGTGGTTTCGAGGTGATAGATAGCACGCGTAATGAGCTGAATGACAAACCAAGTCACTTGAAGGATGATCAATCCTTTCGATATCGCATTTCCTTTGCTCTTGTCATGAATCCGGTTCACTGTTAGGGTAGGGATGTCGATAGACTTGTCATGTATCAGTTCGAGCATGCGATCAGGCCGTAGTGTGAGGTAGGGTTTCCCGTCCACATAAAGCATGAAACCACCCATCAACATAAAGAAACTGTGTGTATGAGTCCATGTATAATCTACGAATGTAGATGAGTCAATATTTAGGTGAGTACTCGGAATTGGACTTGCCTTCAGATTGTTCCGATACATAGGCTTTGAACATCTTTTGAATGGCTTCGCAAGAGCCTGAGCATATGTACCCCCACATCCTGGAGTGGGCGCTGAAGTAATATGAATTTCCGAAGGAACAGTAGGGCCACCTTCAGGGTCTTGAGAACCAGGTGAGTCATTCTCCGGGTGCGGCAAAATAGAATGTCGAGCTCACCTTCGACGTTATATTGCTCTACAGTTGCTTCCAAGTCAATGGAACCATGATCCGAGTCTAATGACGTGCATAGTAAGTTGCTCAAGAAACGTATACAGTTTCGAATGGCACGGCCCACCTCCAGGCTGCTCTTGTGGCTGAGGAACACCGAAATGTCCAGATTCCTTGAACTGTCTGGTAACATGGCGAGCGCTAATCCACTGGCGCACAGCCCATATGACGATCAGTTCAGGAGCAATTAGTGCCATCATCATGATGCCAAGTCGTCGCCACAGAATAACAACGAGGCTGTCCTTAGGACTCGGGATATTGGGGTGAATGGCGCTATATACACACGCAAACATAGTGAGAAGTGAGCTGGACACGATGTTCCACATGGTTCTAGTATTTGTGAATAATGGGACTTCAGCTTCAGAAACGTTGCTACTAGTTGTGTTTGTAGTAGGTACAGCTTGGATAACTCCAAAGAGGTAAAGGAGGAAGCAGAAAGGTAGCAGGCGCATTGTGTTAGAGTATACCGAAGAGCCATCTGAATCCTGTTCACAGTTTATATGTTACGGCGAGCGTCAGCTTACAGCAAAGTAATGATCCGATCGATCGATCAACTAGATCTGGGGTGGTCACATGCACATAAACAGCCAGCCCATCAGAGTCGTTTGGACGGCGAAAATGGCGGTTTTACGATGCTTATAGTTAGACTAGTAGAAGCACGCGCGTTTAGGGTTAAAGCGTCGTTTACAAAAGGAACAACATTTTGTAGCAAAACGTTGATGCAGCAGCGGAATAAGGGCATTACCGAACTCACAGTGGCGAGCAGATGGAGATCACAAATTCGAGTACTGAGTTTAATTCATGATCGGCCGGGCCCTTCAGCACCTGACGCTCTGTCTCAACTAAACGTGTACATGGAATGTACGTCTGTTCCACGATAAGCAACCCTCGCTGTCTGACTGCAGTTGATAGCCGGGCCCAACGCATGTCCAACGGCAGGATTTAATCTAGTACCTTCTCTTCGGCCAACGACTGTCAAAAGTACCGGGTCGTACGGTTCGGTGCGGAGAATCTTCAGCTGAATGACTCTTCTTTCTTAGCGGTCATGCGCGCTAGTCTTGCGCGCACTTCGTGCATGTCATGACCATTTTACTACGTTAAATACAATCCAAGAGTGTCACCTGAATGGGCGGCGATAAAATTATTTTGTCATGCATTCCATCATGGGCGCAAAGAGATTCGTACCTTCGTTCTTTAGCGCCAGCTGATGCCCTTGTCTGCATATCACCAGTTGACAGTACAACAACATTGATCCCAGAATTCTAACACAACATGAAAGTCCAATCCCATGTCCTCCAGACTTTTCAGAAACCGATCCCAGTCGTTGCACAGGCGGGGTGAGTAGAAGAGGGCTTGGACATCGACACTTTCGAGGATGACAAGGTCCTTATTCTCCTGTAAAACACGTGGAGTGTGACTCTGGTTCTGAGACATGGGAGTTCTTTAGGGCAGAGGGTTTATGTGGGGAAGGCATGGGCTGCTTGAGTGGACTCTGGAGAATGCAGAGGTTTGCGAGTGGATCTAAAGAGGGCTTTCCACGAGGGGTAATACTTGAGCGCCGTAGATCATGCTCGTTCGTAATTTCCTCCGTCCGCCACTGCTATTTTCAGGCTTTACTGGTGAATCGATGTTGTATAGTGGAGAACGTAACGGCTTGGGCAGGTAGGAGGATATGAAATGTTTCTTGTGTATTTCAATTTCGCAGCTATTAGAGACGGGATTCGTTGTGGGAAGTGAGGCGTTAATAGATGGGATCACGGGGCAGCCATCGATGGTGAGGCCTGCGTCGCCAAGAACAACAAGGAACGCCTACTTGCGAGTTACAGCGGCTTGGTAAGTTCAGATGAACAACTCACGCACCTTTCTTTCCTGAAATACAATTTATGCATGCAGAGCGCTGATCTCTGGGTAATGGCATAGTGGCGCACACTGCATGTCGGGTCGTGTCCAAAGGTAACCGTCTCTTCATCGATTGGGAATGCTGCTAATTGCTCATTAGCCTTCCACTTCATCTGCTGCAGCGTCCAAGCAGTCCTATTTTGCTGTCATTCATGATGATGAGCAAGACCTCAAGAATCAAAGTTTGTTTCGTTCGCGTCCATGTCATACCGTTACGTGCGGGTCATGTGATCGTGTCGCGGTTCATCATAGAGCCCCTTCAGTGAATTCACCCGTCTCAGATGGGCAGCCAAACGTGACAATGTACCAATGGGGACGGGCTATCCCATGTGGGCCCATGCCAATAATTGTACCATGATACATGGGTGGGCCGAGGTCATGTGTGTACCCGAGACAAATGGATGGGCCAGGGGTATATAATACAGACAGTAGTATAGGAATGTACTAGTATACAGGACATTATGGTGAATCCGGTCTTACAATGGAGACGGGTAGGCCAAGGGTAAAAAGTATAGACATTGGTATATAGATATACTACTATATAGGACATTATATGTAATGAATACAGTGTGCAGTGGAGACAGGTGGGCCAGAGTAATGTGTGTACCCAGGGCAAACAGGTGGGCTGAGGTAATGTGTATACCCAAGGCAAACAGGTGGGCCAGAGGAATGTGTGTACCCAGGGCAAACAGGTGGGCCAAGGGTATAAAGTGAGTGGGCCAGACGGATGTGTACCCACCTCACATGGATGGGCCGAGGCTGATTCCCGGAGAGGAATGGGCCAAATGCATACAAGGAAACAGATGGGCCGGGTATGCAGGTTGGCCGGACAGATATGGACTCGCACAGGGATGGGCTGGGTATGCATGTTGACCAGACGGATGTGTGTAATGGGTCAAACAGGTGGACAGGGCAGATGTGTGTACCCAACTTACACACGGATGGGCTGGATGAATGTGTGGGCTGGGTGAATGTGTGTACCCAGGGCGAACAGGTGGGCTGGGTTATGTGTGTACCCAAGGCAAATGGGTGGGCTGGGGGATGTGTACTTAAGGCAAACAGGTGGGCCAGAGTATGTGTGTACTCGAGGCAAACAGGTGGGCCAGAGTATGTGTGTACTCGAGGCAAACAGGGTGGGCCAGAGTATGTGTGTACTCGAGGCAAACAGGTGGGCCTAGTATGTGTGTACCTAAGGCAAACAGGTGGGCCGGAGTATGTGACACCAGACATCCGGTCAAAGTTATCATCCAGTCTCTATGAGAGTATGTAGTATAGATCAGGTAGGTACTCAAGGGGCCATCTGACTAAAATTTGTATACAATGTGTACAATAACGTCTCTACACAGAGGCACTCTGCTTGACCGGGTCACCATATTTCACATAGCCATATTTTGCGTACTCTGTTCTTGGAGTTCCAACAAAGTTATGGATACTATCTCACATGTACCATGCAGTAACAATCCGGTTGCCCTCCTCCACATGCATATGATGTCTCACAAGCCGACACGATGAGGCCAACATTGACCCGGAGTTATATAAGAATTTTATCCCAAGATTAATGAAATCCGTGATGACCGGATGGTAAATACCTGTGGTGGTCATGATATCAAATGCCTCTGGTCGACATTTCGGATCTCTATGAGGTGGTGACCGATGATTGCAAATGACTGACACCACATTGAAAACAGATGTCCAATGTTGTAAATGATAGCACATATCATGCAACTCATACTGGCTCGCCCATTCACCCAGTCTGACTTGGGTTTGAATTCCAGCAAGATAGAGATCCGGATGCATGACATGAAGTGCAGCAGAGACAAGGATACCAGACCTTTGGAGGGAGGTCGTGATATTGTGACCATCAACTCCCTTTAATGTGGCTGATACATCAGGTGAGAAACCATCTTCTGGATCAAGATTTGGGAAACCGTATTTCTATGACACTTCAGATGGGTAACCTGAATTCATATGAACAGGATGTACCTCTCTTCCTTGCTGAAACCAAGCCTGGAGATATATTGATGCAACCTGGGGTGATCTTCTCATCCAAACTCGGATAGAAATTGGACTTGTGAGTCCGCCATTCAGTAGGCTTGCTGGTCGTGATGCTATTGTTCAGCAAATTGCCCATGGAGTTTGTAGCACAATGCATATCTGTCTGGATACACCCGGATGAGATGAAATACAAAATGAATGCCAATAGATGACAGACCATTATCATGCTGGTCATGGCTCCAGGCAAATACCAGACAATAATTCTGCCCCCGGAATCAATGATGACACTTGGTTTTGCCAAGATACAATGTTCTTCAGGAGGGAATCTGTCCAAAAGACTTTGCTCTTGTTTCTCGTTTCGACCTGGATTCATATTTGTCAAGGGATTTGTTATATCTAACCATGTCAATGTTGAGATGAACTATTGGCAAGTTAGTTGACCGGAAAGGATGATATATACAAAAATGAATACCAGGATTAGAGTAAGTGATGGCCAGGACATTGGCAAGTTGCTGCCAAAGCAATACAGGTGTTGATATCCAACAGTCCAATGCTCATTTGCTTTGCCGGCCATCCATGAATTTTGGACATAAAGGTGTCATACACCAATTCACTGGCAAGGTCGGTCTGGTATAATGCCCAGTCTTGTGGGATACTCACCATGTGTCGAGGAACAAAATGAGTGATGAAGAAAGAAAAAGAAGACCAGTCGGATCGATCCATGACCAGGATGAGCAGGTATCAGTGTCATTCACATGACCAGATGTAAGCTAGAAATCACCACCCATGTCTATTGCGATTGAATACAATAAGCAGTATAAAATATACAAAATGAATGCTTTTAGATATCACATTATGCTCGACTGTCCTTTGGATGCACTGTCATCTGCATTCAACCAGTCCATGAGCATCTGTGAGGAAACCACAGCCCTTGTGATCTCCTCAACCAGCCCAGCTAAGCGTACCAACCTATCACTTGAATGTGCAAGTTTCATCATTCTCTCTTGCAATATTTCCATGAGATCTTTACCAATTGCTGTCTGATGGCACTCTGCAAGTGATACTGATCCGATTGTCTCCAGTGTACAAACTGGACCAAGCTTGAGCATATATGGAAGAAGGCCAGTTTCCACATGATCCGGCTATTATAATATTGAATGTTGGATTTGGTGAGGATCCTGTGCGGGCTGTCAATGTTTCAAGGACTCACAAGTTCTACAAAATGGCCCTCAACCAACTCCATCACATCTTGGACAGATGACTTTGGCAACATGTCTGACACCTTGCAAGAGGCAAGATTGTCCTTCCACCATGCATTAAAGTAGTCGGGCATACAAGCAATGTCATATTCATCTGACTCCTTGCAGTGCACAGAGAGGTTCAATGCTTTGATATCCGTCAAAAACTCAGTGACATCCGGCTGCCGGTCCACCAATGTATGTGCGATCATGATTGCAATCACATGATGAAGGGGTGTTGGAATGACAGCGGAGCACCTGCTGAGGAAGGATATATTGATGAAAGGCGTGACAAAGGTCTATATGACAAATGACAACTTTGAGATCAATACAATATCAGGATGACCGGATGACCGGATGGCCGGATGACCGGATACATACCTCCATTTCCCATTTCATGAGTTTGTGGAAAGCTTCTGCATATCCAGGAAGGGAAGTGGAAAAGCTCTTGTCCACATACAGGCGCATGGCCAACAAATACAAATTGGCATAGAATAGGGCACAAGAAATATCTCCAGCAGTGACCTGATCATCTGAATAGGCCATGATGACTTGCTCAGAGCCAACCAGATCTCCAGTGTGGTTCATAGAGTGCGAAAGAAGGATGATGTAGCAATTGTAGTGGTGATTGTTGTTGTTGTTGTAGTAGTGGTGAGACAGACAAAGTATGATTATGTACGTGTCCTATCAAATTACATATCGACCATTCTAGGAAGTATACAACCGGTACCATGAATCATCTGACAACCTGTATATCACCCTGAATATCCGGACTGAGTTTGCAAAAAGAATCTGCCCCATGTATGGCCAGGTCATGGTATATTTGAGATTGTCGGGCAGCATAACATGCATGTCCAGTCATCTCATTGGAAGCAGCATTGTCCATGTGAGCAAGCCATTGCTTGGCCTTATGCTTGAAAAAATTGAATGGTCCACTGCATTTCATGTTTGACAAGAATGACCTCTTTCATTCCAATGATCACAAAGTGCCTTGGTCCAGAGCCAGTTCACCCGATAAACTATTCAGTGGGTGAGACCAGATAACATCATATCACCGGATGCGATGGACACTCACATTCTGTCATCCAGTCATTTCTGGCTGTATCACCCTGAACATCAAGCAACCAGAACCATGCAAGGGTAGCATTCCTCTGACCATATGCATTTGAATCAGCCACTGCAGCGCTTGCCTTCAGGTGTTTTTCTTCAACGGAAGATATTTCTTCAAGAGGTTGTGATTGGGGAGTCGATCTAGCTGCAACCGGCATTTCCAGTATATCCTGGCATTGAGTTTGACTGCTGCTTCCACCGTACGAACTCGAGTCCATGCCTGGGTTGAGGTGGCTTGTGACTTAGCTGACTGGACAGTGTCCCAGAATATCACAGCCTTATCTACCAAATGAACTCTAATTGCATGGAGTGCATCATTGGCTTGGCCTTCACGGAGGACAATTTCTTCTTTCATGAGATTGGTTAGACCTAATGCCTTGCATCTGGCTTCACCAAGGTTAGAAGGCAAAGGTATGATAGTAAGCTCTGGTTGAAATATTGAGGTATGTGTTTCCGGATCCGGATGTTGATCATGATCATCGAGATCAGAATAATCTTCTTCATCCAGTGAATCATGATCCCTGTTTACTGGAGAATCCAGTTCGTTTGCATCAACTTCATATCCAAGATATGTAGATGCCATCTCAAGAAAACTTGTTATCTGAGTTTGCAGCTTATCCCTAAGTCGGGCCACTCTCAGTAATTGAATGTCTGTAGGATGTCTCCCAAGCCTTTTCACATCTCTAGAGAGAGAGATTTGAAATTCTTCTATGGTGAGACTGGTTGTGAGCCAAGTGGCAGCTCCTCGTCGACTAATAGAATTGGCAACCAAATAATCCAGATGATTTTGAGCCTGTAGCAGGCGCAACTCCTGCTGCTTTCTGGTTGGAGCTGTACATCATGGTATTCAAATCATAATGAGAATGCCATCAGGCCCGGATGAGTAGTGGTAAAATTCGACACTTACCCTTTTCCAACCGGACCTCATAAAATGTCCATGGCTGTTGGATCCTCCAATCTGTTCTTGTGAGCAAGTGCCTCTTCCGCTTCCCAAAGAATGACCATGTCAGGGTGAGCTGTCTCATTAAGATTTTGAAATGACTTTTTGCTCTCTTCAGCACCCCTGGCAGCCTCTTTAAACTTTCTGCAGAGAAATTTGGCTGCAGGGCAAGTTAGCCGGGAAGGAATAATATGAGACCGGAAGATTTTTGTACATCCGGCCGGAGGTTGGCAACTCACTCATGCGTATCATTTTAATGAAGTTACAATCATTCATTTGATAATCCAATACCTCTTTGTGATTGGAGTCCCCATGCCCCTAGCCGATGGAGAGATTATGTTCAAAGATGCCCAGAGTGTTTCCATGATCTCTCCATCAATCCTGCCGGTTCCATGGATAAAATTTGATGCATACCGGACATAACAGCTGTCCTGATGACCGTGTACATGCCACAAACCTATTCCAGGAATGATGTCCATGCCAATGGGGATGGAAAGGTACATGCTGGATGCAATCCGGTCCTTCAAAAACTTATGATACTGACAATTTATGTCGTAGAAGGTTATGACATGGGAGATTCCATCTGTATTGTAGTTGAGTGCTTGACTCAAGGCATAGTCCATGTTCATCTGCCTAATTATTTGGGATGCTCAGTAAGACCAGAAATGCTTGTAACTGGATGTGATGGTCATTCACCTTTCACCCTTCTGAAAATCCACCATGGAATGTGGGACAAAACATCTGTGCCGTGCACATGCACATCCTCCTATACCAGTGGCCTCCAGCTTTTGCTGGCAGGTGTTCGCTTGATTGACTGCATGGTGATTGTTGCAATCTGACCTTTGGACACAGTCTTGGGCAATACACAAATGACTCTTGTATCTTTCATCTCCAACCATGAATGCAAGACCATCCATCAATGATACTTCATCAGATGGATTCACTGGATGGAGGTGCTCGGCTTTGAAATTACCATCCATGACTAAAGTCCTGGTGAAGAGCCATGAAGGTGTGTTGTCCAGCTGGGTGGATGTACCGGTCGACAGGTCCAAGTTTATCCCTGGTTGTGGACATGCAGGGCAAAATAGGGCAAGATCACCGGCCTTTGGCTCATCATCTTTGTGAGCAAACTCATGTCACTTGTAAAGCTTGCATTGGCGCCACTTCCTGGCAGTTCTCATAAGTTCTCTGTAGCGATCCTACAGATCCTGCTGTTTAATCACCAGATTGCTGAGTACAGAGAATGAAAACTGACCAGAGCCATCAATGGAAATATGCTCGAGGTCAGCCTCTGGATCTTACTATAGTAATTCATGGCTGATGTACCACATTCAAGGTTGTCTAGCAGAAAGTCGTCCAAGACAGAGAATGTGAATGCAGTTTTTGGTCTGGTGAATGATGCCGGAAACAAGCCTGCTTGAAAGAGCTGCATATCCCAGGAGAGAGCACCGGGGCACTGGCAATATGAGATGGATAGAGAATGAACACCATATTTGTCTACTATGGTGATAGCCGGATGATCTGAGTCGGTGACAAGTGGAATGGAAGCTCCCTCCGGATAATCATCATAGTGTATATTTTCATTGGTATCTGACCATTCAAACAGGTCTGATGTGTATTCAGTGCTGCTGAGGCATGGAGTACCATTGTGAGCGAGGTGAATGTGCAGGCCAACTTTAATGAGTGATGTTTCTTGAAAAAATGATCTGGTCCATTGACTGATGCGATGGAATGGATGTCTTTGATGCTGGGTTCTGCAGCAGTCTGTGCAAAACAGGGGCGCATTGAAACACCCGTGGCATTTATAAACCCCATCCTTCTTGCAGACTGAACAAAGCTGGTCTGGGGGAGGGGCTTCTCTGACCATTAGTAAATTGATGTAGTCCTTGAACTTGTGCTTCCATTGCCGAAGATATTCATTCTGCCCCTGCATTATCCAGTCAGATGCAGACTGCAGAAATCAGAATGACTGCTGCTTGCCAGAGATTTTGATAATTTAAACTGAGGGATGTCACCTTGGTCAAAGTCAAAGTCCTCACCCTTGTGAAGCATCTGAGAGAACACGGCTGTTTGCTTTGAGGGAGATTTTGTTGGTGATGATGTCACCAACTTCATGGCCAATGCGACTGGACATGCCTGCAATCACCGGGCCCATACCACCAGTTGCACCCATCACCACTCGCTCCAGGGCCACCAGAATGGCAAAGCAGGCCAAGCAGTCTGGGCGATGCAAGGGCAAGTCTTATATATCTTGTCTCATCTCCACTAAGTACAACTCTTTGCTATAGATACTCGGCAGCCTAGTCCTATCCCGGAGGAACTGGATGCTGATGTCGAGATGGTCGATGGTGCTCCTATGGTGCCAAGTGCTGCCCCAGTGGCATCCGCTGACGATTTTCCTGAGGACCATTGGATCGAACCCATGGACGATAGTATCCTGCCTCCCACACCATTTGATGAGACACTGGATGAGGTCCGGTACTCTCCTATTTATCTGGCTCGCACTCAAAGGCCCCCCTCCCCTGTTACCACATCCATGCCCATTTCGTCTCATCAGTCTCCCCATCCTCTCAGCAATGCGCAGATTGAGGCTATGCTGGCCCAAATTCAGCTTGATATGGAAGAGCTACACACACATGATGATACCATTCACAATAATTTGTCCAGTCACATCGATGAGCTGCACGCCAACTATACAGAACAATTTGGCCTCCAGAAGGGACTGGTAGATCAGTTGACTGCTCAGGTGGGTGGAATTGCAAGGTACTTGAGGGACAACCAAAAGGCCGCTGCATCATCGGTCATCACTCCACCCGCATTCAATCCGCCACACATTGTCGTCCCCGGTACCCCCATATTCCCCAAGTTCGGTTCTATCAGTGCATTAGGTCGCGCTGTTACCAACAATGTCTTTACTCCGGATGTGTTCTCATCTCGTGCCTGCCCCACTGGAGATGGCTCGCCAGTGACAAGGCATGGGCAAGCACCCACATCTGGCTCTACCTCCACAATCAATTCGGTCCCCATCATGAGGGAATCCAGTTCATCCATTCAGCCCACTGGGGTACTGCCGGTACTTACTGACACAGTCCCAACAGAATCCATGCCTTCCACTAGCACCATTCGCATGTTGGTCACCGGGTCAGCAAATGTACCCGAGGATGGTCAGTCTGTCTCGGCTCCCTTGCCACAGCGTTCATTTGCACCTCAATCACACCGACAAGGTCGGTCAGTGAGTGCTAAGCATGCGAAGGACTCGTCTGGGGATGGGCCCAAGTAATACTAGTATACATGATTCATTTTTTTCTTAGTCCATTGTATCTATGTATTTGATCGACCGGTAAATGTATTCAAGATGCACCAGACAATTGGTTTGTAAGATGGCCCTGATAAAATTGGATGTACCAGACAATAAACCTTCAAGATTGATCCACCCGGTGATGTATCTACCAGGTGATAACATTGACCAGATGTCTGGTGCTACAAGTTTCTTCTGGCTTAGTTGTTTCGTTCTACATTGCATTTGTCGTAGATACTATTTTACATTGTATGTTTGTATACAAATGTCTATACTATATCACCTGGGTACACAAATCCATCCGGCCAACCTGTCTATCCAGCTCATCTGTGTGAGAGGTAGGTACACACATCTGCCCGGCCCACCCATTTGCACCTGTCACATACATCCGTCCAGCCAACCTGCATACATGGCCCATCCATGTGCAAGTACACTTCCATCCAGCCAATTTGTATACCCGGCCCACCCAGTTTATACCCTCGGCCCACCCGTTCACCCTGGGTACACACAATATCCTGGTCCACCCATTTGCCATGGGTACACACAATACCCCAGCCCACCCCTTTGCCATGGGTACACACAATACCCCGGCCCACCCCTTTGCCCTGGATACACACATTACCTCAGCCCATCCGTGTAAGGCGAGTACATACATACGTCCAGCCCATCTGTTTGCCCTGGTTACACACATCTGGTCAGCCAACCTGCATACCCGGCCCATCTGTTTCCTCATATATGCATCTGGCCCATTGCTCTCCGGAAACCAGCCTTGGCCCATCCGTGTAAGGTAGGTACACATCTGTCCAGCCAAACCACTTTATGCCCTCGGCCCACCCATCCGCCCTGGGTACACATTCCTCCGGCCCATCTGTTTCCCTTGGGTGCACCTGACTCATTCCCCTCCAGTAATCAGCCTCAGCCCATCCATATGAGGTGGGTACACACATCCATCCGGACAACCTGTATACCCAGCCCATCTGTTTCCTCCTCTGCGCCTGGCCCATTCCTCTCCAGTAACTGGCCTCGGCCCATCCCTGTCATGTGGGCACACGCATTCCTCTGGCCTACCCATCTCCACTGCACACCGTATTCATTACATATAATGTCCCATATAGTAGTATATCTATATACCAATGTCTATACTTTTTACCCTCGGCCCATCCGTGTCCCTTGAGAATACATTCCCTCGGCCTACCCGTCTCCATTGTAAGACCGGATTCACCATAATGTCCTGTATACTAGTCCATTCCTATACTACTGTCTGTATTATATACCCCCGGCCCATCCATTTGTCTCAGGTACACACATGACCTCAGCCCACCCATGTATCATGGTACAATTATTGGCATGGGCCTACATGGGATAGCCCATCCCCATTGGTACATTGTCATGTTTGGCTGCCCATCTGAGACGGGTGTATGTTACTGTATTATGTGCTTCTCTAACAATGTTCCTTTCAGAATGTGCTGAGTTTTCTACTGCAACTGCTCCTTGATCCTCGAGATCGACAGCAACGACCAAATGTCTTCCTACAGAATCAACAACTCGATTGATCTCACCATCCGACAAAACTCAGTTGTTTGCGGAGTTAAAAGCCTTGGTGCTTTTACCACCAGCCCCTCTCGGTGGTCCAGGGTTTGAGGTGTCAGTCATAGTGAGGATGAAAATACAAGGGTATGAATGGATGTATGCGCTAAACCCTCAATTGAGAAAAAGGGCAAAACGGTAAAGATGATAGTAAGAAAGCAAGGAACGCATGATCCATGTGCCATATGTTTAATATTGTAAGGCTGGTTGATTGAGTTCGATGGGGAATAATTCGGACCAAGAGAGAATGATTGAGGGGGAGTTTATTCACTTGTGCTATTGAAAGTAGGGACTGACTATTTGTATGTAAGTGAGCACAAAGGGAGTTCCATAAGTAGTACTTCGAACCGGTATAAAGGGAATTCCATAGCTGGTGTCCGTGGCTAGCAGAGTGACATTCCTTACAATATGCACGATAATGCTTAGTAATTCCAGCGTACCATGCGCTGTACTGTATCTTGATGCGTGAATTACTTGAAAGAACGCACGTTCCATGTGTTGCACTATGTCTTAATGCGCGAATCGCTTAGTAAGCCTCTGTTCGTGCTTCTCAGTCGCATGGCTCCTTTAAAGCTCGAACTGCACTATTACTCTCCATAGGACAAAAATTGGATTTAAAAATAATAATAATAATAATAATACAAGATGCAAGAATCCGCGATCACAATCGAATGCCAATTATTGTGCCTATCAAATTTCAGCACTCACTGGCAAGTCTCTGTGCTTGCCCTGCCAAATCTCTCCGAGATCGACCAGTTTGCCTACGGCAGAAATCACAACATCTCAAAATGTAGACAGAATGGTTGACGTTACGATTCTGACCGAATCAACAGCTGGTTGGAAATGCGAATGGTCATAATTGCCAATAGACCTTACTGGCAATATGCTGGCATTAGCATCTGTTGAAAGGCACATCCACGCAATAGGAATTACACAGAACACCATAAAAACCAGGCGTCTTCCTATTATCCCCTTCAAAATTACCCGATCCCATATCGCACAAGTCACAAACAATGCATTTCCCCTGTGCAATTGTCCTCGCCGTCATTACTGTCTTAACATCACCAATTTCTACCATGCCCATTACCAGTAATTCCACGGCTTCCGCCCAATGCGCATTCAAGTTTTGCTTTTTTGACTCACAATGCATAAATCGACCCTGCGTTCATGAATGCGTGCGTATCAGCATTTTCCTGGAAATTGATAACATGACTTATCTATATGGCAGGGCACTTTTATCTGCATAGTGAGTCGTGTTTTTGCTTTCACATCGGTGCAGTATGGCCGTTGACACTGATGCGCGAGTTACTAGTGATTTGTAGAGTTGATCAACGTTCAACGCGCATCAAGAAAAATGTCCGCATGGCTCTTTGCATATTGAAGTTGGCGTAAAATTTTTATGAATATAGGATGTTAGAATAAGATAAGGCGTACGATAACACGAGAAGAATACCATTAAGGGGCGTGCAGATCAATCCACAGCGCAGTTTCACTGTTGGTGTAACATAGATAGGCTCGAAGATCAAATATAAAGATGTATGTGCACGATGGACCAATACAAACTCACCTATGTCGTGCATACTGTACAGTTTCCCTACTCCAACTTTCAACAACACTCGACAGGCATGCAATATCTGAAACAGAAAAGTTGCCTCAAGCCATGTTTTCTAATCGCATCGTGAGCATCTTGAATGTTCACACGAACAGCTTTAACGTTCGTATAGCTAAAACAGAGTATCATTAGCGCGGCATCGTTTTAAAGGACTCGAGCTTACTTTTCCAAAGCATACTCGCTCAGTTCACGACCAATTCCCGACTGCTTGAAGCCTCCAAATGGCATCGATATTTCAGTCTGATTGGCGCAGTTTATCTGCCAGGCGTCATTACACCAGACGCGCAAGATATGATAACGAAGCAACGAACCCATGCAGTACCTGCTTCGAGAGCGTGTACAACTCGGATTGCTCTGTCGATATCTTTGGTGAACACCGGTGCAGCAAGTCGCCGACGGGCCAGTCCCATTCAATTTCCTGTACATCATCAATCTGTGTAAGACTTCGAGGGGCCGTAACGCGAATTGCAGGCCCCAGTCGCAATATCGATGGGTCAGATAGAAGGGCGCTTGAACGGTTCAGAAATTGGAATTATACCAAAACCTGCCCGCAGCACCACTGGCAAAAGGTTGTTGAAGCTGACGTGCACTTCCAAAAATTGACGCGATTGCCGTTATCTGGCTATTCCAAACATGGTCTCATGGCCAAGAAGACTAAAATATCGAACATCAATAGAAGCACTGATTGAATTCGAGACACCATAGGTAAATACCGGATACCGCGATGTCAGAGCGAATATATATATATTGAAGCAAGAAAAGAAACAGCGTCGCAATCGAAAATCTGAAATAATGAGGCAATCACTGAGTGTCAGTCATACGCAAGAGAAAGTCCTGATTCTGACATTTACTGTTGCAGGCCCGCACAATATATCTTGTGACGGTTGAGGGTGTCCCTGCGCGAGAACGACCTGCCGCAGGTGTCGCAAGAAAATGCAACCATGAGATGTCTTTCTTGCACATGTCGCACAAGGCTTTCCTTCTTCATTTCCTCGTTGCAGTAACCCCACGAGCAAATTACGCGCGTCATATCCGCCCCCCGAACGCCGTGAAATTCGCGCAAGTGACGATAAGCCTGGCAGCCGAGAATTATGCGGTTGCAGTCCCCCCACAGACACTGAAACGCCCCGTCAAGAGACTGACGCATGATCAACGTCAGGTAAGCAACTTAAAAGCAACATTACGCACTGGAAATTCCTGACAGCGAGACACCGTTAAGTATTCAGCTTAAAATTACAATTTTATGCCGACATACAGTTTGTTGGACGTGAAAGTTGCGAATAAGGTCCGTCCCTGCGTCAGTTGTCTCACCGATAACAATGTTAGACGATCGAGCACCAGAACTATGCTTTTCACGGGAAGATGCACGAGAAATCTGAAACCGTCGCCCACACTTTCGACTACCTAGTTATTAGACGTAATCAGGACTCAGAAGTCTTGAAGTATACTCACCAATCAACCGAGGAATTAGCCTGTCGTTCAAGCGAATATATGATAGGCTCAACGCCAAGGGGATTCACCATGCCACAAGAACATCTGTAGGAAACTCCAGAGGATGATGGTGTCTGCTGAATGATGACCCTCATAACAACCTTCGTGCCCACTTCAAGGTTTAACCATTCATTGCTTGTAAGTCGAGTCACTTGCGTGCCCTCGTCAATGCACAAATCGTATTGTCCGCTTTCCATATACTGTTTCTGTATTTGAGCTTCGATCGAGTTGCGTTTAAACAGAACTTTGAGCATCTCATTGAATTGCTAAATAAAACGTGATGAGCACGCTTTCCTAAGATGAATTTTCGCTAGCGAAACGTACCTCAAATGAGGTGCAGAAGTCCACCGGTATTGGATATTGGTGGCCTGTTGCATCTATGAGTGTCACACAACCACGTATAGCAGTTCCGATTGATTGCGTCGCGGTCGGCCCTACATATGACTGCCCACGAATGACCAGGCTTTCAATCGTCATCAGGAAGTTCTGACGATCCTCCCGCTCCTTCTGCATAATTACCAGCATTTCGCGTATGTCACGTTGACTTTGTATTTGGGACGACCACTAATCAAACGGATCAATGAGTGAATGCAAACATTCGCTAGAGGATAGAACACAACCAGATACTCCGCCAGATAGCGGTCGATCTCAGCAAAACATCCAGTGATAGCTTGTGTGACAAGTGGGGATGCAAGACAACGCTCGCGCAACGTTGTCACTCGGGCTGAGGTGTCTTGCAGCGTTCTGAGTGCAACTCGATGTCAGGTAAATCCAAGCATACGCCGATGATGTGGATACCTAACAAAGAAATCCCTTCGGGATTGTTCAACAGGATCCGAGGCAGGCGAGGCATTGCACAATTCGCGGCTCAGTCGACCAAGTCGTGAGATCAGGCTATTGAGGTCCGCCTCATTTTGGCTATGTCTCTGTGGCGACGTTTGAAATCAAGAAAATTGCTCGCATTAAAACAAGCTCTTACATCTATGGCTTGAAGGCCTGTCAACAATCCACTAATAGCCGCTTGCATCGGAGCACCGACAAGTGGAATTGCACTTGCAATATTCTGTACCAAGGGTAATGCTAGCTGAGCCATATCAGAAGCTTGGCGAGTAAATGATACACTCCCAGAGTATCTAGCGAATGGAACATTGGATTCGAGACCTGGTTCTCTGCTGCTCGTAGAGTGTACTAGCGATGAATTCGAAGAGGGTATTGGTGAAGAAAAGTGAGAGACGGTAGGGACTTGGGCATGGATGAAGCCAGCGCCCTCATGATCGGCGGTTGTCGAGCTGCGTTGTCTGGGTCCGTCCTTTTTCGGGCGCCTCAAACGAACTGCGAAAACCTTGCCCAAATCCTTGATATAATCCTTGACGCATTGCGAAGGGGGCATTTTGATCGGATGGGTCAGAAGATACTAGATAAGAGGGAATACAGGTAAGACGTTACCAAGTGTATAACGTCCAGCTGTGCATAACACAGGATGATGCACGTGCCTCATGCATGTACTCGCCCAGCAGATACCAGTGGCTGTCCACAGCTTCATCACCCAACCTAGTATACAGCAGCAGCTGAGGCTGTGCCTCGTACTTATTTCTCCGTACTTTGCGGGAGATACTATGTGATCAAGAATCAGCCGAGGAGAATTGAATGAGAATGTGAGTTTGTGTTGCAATGGGCGCCTGGCGTCCATTGTCGTTCAAGTGCGTTCTAGTACTGAGTTGCATCCCGTCTGAGTAATAGAATACATGCCGACGCGAAACGCTGACAGGAAATATGCGAGCGACCAAAAACATGTGAGAAACCTGAACATGTAGTCAAATGTGGTATTGCAAAAGATAAATCGATGATAATGGCCAAATAGCAAGCGGTTATTATCCATCAGTAATACACTGAGAAATGGCTCCGAAAAAGAATGAGTTTCGTGGTTACAATACCGAGGACTTTTGCTTTTGAATTTACTCATGCTAGGTATTGGTTAGCACGCGTGTTTGTGTATGTGACTGAATGGCGATTGGGCCTGGGTGGAAGGTACAGCGATCTGTGCGAGAGCGTTCATGTTGCTGAGGTGGACTGTGGAGGCCGCCAGGTAGATGGATTGGAGGAGGCCATCTGTAAGGCTGGGTAATATTTCGGCAGGGAATTGTGAACGAGATGACGAATATATGAGACGTGTTAGTAGGTGACACGAAGAGAGACAGGACTAGATCTAGATATGAGGATTTTCTGTAAGGCGTTCGGTCGTGCTTGGAGCGGGGAAATCAGAGTATCCAATTCTGCTCCGTCGATAAAAGTGTACAAGGGTTACTTATAGCATGAAACACTAAGGGTCCTTGGTGATCGATTATGTGAAAACGGATGTATAAGGGAATGGCGTCGCTCTCGATAGGGTAGAGTAGAATGGAGAGGAAACTTGAAGAGGGTGCGAAAATTGAATGAGGGCTGTATGGTTTGACAGAATAACGGGAGTCGGATAGTGCTTTTTGACAGCGGTGAACTGAGAGTATGGTGCCAGTAACGAGAGAAAAGGTCTGAGGGTTGACAGAAATGACGAGTTTGGGGACTGGGATCATGTGGATTAACGACGGTGGTGAAGTAAAGAAAAGGGAGGAACTTCGGGGTGACCGGTAACGCTTTTTCGTATCAGTGGGTCACGTGAACGGTCTCGAACGCGTCTGAGCGTTTTTTGAAGTTGTGGTCGGTACGTCAAGAATACTGGATCCTTACACGTACTGAAAGGATTGCAAACACGAATTATTAATCATCACTGAGCCATGGGCGCCTGGGCCATAAACTAGGCGTTATTTGTCCCAAAAACCTCGGTCGCTCAACGCTCAGTCACTTATCATTGTCATGGTCGATTATGATCATCGTGTATTTTCACTCAACTTCCGCTCTCTTCACAGACAAGTACCATTCCGTATCAATGTACCACCCACGTGTCAGCAAATTCCCCCTTTCTCCATCCTCCTTACATTGCTATTGTGCCACGAGCTGGCATGTCAAAGACACAACTACAGAAGAACCCCTGGCCAGACATCAAATCAATTCTCTCCAGTTTACCTTTGGTTCGTGCATGTATGCATGCATGCATAACGTTCGTACTAATAATACAACATGTGGGAATCTGCGATCACAGTCGAATGCCAATGTTCACATGAACAGCTTTAACGTTCGTATAGCTAAAACAGAGTATCGTTAGCGCGGTATCGTTTTAAAGGACTCGAGCTTACTTTTCCAAAGCATACTCGCTCAGTTCACGACCAATTCCCGACTGCTTGAAGCCTCCAAATGGCATCGATATTTCAGTCTGATTGGCGCAGTTTATCTGCCAGGCGTCATTACACCAGACGCGCAAGATATGATAACGAAGCAACGAACCCATGCAGTACCTGCTTCGAGAGCGTGTGCAACTCGGATTGCTCTGTCGATATCTTTGGTGAACACCGATGCGGCAAGTCCGTATAACGTATCATTAGCCTGTTCAACAACCTCTGGAAAATCGTTAGAGATACGATGATTGTGCGACGAGAACAATCTCACCGTCTTCGGTCTTGAACTTCAGAACGCACGCGACAGGTCCAAATATCTCCTCTCTGACAATTTTCATGTTAGGCTGGCACTCCGTGAAAATCGTTGGCTCGATGAAGTATCCCTCTTGGCCAATCTGCTTGCCACCAAGGTGTACTGTAGCTCCATCGTTCTGGCCGGAGGTTATGTATCCCATGATACGCTTTACGGACGTCAAAATATGTTTTATAATGAAATGGAATGAACGAACCTCGAACTGAGTTTTGGACACCTGTGGCCCTTGATACGTGTCGGGTGAAAAAGGATCGCCAACCTTAATCGCGCGTGCTTGCTCTGTGAACTGGTCCAGGAACTTGTCATATATGCCCTCTTGAACAAAGATACGAGAGCCTGCAGAACAATTCTGGCCATGGTTAAAGCTACAACGACGATGAGCACTAGCGTAAGTCATGCGAAGGGGGAAGCATACTAGATACCGTGAATAGCCCACTTGACTGCCTGCTCCAAGTCAGCATCATCAAAGATGATATTCGGGCTCTTTCCACCAAGCTCAAGCGTGACAGGCTTCAAATTGCTCTTCGCAGCAGCCTCCATAATTTTCCGTCCCGTCAGAGTACTACCAGTGAATGCGACTTTCTCGATAAGGGGGTGCTCGGATATTGCTTGCCCTGCCGTTGGACCATATCCATTCACGACGTTGATGACACCTGGAGGGAAGCCCGCCTCCTCGACAAGGGTACAGAAAAGAAGAGCAGAAAGCGGGGTGAGTTCAGAGGGCTTCAGGACGATGGTGTTGCCGGTGGCCAGCGCAGGAGCGATCTTGAGAGAAAGAGAGAACACTAGTTAATGTAAGCTGTAGTCCCTCACATTCTTTGAATCCACTCACTCGGAACATTCCATGGAATAATTTGACCCTGGCAAGAATTGAGATCCCACTCAAATGAAATTCAGAGAGAAATACTTACCACAACACCGATGGGTTCGTGTCTGGTATAAGCTAGTTTGTTCTCGTTGGTCTGGGGCGGAATGAGTTTGACTGATGTGAAAGAGAGGAAAGACGGACTTCGATAGTCTTCCCGCTGATTTTATCAGCCCAGCCAGCATAGTATTCCATGACAGCAATCGCTCCTTTGTTGTCTCTACTGTACGCGGTATTGTAGGCCTTTCCTGCAGGGTATGAGCTGCTTCATTAACTGAAGAGTGGCGGCGGCGCGAGAGTACATACCATTAGCAAGGGCATCAAGAGCAGCGAACTCTGCGATATGTTCCTCCATCAAAACAGCGAGCTTCGACATGAGCTTTCCGCGCTGAGCTCCAGGAACTTTCAGGCCCCATGAAGTCTTGTACGCTTTCTTTGCTGCCTTCGCAGCAATGTCTATATCGGCTTTTGTCCCAGCTGCGATGGAAGTGACCACCTTGCCCGTTGCTGCAAGAATAAGTTATGAACCGTTTGTGACGAAAGAATTCGTACCAGGATTGACAACACTGTACGAATGAGACCGACATTCAAGTGTACGAGAAAGATACTCACTCGATTGTGCCACCCTCAACAGGGTCGACAAACTCTCCGTTTATGTAGAGACCCAAAGGGATTGTAACAGTCCCCTTGTATGCAGGGGTGTCGAATGTCTTGATGAATGTGGATGGCATTACGAGGAAGCTGTTAAGGAGTGCAAGCGATAACGGTCAATCTGGGCAAGTCTACACTTGGCTACTTATAGCCTTGGGAGTGATCACGCTGTATAATGGGCACATGAACAACTAGAAATGACACTTCTCATGGGAAGAAGGTACCTTTTCCCCGTCACGGTGCTCCGATATTCATATGGCAAACCTCTGAGCTGCTGCTAAAATGGCAGTGCGGGTGGGCTCATGCACATGGCTTGTATTGATAATGATAAGATGATCATGGTCGTGCATCAAAAGCGCTAGCACTAATAATGTGAGTCACTGCGTACTCTGCGTGTAGGGTGTGTTGCTTTCATCATGAAATGAATGTCTATCGACGCGCGTACGGCCTAGAGGTGGATAAGGTGGAGGATGCCTTGTTGGAGTGGGATACTGACTGACAGTTATGGGTGAACATGTCATATGGACTACCGTGACATACGACCAATTGCAGCCTTACAGCAAACGACAAGTGTACTAATGGCATGCACGGGTGCTGCTTATCGAGTCTACTGCTCTCGCTCTCTGAACCGAACGACTCTAGCTTAATCACAATGCGCGACGAAATGGACTCTCGACAGGGCTGGTAGAAGTCGAACTTGATACTTGTGCCAAGCTCAGCGGTGCCTTGAATTCGTCGTGCGGCCTCGTACCAGGGCTTCTTCGTCTTGTGTGGAAAAGCTAGAAGTTGTGACACCTGAGACACAGCCGCAAAAGTTCTGTAAACAGATGTGATGCACACTCGTCAATTGTGACGGCGTCGGAGAGTCAAAACGGCGGTGAGAAATTTTGCAACTCTGTGCTCAAACACTGTTTCGCACCGGCTTCTCTCTGGCAACGTAGCATTGACATATTTCTCTATTTTTTCATAGCCTTACAGTACGTAGTGAATCCTACCTGCTCGTGTTTTTGGCTCATTTTAATGTTGTGTAGTTGTGTTATAAAAAACATGTCGAAAGTTTTGCAACACCGGGCCAGAAATAGTAACTATTGAAGTTAGATCTAAACTTTGCTAGGTTTGCGGCCAACACATCATGCGGCTCCCTTGACTCGGAGAAGTGGTCACTAACCCACAGCCTAAACCTGGCTTACACGCCGTGTATGATTCAATTGTCCCTTTAGATCCGCAGAAAAACGCGTAATCCATCCCGTTGTTAAAGCCTTGGAGGCCCTTCCCGCATTGGTATGTACCTATGAATAACCGTACTAAGTACGCAGCCTGCACGTAGTATGCCGCAAAAGTGCCTACCCTTGGGGTCGCAGTGTAGACCTTTGGGTGTTATATCTGAATTAGACGCGATAGCTGGTACGCCAGCTATCGCCGCGGCAGATATGACAATATTGGTGAGTGAAGTGAATTTCATAGTTCTGAACTAATGTCAATAGTGTTTCAAACTGGGCTGCGTAGGTTGGCTTTTATACGCAATCAGATTCAGGTGACATGCGCTCGCATCACCGGATGCTCGAAAATGAAATATATGCCAGCTCATGCCCTGTTGCATAGTTTTCTTCTAGTTCATTCTTTTGGTGCGGGCATAGGGAAGGACTCGGTTAAATTCAATCAATCTCGATGACTTGGTCTCAATTTTATCGCTTGTGAAATGCGCTTGATTCTTTACTCATTCGAAATCAGTTTATCCATCGTTTTCTTTTGGGTTCTTGTGTTATTCAAGATGTGGCACCACGGCGGGCGTACAGACTATGTGCAAAGCTATTGCTAGGTGTTTCTCAGAAGTGTCGTTGCTCATCGATTATTCGAATCCAATCATCATAGTTCCTAGCAGGATCCTGTCGATCTAAGATTTCAATAACTTTATTTTTGGTCCCTCCTCCAAGTCAAAGGCAGTGAACCTTGCCTGGCCCTGCGTGACTTATGATAGCTTCTTGCCGTAGGCTAAACAATACAGATTGTCACACCAGAGCGCGAGAATAATTATGAAAATTATGAGCTATCATGATGTAGGATGATCTACTACGCCGCGGGCTAATACATAGTCCAAATGTCCACTACATCATCCGCCCCAATGGATGATGTTGTAATGTGAGTCAGATATGAACGAATCCGGGCGCAGCCACTAAAAAGTTGATCCTCAACTCATACGTGTGCATGAGTGTTTGAGAGACTCGCGACCAGCCCGAGATCTAATGAGGCAAGCCATGGACAGAATATTTCGATCTTAGGATATCCGACCTTGTCTGGCATCCGCCAGGACTCCGGCTGCTCCCTATACCGCATGTCCGCAAATTTTCTAAAATTTCCTCTTGGGGCGCAACACTTTTGTCAAAGGCTTGTGGGGCGCACTTCGGACATGCTTGGTACCCAAAAGGAAAGTTTCTGCAAAATTTCGCGCTACTGCATTCTAGCCAAAGCATGCCCGCAGTTCTGCTTTTTGCGAGGTTGTACGGTGAACTTTTGATGCAATAATCTTGTGCACTTTCACCATACCAGCTGTTTTCCATCTATAGAGAAAGATAAATATATGTTTCAAAGTATTTTACAGAACCAAAACTTGCCGTTCAAAAGTCCACGGTTTTAGAGTGTGATGCCGGCCCTCTGAGACACTGAGCGCAGTTGTTCCGAGATCGTACACGAGTTCCTTGATACTGGCAAGTGTCCATAAATGTCCAGTGGACTTGCTGTAGTGCCAAAATGAGTTTTCATCTTCTTCAGGGTGCGTCTTACAAGTTCAGGAATAAAAATCAGTACCTGTACAATCAAGCAAGAAAGGTCCTAGGCACCACTTGCGGCTTGCCTGAATGAAAACTCATGTGCGGAAAAGCTAGGAGTCGTGATAAGCTAGTCATGTCATCGTGGTGTGCGTTTTCGATACATACAAGACTTTCCGTGAGAAAGTAAAAAGTTTCATCCATGAGCGGCGCTTGAGCCACCTAACTTCAGCAGTGAAGTCCCTGCAGCTCTCGCATCTGTCGGTGTATCGCATGCGCATCATGCCTCCCATTGCCAAACGACGAAAGCTTTCAGACCTAACTGTAGGAAATACGAATGAACTGCTCTATAAGCTCGAGGAATTTCGTTCCAAACTTGATGAAGGAGACGAGGGTTTGCCTCCTGGTCTGATCGATAAACTCCAAGAATTGCAGGACAAATTGGAAGACGTTAAGGTGGATCCAATGACGCTCCTTTCATTGAAGATATCATCTGGTCCACTTTTTCTAATCAGCGACAAGAGGCAAGAAGTCGAAAATCTTGGATTGGCTGAAACACCAGGGTGTCTTCCAATTGACACTATGCAATTTCTGATAAGTTTAGTGTGCGGCCAAGTTGCAACGGTGGTATGTTACAGTGGCTGATTTCTGTGATTGACTGAACATTTATTTAAAAAAGACGGAAGCTGGATCTCGCATCTTGATCAGTTGAGAGTTGTATCAGTCATGTGTGTGGGCGACACGGCGGTGAACATAATTCCAGAATTTCCTCTCCCTAGAACGATCTTCAACTGAGACTCTGGCAAATGTTTGTTTAGCGGCGTCGTCGACTTCCTGGTGACTAAACTCCCCGCTTGGTACACAGGTTAGTTATTTTTTGTTGTGTGCTAGAGTGGCTTTGAACCGTTCTTTAGAATACCTCCTAGGTAGTGATGTGCAAGGCCCGGCTTCAGGCCGTGGGCCGGGCCCAGCCCAGCCGACTTAGGCCGAGCCTAGCCGGGCCTTAGGGTGCGGCCTATGTAGGCTCAAGGCTTGGCCTCAGGTTTGTTCAAGCCTGGGCCGGGCCTTTGAGCCCTGGCTTTCAGCCAACCAAATCTAGTATCTATGACCTGCGGTGATATCCGAGAAACTGCATAGTTTCTTCAGTCCGTACTACAGGATCACCCCTCCTTTTTTGCTGATCGCCCGGCTAACCTTATTTTCCAATGGTGCCACGCATCAACTCTGACACTGAGGAAGCGCCTGCACCACATCCTAAACGGGTTGCTGTGCCATCAGCAAAGGTGATTAGTGCGGACAATGCAGCTGATCAAGAGCTTCTTTCCCACAGAATAGCTCATATCGCAAACCGCGCTGCTGTTATCTTGGACCCTACTGACTTAGATGGGGCCGACAACGACAAAATCCAGCTGGTGAGCCCCCATACCAACAAATGGCTCATCAAAGGTAAGTTTTTTTTTTAGTTTTATGTGCTTTACTAACTGCAACCCATTGACAATTCCTACAGGACGAAAACAGGTTGCACAAAGTCCTGATGCCGAGGATGTCGACCTTGCACAGCCTCCTGCTTCTGACGAGGACTGACTTGGAAGAAGGAGACCCCCCGGTGTCAGTGAAACCACCGAAAAAACGGCAAAAGAAAGGTACATTTATGTTGTCCTCTTATCACACTAACTCACTAACAAATGATTGTAGTACCCCTACCTAATGCCGATTCAGTCGATGCGGAAGGCTTTCTTACCGATATCGAAGTCACAGGTATCGACGAACCGTCCAAGCCTTGACGAGAGTGGCGCAGTCGTGATATCGACGCACTTGAAGCCAAGGCCTGAGCCCTAAGCCAAGCCTGACCAAGCCTGAGCCGTTGGGGAGGGCCTGGCCTGCAATCTGAAGGAGCCTGAGCCCTATCAAGCCGAGCCATAGCCCCGGCTTTTGAGCCGAGCTGGGCCTTGCACATCACTACTCCTGGGCGATCCGACCACAGCACTGGCGAATCCCGATTACATCCAGGGACCAATGATGTCCAACATCTTCGAAGCCAAGCGCAATAATGTTCGGGCTGCTCTACCTCAGGCTGCAATTGCTACGGCTTCGTATTGCCGATTGCAGGGGTCAGCTCTCTGTCATTCTATGTTCTGTGAGTAGTCTAACAGTATGATAACTTATTTGTCGTCAGGGGTGTTGTCACCAGTGGAGAACAGTGGATATCATTCGTGTACAAAAGGCACACAGATGGTACAGGGCTAGTCCAATCTTCTTCCAAATACACTCTGGGACGGAATCTCGAAGGTTTAGCCTTGGTTCTTGGCCTCTTGCAGGATTTGGTGCAACTGAATTCTCGTATCTCATTTTTGCATCCTCACCGCTTCGAATAGATTGATAATGCAACTAGCTCCGACCATACATTCTTCACTACTACGTGACGGATATATGGTTGTACAGCACGTTCTCCTTGATAAGCTCACGAGGGCCCACTCCTCGAGTTCTACTCCTCTCCCTCCCCACCTACTTCTATATCCACCACCTACAGGATTACATTTGTTTTTATTTCTTTTGCTCTTTTCAGTTGTGCATCTGAATCTTCGATATCTTTGGCCAACCTCGGGCGCCTACAGTTCTGTCTCATCCTGGTAAATGCAATGTATCTCTCCAGTATGAGGAATCTGAGATCTGCCACAGTGAACTCACATGTCATGGTATCACTCGAATGTATCGCCTGGTATGATGTCCTTGCCACATCCCTCAGGTGCTACAGCACGACCCACTTGACAGTATTAACGCGCCTGTCCCTGTGTAAGCCTTCCTTTCATTGTCCAGTCCATAACTGCAGTGAAGTAGCTTTGAACCGTGACGGTAGACACAATCCAGCCTTGGAAGTTGGATGTGGTGGCGTAGTTGTCAATGCATTTCATCACCTATTGTTCCCCTCGACTGTGTGGTCTGTGCTAATGCCTGTAGCCGCGAATTGTATGGGACATTTTCTCCGCATCATAATCTGACCTGATTTTAGAGAGAATGTGCATTGTGTTCTCAATGGGTTGGTTGCTGGACTGCATTATTGGTGCACTACTGATATACTAGCAAAGTGATTGTACGGGAAATAATTTGTTTGGTGGAGGGATAGGTTACCTCTCAACTTAAAGTATTTGTAAACTGATATTGATAGATCCAGAAACCTCGATCACGCTGTGACTACAGTGATTACTGGACAGCCGCAGGCCCAAATTCAACTGTCCCCCGGCATGACTGGTGCCCTGCATGCTACAACTTCCCCACAGATAGCAACCTCTCGCGCGACTGAGAGCAGCGGCTCAACGTTATGGATACAAATGTTCTTCCACAGAACACTCGGCCACAAACACGACCAACATTCTATCACTCGTATTACATGACCCTGCAACTGCAAGTGCCGTCATAATGCTTTCCACCTGTGGTATGTTTGGATTTCCCACCACATTCAATTTCTGCAATATCGGAAGGCGAAGTTCACGAAATAGCTCAATAACACGATCCCATTGACAATGATGTAATAGCCACCGATTCAAGGTGAGAGAATGTGACCGAAAGGCTCCTGAAGCCCCGACCTGATGCAATATGATTGACCACGAGGGTCTCCAAATGAGAAAAGAACGCAGAAGAGGAGCGTATGACAGCGGCAGAGGCATTCAAAAGGTAGAGGCATGTATCAGCTTGCAGGTAGCAGTAGGTCTGGATCAAATGGTACTTGACAATGGACCAAAACATCCGATGGCTGACTACACCGCAGGGATCTCAACTAGGGTGTTGAAGTTCTCACACCGTTCAAATAGTACATCCGAGAACGTGCCAAATACTGTTTCCCAACGCGTCATTTCGGCAAAAATTATTTCGAGTAGTTGAGTGTTTGGGGGACGACTATTATGTGTGGGGAACACATTCCATGCGAGTGGTAAGAGGCTGACTGCCAGACCTGAGCAAGCCAAGATGGAAAGCAGAGATGGAAGGAATGGCTTCGATGGAAATTTCCTGGAAGTCCAACTTTGATGATTGAATGTGCCACAACTCACCAAAGGTGGCACACCCGAGTGAAGAGCAGGGGTGAACAGGCAAAATTTTCAGAGATGATGGTCTCTCCACACGAGAAAATGTTGGGACATTTTGGCACATCCTTGATGATGAAGATGAGTATGTCCTGTAGAAGTTCACGGGAAGCTGATAAATGGGTGGTTCTCGGTAGCTCAGGCTGACGGCTTGTGATGCATGTGATGACTAGTCAGGACAATCCACTGACCATATGCAATAATACCTTCATAAAAACACTAATATTAACAAGGAGATACTCATCAGTTACACATCGGGGGTCTCAACATTTTACCTCTTGCAAGATTTCAATCAAAAGCATATCTGGACATGGCTAGAGCACTCCAGAGCACTCTAGAGTACCTTTTGAATGTAATTTCACTGGCGGTAAAAGGTGGTAAAATATTAGTTCCCCGCTGGGCTCAAGTTAGGTTTATAACGATCTTTAATTATAAGGAAATTTTCGAAATATTATGTAATATAATCAAACATTCTTGTCCTTAGATAGGAGAAAAGGTCACTGAAACCAACCCTCCAGCTAAAACCTGTCCGGCACAAAGTACAGTGCTACGGTGGATATATCCACAGTCCGGCGGCAAGAAACAGCCAGGTAGCGGACTTTCAAAACACCCTAGGTACGTCTAATAGTACATGTTAATCTTATCACTCCTTATTATTTTCGTATGGACCTCGTATGAGTCTCAGCTACAGTCGCGGACAAGCAAACTCGACAACTTTGTTTTTGGCTCAGAGAAATTTTTTTGGCATCAAACTGAGTACAGGAATAGATTCCGAGTGTCGAATTACCTCTAAAACTGGTGTTGTTTGAATTTTCCCATGTGTTTTCAGGCTGGCCAAATTTTCGGCCATTTTCAACAACATATATTTATGTCTGTGCAGGCTGCGCTCTGTGGAGTACCGCTTCTATTGACATCATGGCACACTGTGAGACTTGGCGGTGCTGTTTTTGCTTCTGAACTGCCCATTCTGCCACTCTTCCTGTGTAGTGCTGCCGCAGTCTTGTTCTGAACCTTGGTTTGAACCTGAACCTTTCTGAACCGGACACATGGTCCAGTCCAAGGTTCGGCCAAGACTCAGAACCGAACCTTTCTAGAGGTTCGGGGTTTGGGCTGGTAGTGAATAGGTTCGAACAGGTTTGAACCTCTCAATTTCTGTCGGCTTCACACTTTTTTTAAACATATGTAAGTATTCACTACGTGTCAATATATGCAAAGGCATGTGTCTGGAACCACAGGTTTGGGCCATCGGGTGAAATTGATGCAGTCTTGTTGCACCTGCCACGGTTGTGATGCACTGTGACACAGGACTACACTGTCACAAATTCATGTTCAAACACTTATGTCGCATCAAACCTAGGCCTCATCCATGCCACGTCACTCCTCTGCACTCCGAGTCACTCTGACTCTTATCACCAGGGTGGTCATTAAGTTCCTATACTATAGGAAGACTGCAATCCATGACTCGCACAGGCTGGATTAATTTGCGCAGGTGTTACGACTTGGATGGTATCTGTTGGCGACGCTCAAACAGAGCGTGTGTCGTCAACAGTCAAGGACGTCCTTGGGCTAGCCCAAGGTTAGGGGTCTTACTTGGTGAGGCTTCGGCAAGTAAGATTTGATGCCTATGTCCAAATCGGGTAGCTTATGTCAAGCGGGTGCTAGACGATAAGCTATATCGGCCGAGGCTTATGACACCCGAAGGTTAATCGTAAGATCGTCATTAATTAGAAGGACAGAAGTCCGACTAGTTAACAGGGGCTTTGCTCGTTGACGAAGTCGATGAGTAAAGATCGAGACTAAAGACTTATCCGTGAAGAGCAGATAAGAGGATAGAATATAGACTGCTGGCTAGGCAGAAAGGATCACTCTGGTGAGAGTAGGAGGTCAAGAACCAAGTAGATTCAAGTTAAGGAATATGGTACATGGTAACGAGTTTATATAGAGGACATGAAGTGTATTAGTGGGTGATAACTCATACTACCAGAAGAGGGAACTGGTGAAGGGTAAGACCATAAAAGGAAGGCACGTTCGAGGTGATACACGGGTGATCCTGAACGTGCAGATAAGAAAGTGAGTCAAAGATCGAAATAAGAAGTGAAATGCGCAGGGGCACGACCGTGCAACTGCGGAGCTAAATATAAGTAACATGTGCGACTGCGCACAAAGTCATAGATCTAGAAAGGGAACTGGGCATAGGGGACGTGGCATGCGTCGTATCATAGGTTACCATCCAGATGGTAAGGGGACTGTCCACAGGATCAGTCAGGAGGTGGAACGGAGCATGGGTATGCTTCGTCAGCAAAAGGATCCGGCCAGATGTACTGGCTCTGCTGCAGCGACAGGTAGAGGGCGAAGGAGAATGCAAGGATGACCAGTATGACGAGAGTAAGGTCGGGGTAAGGGTGTGATGCAAGGGCTGATACGAGGAGGATCAGGAGAAAAATAGTAGGGGCCCAAGCATCAAGATGTTCTTGTAACAGCAGGTGTTCTCATTGCAGGGAATATGGATCAGTGATCGTAAATAACATCTTGACTTGCTCTCTCCTCTCAAGTACTAACACATGAAGCTCAGCTTCAATCTCACATAATACAGTAACATATACCCATCTCAGATGGGCAGCCAAGTGTGACAATGTACCACTAGGGACGGGCCATCCCATGTGGGCCCATGGGAATAATTGTGCCATGGTACATGAGTGGGCTGAGTGAACATTTGTACCCAAGACAGACAGATGGGCCAGGGGTATATGATATGAACAGTAGTATATGAATGTACTAGTATGTAGGACATTGTGGATAGAATCTGGTCTACAATGGAGACAAGTGGGCTGGACAAACATCAGTACCTGATGCCAACGGAAGGGCCAAGGGCATGGAATATAGACAAATGGGCTGGATGAATGTTTGTACCCAGGGCACACGTATGGGCCAAGGCCATATGGTATAGACAATAGTATAGGAATCTACTAGTATATATAAAATTATCAACAGAATCCGGTCCACAGTGGAGACGAGTGGGCCGGATGAATGTCAGTACCCGATGCCAACGGATGGGCCGAGGGCATATAGTATAGACATTTGTATAGGAATATACTGGTATATACAAAATTATCAATATAATCTGGCCTACAATACAGACAAGTGGGCCAAAAGATTCATATACACAGGGGATCCAGTCAAATGAATCACCCAGTCAAACGCACCACCCGGTCGAACAAATCACCCGGTCGAGTGCACCATCTGGTCGAAAACATCACCCTCTGGAATGCACCACATGGTCAAAAACATCACCCCCTGGAATGCACCACCTGGTTGAAAAGATCACCCAGTCAAATTGCAGACCTCCAGCTGGGGTAGACTAGGATACATTGGTGGATATTTGGGGTGATCTATACAAGGATACTAATTATGCTAAAACACTAGGTAGGTGAATACTGATTGAAGTAGACCACAATAGATGTCCCAGCTGGTATATAAGTGTGTGTTGCTCATGTACCTGATTCTGGCAGATGAATGGATGTCAGATGCAACAACTGGTACATCCAGGAGATATCATCAAGGCAGCTTCTAAAATGGAAACCAAACTGCAATAGTGAATTTTCTCTGATATGTGCATTGTATCGAACAATCTAAATCAACATTCAAAAAAGATTAGGAAGGCTACATGTATGATCCCTTGTCTAAACATCCAGGTCACTGCATTGTACATTGCCATACTTTGCATAGTCTGTCCTTGGAGTTCCGACAAAATTATGGATACTGTCTCTCATGTACCATGCAGTGACAATATGACTGCCCTCTTCAACATTCATGTGATGTCTCACAAGGCAACATGATGCAGCCAACATTGACCCTGAGTCGTATAGAAATTTGATACCAAGATTCATGAAATCCATCACGACCAGGTGATAAATACCTGCAGTTGTCATGATATCAAATGCCTCCGGTCAACATTTGGGATCTCTATGAGGTGGTGAACGGCGGTTGCAGATGACTGACACCACATTGAAGACAGATGTCCAACACTCTAGGTGATAGTACATGTCTTGCAACTAATAATGAATTGTCCATTCACCCAGCCTGACATGGATTTCTATTCCAGCTTGAAAAAGGTCTGGGTGCATGACCTGAAGTGCCGCAGAGACAAGGATACTAGACCTTTGTAATGAGGTCATGATATTGTGGCCACTGTCACCTTTCAATGTGGCTGATACTCCAGGTGAGAAGCCATCTTCCGGATCAAGATTTGGGAAACCGTGTTTCTACAACACTTCAGTCCGGTAACCTCAATCCATATGGACCATACATACCTCTATTCCTTGCTGAAGCCATGCTGGTGATATATTGATGCAACCAGGGGTAACCTTTCCATCCAGACTCGGGTAAAAATTGGACTCATGGGTCCTCCATTCTGTGACCTTCCTGGTTGTGATGCTATCAATCAACAAATCACGCATGGAATGTGTGGCGCAGTACATATCCGTCTGAATTTGTCATATATACCAGATAAGATGAAATAAAAATGAATGTGGATAGAAGACATACCATCATCATACCGGTCATTCCTCCAGGCAAATACCAGACGATAATCCTTCCTCTGGAATCAATGATAATGCTCGGTGTTGTCAACAAAAGCTGCTGAGTAGGAGGGAATTTCTCCAAAAGAGCTTGCTCTCATTTGTCACTTTGACCAGATTCAGTTTTGTCAAGTGATTCATTGTACCTAACCATGTCAATTTCAAGATGAACTGCTGGCAGGTTATTTGACCGGTAAGGATAATATCATCAAAGAAAGCATACCAGGATTAGTATAGGCAATGGCCAGGACATTGGCAAGGTGCTCCAAAGCAATGCATGTGTCGATATCCAAGAGCCCAGTGCTCATTTGCTGTACCGGTTGTTGGGAAATTTTGGAGATGAAGATGTCATACACCAATTCACCAGCTAGGTAGGTCTGGTATAATGCCCAGTCTTGTGGAATGTTCACCATGTGTAGAGGAAATGAATGGCCTGTTAAGGGACAAGGAATGAAGCAAAACCAGGAGAATTTATGCCTGACTGGAGTAAAGACGTTGTTGGTGACAGCACGACCCAAGGCACTGATAGAACTGAATTCAGGGAATATGGGGGTACCAGGGATGACAATGGGTGGTGGGTTGAATGAGGGTGGAGTTGAGACCATTGCTGCAGCCGTCCATTGGTTGTCTCTAAGGTAATGAGCAATGCCACTCACCTGGGTGGCCAAAGTATCTACCAGTCCCTTCTGGATGCCCAATTGTCCGGTATAGTCAGCATGCAGCCGGTTGATGCAATCAGACAGCTTGGTATGAATGGTCTCATCGTGTGTGCAGAGCTCCACCATATTGAGCTGAATCTGGGCCAACATCGCCTCGATATCCACATCCATGGAAGGACGGGGATGCTGGTCGGACTGCAAGGGTAGGGAAGCAGTGACAGGGGAATAGGGTCTGTAAGTGCAAGCCAGATAGACAGGCGAGTACCGGACTTCACCTGGTGTGTCCTCAAATGACGCTGGAGATAGGAGGTGGTCATCGACAGGTTTGATCCAATGATCTGCAGGAAAATCATCTGCAGATGCCAAAGGTGCATCATGCGAGGTGGGACTGGGATCACCGGGACCTGCGACAGCATCAGGATCGAGCATCTCGACATCAACATCCAGGGCCTCTGAGATGGGACTAGGACGACAAGTATGTGTATCTAAATGGATAGATCAGCTAACACACACAAGAGAAACTGAGAGACTACCTTTTCTTGTGGATTTTTTAGCGTTCCTGATCTTGATGGTCATCTTGGAGCAAGTGAGGATAGGTGCAACTGGATGTGTGGGCATGGCAGTCTTGTCAGATGTGTGCATGGCTGGTTCAACCGCCTGGATACATCTCATCCTCCACTTGTTGCAGAGGGTGCAAGTACGGGCTAGCTCGCCCCTCTTTGTGACCCATGGTTCACATTCCAGGTTCATAGATGTACATCTCATACATGGCTGCAGAGATGAACCGATGGGTTGCTATAGAGGCCATCAGTATGACACCACCGGATGGCACAGAATTCATACCGGACGCCGACACTTGCCCTTGCCCTTGGTGTCACCCTTCTTGGTTCCTGCCTGGCATTCACCGGACTTAGACTGACAGAATATTAGATATATATAACACCGGGTCTAGGATATACAAACTTACTGGTTCTTTGCCTTTGCCCGGCTTGACCTTTGTCTGGATCCAAATGAGTTATCAGCCGGTAGAAATACATGGTACTTGCCTTTTCCTTGTAGTCAGTAAGTTCAACTTCATCCTCTACATCTTCCTCCACTTCTGAATCATCCCAATCTGGCATCTCGTCCTTCTTTGAAGGTGGTGGTGGTGGAGGCAGAGCACGGATGACAACAACCGGTAACTTCTGCGAATACCAATATAATTGCCTGTTGTGAGAAAAAATGATGAGCGCACCTTTTTGACCATGTCTCATCTCAAATTCAGTGCCTGAGTTCCTTTGTCAGTGGGGGTAAGTACATAAAAAAACATCATACATCGACATCCGGATTATCACCATCCGGTGACAGAGTCCTTGCCTTGGCCTTTCCCTTTCCCTTGGCCTTTGTCTTGTTGTTGCCGATGCGAACTGCATCGGTTTCGGTATCGGCCAAACACTTTGACTTGGTGATAGCCTTCCGTGCTCGCTCGACAGGACATGGGGGGCTAGTGCTGAATTGTTGTTTGCAAGGTCTCAATGGACCTGCAATTGTACCAGAGGTTGCACCGCCAGGGATACTGACCATCCCTACAGGTGGTAACGTTGCAATGGGAGGGATTGACTGAGAGAGACCTGGTACTGGGGCAGGGAGAGGTAAAGGGAACCTGTTGTAGGTAATCAGAGTTGGTTATGGATAATATTGACAGTATAGCCTGATTTGCACCAACCCCAATACTATGTACAAGGTTCATGGGATAGCCCGTCCCCATTGGTACATTGTCACGTTTGGCTGCCCATCTGAGATGGGTGAATTCACTGAAGGAGCTCGGGCTGTTTGTTGGGCTCTGCACATGGCTTCCCTCGGAGGCAGCCATGTCTTGTCATGTGGATCATCATCCATGGATGCTGCAAGATCAATTAGCCATGAACAGCAGTTGGTGTCATCCAGCTCATCCAAGTGAGTGATATCCTCTTGGTCTGACTCAATATCTGATTCATCATAATTAGCAACAAATTTTAGACTGTCGAGGACAGTAGGGGGTTGCCAATTTTCTTCTGAACAATCACTAACACTCCTAGGGCTGGGGACTCGAGAACATGAATATGAAAGCCTCATTCTTTTTGAAGGCAAGTCTTCAGAGTGATTTTATTTGGAAATTGATGAGATACTGGCTGCACGACACTGATTTCAAAGCCCTTTGAGATTCTGTTGTTGTTTGCACTTGGGTGGGTGTCCGCGGCTCATTTTCAGTGACTTCAAACACAGCAAGTGTTAGACTTTTTTTTTCTTTATGTACGCTAACCTTTTATAAATTCTGACCACAGGATCAAACTTGCACTAGCCTAAAGAACATTTTCCGCATTTTTTGGGATTTTTCTCAATTTGTTTGGGGGGTTGGCCAAATTTTGACTAGTTGCAAAGTTGGACCTTGCCTGAGAGAGATTGGCTTGTGCAAATTACTTCATTATGTCCTAAATATGATGTCTATAGCATTAAAAGTATGATTCGAGCAACTGTGGAGTGCATAAAAATCAAAGACCAGATTTGTCGAGTTTGCTTGTCCGCAACTGTACCGCTCCTCAATAGTTACTGTCCAGAGCCCCAGCGGGTGTGGGCTACCTCTACCAGTAAAGTTCAAGCAGGGCAGTATCAAAGGAGAGGGTGGGTTGCTAGTAATCACTCATGGCTAGCTACTAGGGCTTTGGATATGGTGGGCAGTGTGATCGAAGCAACATGGTATTGTCATGTAAATAGTTGATAAAGAATAGATTGTTAGTTAGGAAGCATTGAAGTGAGCTGGAGGTATCGGGTATTGGTGCTGTAGTTGAATGTCGAGGGTGTTTTTAATGTCCGACGTGCCGTCTGTTAGCTACCAGCTTTGCCCCCGTTCTTGCCGCAGTGCGCCCCGGACTTTTATGCGCCGGAGGGGTGGTTTCAGGGATGTTCTCAGATAGGATATTTCCGAAATCTTACATAACTTCTTTTACGTTGCGCTCCTCGTCCACCATCACAACTTAGCCTTATTGATGTTTACAATAGATTGTCAAATTAACGCTCGAGAGCGAGGCGTATATATAGCTGCGGATTTGAATTGATACCAGATCAACAACTCTTTCAATCTGCAGTGATGTCCACCTCGCCTAAATACGCACCTTACTCACCCCAGGCAATCAAAGCCAACACGATTTCGGTTGAATCCCTAGGAGTGCAATACAACATCCACTCCGTGCGAATCACCTGGGTCGATCTAGCCAACGTTACTAGTTTCCGCGTTGTCCCTCTCAAATCCTTCCATCGCCTCCTCGCTTCCTCCAGGCCGGGTATAACCATCGCCCAATGCGTCTTCGGCTTCGTGATTAACAGAACCGCACCTGGATTTGGGCCTATAGGGGAGTACCTGTTTGTCGTCGATTTGTCATCCATCAGGTTGTGTTCCTACGCGCCAGGACATGTAAGTATTATGGGCTGGTTCCAGGATAAGGTCCCTGCTCCAGGCCGCGTCCTTGGTACGGGTGTACCCATGTGTCCACGATCGGCACTGCATCGTATCGTCAAGTGCGTCCTCTCTGACACCAGTTGATTGTGAACTCACTTGGACGTCCAGCACCGCCAAATCTTACAATGCCGCGTTCCTTGTTGGATTTGAGACCGAATTCATTCTCCTCAAAAGCACAGACCCGATCGAGGGGGTCAATCCACATGGGTGGAACAGCGCACGAGCGCTACCTTCGGGAACCAAGGAAACAGAAGTGATCGAGGAGATTGCACGTGGGCTCATCGAAAGCGGAATCGAACTGATGATGTATCATTCTGAAGCGGCGCCGGGGCAGGTTGGTGTAGCCGACTTTTGTTGGTCTTTCTATCCACTGATTTTGTACTGCCTCATAGTATGAGGTCATAACTGGTCCACTCCCACCTCTTGAAGCTGCTGATGCGCTTGTGCACACACGGGAGACAATCACCAACGTTGCAAGCAAACACGGGTTTCGTGCGACGTTTGCACCAAGGTTACATGCCGATAACTGTACGTATCATTTCCGTAGTCGATCATTTCTCTCCGTCTTCTGCCAATATGTTCACACCCTGAGTCCACCCTGTCTGATTCACGCTCTCGTATAGGTGGCAGTGCAGCTCACACTCATATCTCCGTACATCCTATCAATTCCGAGCATCCATCCAAATCGCCTGCAGGCACGTCAGACAATCTTATCACTCCCCTCGAAAGCGTTTTCCTGGCTGGTGTACTCAGACACCTCCAAGCTTGCTGTGCATTCACGCTCCCCCTACGTGCCTCCTATGCACGCATGCTCGATGGAATTTGGAGCGGCGGGACATGGGTCGCGTGGGGAAGGGACAACCGTGAGGCGCCCGTACGCTTGTGTGTTCCTGCTGCATCTTTAGATCCAAATCCCGCAACCAACGCTCCCTCGAAAAACCATTTCGAAATAAAATGTGTAGATGGCACGTCTTCCCCTTACCTCGTTCTTGCCAGTCTCATCGGCTCTGGGCTTCTTGGCATCCAATCTCAAGCACCGCTCGTAGAGCAAGATTGTGCTACGCCCGCTGCGCTTATGACTGAGGCAGAAAGGGAGGCAGTGGGTGTTACGCGGCGGATGCCGATGTCTTGGGAAGAGGCAAGGGCTGCATTGAAGGCAGATGAAGAATTAAAGGGTGTTCTTGGAGTCCTTGTAGATGGATTCTTATCGGCGGGAGAGGTGAGTCAGGATCTATTGCGTCGTATTTTCAACTGGTCTGCCGTATCATTTATGCGGGTGCTGATTTATTGTTGTAATCAGTTACTGGATGAGCTTCTACGCTCTCCAGCAAGTGAGATGAAGAAAGTGCAGATGCTCGTGGAGTATTTTTAAGATCAGACGGGCTCTTAGGTTTCTTTGATTGTTCCAAGTTTGGATAGCGCATGATTCACTTGTTGATATCAGTGTCGTAAAAATGATGTTCCCCAGTTTCAAAAAATGCCAACATCGTTCACATCTTGGTATCGCGCGACCCTGGTACTGCCTTAGTGACGGTTCCATCGAGTTTCATTCGTCAATACAGCGGCAGTGACATACAGAGTCACGTTTCTTTTGCTTGGCTGGTCGTTTTTGGCTTCAGGCTGATGAGCATAGCCGAGTCATGCGACCATGCCATCAGCTCATGATGGATTATTACGGATACGTGGATACTGGGCAGTGCGGTTTCTACAACAGGCCATCGATCTATGTCTTTGCGGGCTCATGACACTAGCGTAATAGCCGAGACAATGGACGAGGTGGCCGACGTGATGTGATAGATGCCTGGACCCTGCTAGTGGACCAGTAGGGGAGGGCCTGAAAAGTATCAGCTGCTGGCATGGACTTTAGATGGATGAGCTAACTATGCTTCGGGGGGCCAATGAGCGAGGCGCTGGGAAGCACAAACCTTCTTTGATGGCATTAAAGCTGCACGCGGTCACGATGGTTTTGTCTTCAAGTTTGGTTGTACGAAGCACGTGTCGGCAATAATCCCACCCATTTGTTTGCCCGTGTGGACATCCGTCCATTTGACATCCCACGCTTCTGGTAATATGAATATGCTCGTCACAGCTGCCATGTCACCGGTGCATCTCGGCGACAGGACTGCAGGAAAATTGCTACACCCACGAAATGACTGGAAGGAATAGGTTCTACCGCGGTATCATCCGCCAGGCATAACCATTTTGCGATAATTTAAAAGAAAGTCATCTTCTAACCACTGTCACCAGCCTCCCTCGAAAGAAATCGCTCGAGCACCTCAGCAGAACTTCGAACAAACAATGCGTTTTTTCTACCTCACCTTCATTGTTGCATTGGCAGCATCTATAACAGTGTCTGTCACAGCAAGGCAGCAATACACGCGTGACGAAACTGGGAACTTGCGCAGAAAGCCATGTAGCGAGCCTGGAGGCTGGTGCTCAGCGTATACTGATTGTTGCAATATCAATGATTCCTGTGTCAACGAGGCGTGTGTGGGTCCAAGCCGCTCACCCTGAAAACAAGCCGACATGTGGTGGTACACTAGTGAGTGTTCACGTTCGCATTGGTGCTATTGTTGATTGAGCAATATATAAGTGGAAACCTGCTGACTGAGAAATGAACGAAGGCGACATTGGGCATACTATGGAGGACATGATGTCAGTGTATAAGTCTACGTACCATTTGGTCTTCGGGTAAATAGAACAAACCTCAAACAACAATTTTAACAAGAACACACTGTGTTATGCGACCTAAGTTTGAGAGAAAACAAAGACAATCTGGTCGTGATTACAAGACACCACACGCTAATCGTACCGCGTATCACAAACAGAAATATAACTTATGTGTGAACGAGAGCTCATTCCAAAGATGAACAAACTATCGGTTCTTGAAGCGGTACAGCGAATATATAGTGCGAGACGAGTCCGAGTCTGGTGTTCGGAATGGATAGATAGATGAGGGTAATATCCAAACCAAGAACGTCATCTTCATCGGCATCGTCATCCGCGAAGTAGGCGCTATGCCACTATGTGGGGTATACGCTTTGACAAAGAATGTTGATGTTGAATATCAATATTGTGATGCAAGACGATGATATATATATGTACTGGCTCTAATGTCCCCTTGAAACGCTGAATACTACGAATGATCACCATTAACTAAAACCAAAGAGAAACGAGACATACGGTATTTCTCTTTATTCAGTGCACTGGAAAACGTAAACACACGAAAATGCTGTACTATTACAGCAAAGTCCAAAGCGAGGTCGAGGGGGAACAGTTGTATTTCTTTGGATGGGTAGTGGGGTGCTCAAGCTCAATACCGGAGCACGCTATTATAAATCGAGTTCAGTGAGACAGAAAAATAAAAGCGACCCAGTGGTTCTCAAATTGCCATGCTACCCAGTGGAGGGGACTTGTGACCTATGAGAACGGTCCTAAAGCTTGAAGGTTACCAGCGGAAGTAAAGGTAAAACCAGATGCAGATTCACAGGCGAGGCTTGAGTAATAGTACTGTGCCACAATGGTCGAGGTCGTGTGTCACCGCGTTGGGTAAGGTTCGTACTCTATAATGGTTGATAAGATAACGAGGCAACTTGGATAAAAGGGTGAATTAAAGAGAAGAGCTTACATATACGTCCGAGTCGTCAGTTGATGGGACGGTCAATCAGACAAAGACGCACGTGGGGTGTAGACTCGCGTTTGGGCATCGATGTATAGTCGAATGTTGGTCTTGCTCATATTCAAATCAGTATTTCATGCAGGAATTCACATCAAATACACCCCTCACAATAGGATTACAGTAGAAGACGCTCCTGCAGGTTCTACCGGAATTTCGGCCATTTGATAGCAATAACGATTCTACCTAATTGATTAGAATCATGTCCATGAGTATACAAAGCTGGCCGTCATCCTACATTGTTCCCCATCCTCAGAGACATCATTTGAGATCCCCCTCAGAAGATTCTATATCACCTCGCACAAAAAATGTTTCTCTTTCCTCCATGTTGTCGTTGCTTTGACAGCATATACGGCTGTCAGCGCATCATGTACCGAAACACCTTGCATGACAGATGATGATTGCTGCCTATACTGGGTTTGTAAACTTGATGTTAACGTATGAGCAGTGCAATCAGGGTTCAACCACACGACTCACCTGAGCGCCTTAGACTGTAAAGTTGACCTGCACATATGGGTTGAAAATTGAAGACTGAGCCGGCAGTTCGAGTGGTAGGTCGCAACAGTGAATCATGTTTCTAATTTTGCTTTGATATTATGGTTGATGATGCAATACTTGATAGTTCAGAGTTGATTAGTTCTTCGTACTACTTAAATGATGTGTCTTGCTTGGTTGTATTTTGGGACTGCCATGGTGCGCCGTATCCCGCGAGATGCAGTGATTTGATGAGAAATGGATTGGGTCACAGTTGCAGGTTCTACCGGAACTTATGCCATTCGATAGCAATAACGATTCTGCCTGATTAATTAGAATCGTGTCCATGAGTCTACAAAGTTGAACGTCGTCCTACAGTGTTCCCTCATCCTCAGAGATATCATTCGAGATTCCTTTCAGAAGATTCTATATCACTTCGCATATAAAATGCGTTTCTCCTTCCTCACCATTGTCGTTGCTTTGACAGCATCCTTGTCTGTCAGCGCATGTAACGACAAACCTTGCTGATCAGATAAAGATTGCTGCTCAATTTGATCTTGTATGAGCATGAGCAGTGCAACTAGGATTCAACCACGCGACTCACCTGCGCGCCTTCCAATAAGGCACAATGGGCTTGCTCGACGTGGGACGAAAATTGAAAATTGAGCTGACAGTTCGAGCTGCACGTTGCAACAGCGATTCAGATTTTTGATATCATGATTGATGGTGTACTACCTAGTAGTCCGGAGTTGATCAGTTTTTCGTACTACTTGAGCAATGGGAATGACTGAACTTATTGAAAATCATCGACAGTGCCTAGTCTTGCTCGTGAACCACTAAGCCTGAGTTTAAGAGGCTGTCGAAATGAGCGACTGCCGCTCTTGAATATTGGGAGGTTGTTACGAAGATAGAACGCACTGCGCAAAGTCGTAGATACTCTTGAATCTGTTCGTCTAACGTTGGCCACGAAGGCTAGCCATGGATCTCTTCCTCTCTGTTGTCTTCATGATTCGTGACAAACGTGTTATTTTCTGGTGTGCAATCAAAGCCCAAGGTCATACGGGAGCATGCACTTGATGAAAGTGGGAAAAGAGGCCCGGCGACAGATGTGAAGATTGAAAGGAATTAATATTACTGCCTGTACAGTACTTCCCGTCACAGAGTAATGTGCGAAGCTTGAGAGTGATTCTAGCGAATATTGGATCAATGGATAGCCTAGGTACAAGGAACGGTCCGAGTCGATGAGGAAGAGGAACCAAGTTGGTAGAGCGTTAGCTGATAGTCATTAGCTTCGTTTTGCGACTTTCGCCAACGCCGTTGGGTGTCTCCAAGGGAGTACAGCGCCATGGACCAACTTGTACGAGATGTGCACGGACTAGTGGTAACCAATACCATAGTACTGGTACCAATGTGATGGTGGTATTGTCCAATCCATCCAGGAACTGGCCCCGTTGATAAAGAGATCGGTGCTGAAGGAAACTTTTCCCTTGAAAGCGGGCGCGTTGAAGTCGTGAGTGGATGCAGAGGGCATGATGACAATGGATTGGTATATCTCAAGTTGTGTATAAATGGAAGCGGTGTGCCATCACTATGGGCCCATTGATCATTGGTTCAATGCCTCTGCCAGTGCCTTGCTCGCCAGTGTTGTCTCCCGAGACATTGGTGGCGTTGCGAGTAAACATTCAAATTTTCTCACAGTCTTCGTCTCGACCTTACTTTGAGCTCCCCGCGTCGATGTTGAAATATCCACTTGCAGATACAACCATTCTTTATACCCTACAGCATGTACTGCCCGCTCACAAATATCTCGTGCATCCTCGATTTCCTTACCCGCTTTTAAGTTTCATTGACGAGTGGGTCTTATCGCCGGGCCCGCTGATCATTCGCTTCCCGTCCGAAAAGTAGGATATGGATGGACGGTCTGGAAGTCATTTCCCGTTTGTCCGCTAGCGAGGTTTAGCGGATGCGAAAAATGTTTTATTCGAAAGTATTCATCTGTTTACATCGAAAAGCACAGGTCACAAATCAAAACTTTACATGGAGGGGTGGCTGTGCAGCTGCTTATCATTGACCATAATATTCTGAGGTCTGATCGATGGGCAACGAGAAGAAAAATACAAGCAAAGCAGCCGCAAAGGCGGCCAAAAAGCAGAAAGCAGAAGTCAAGACTTCCAAGAAAGAAAAGAAGAAGATCAAAAAGACAACCGATGCACCTCTAGATGATGAAGATTTGGAGGCCATCCTCGACAAGGTAATTTCCATCGCATGCGTCCAAGATCGAGCTGACCTAACGGTATCTGCTAGTAGCTGAACCGCGAATGGGAAGATGCACACAAGGTCACGGAGGAACTAGTCGAGGGCCCACCTTCACGGCGCGCGAACGCGACTCTAACGCCTTGCCCAAGCGGAAACCACTTGTGGTGCATCGGAGGTGAATTCTTTAGCGATGATGGCAAGGCCTACTTTTACAACGACGTCTACCGCTACAACCCTGATAAGGATGAGTGGCGCAAGTTTGTGAGCCCTACTTGCCCTGGGCCTCGCAGCGCACATGCCGTGGTCGCTTCGGCAGCTGGAGGAGGAAAGCTCTTCTTGTTCGGTGGCGAGTTTAGCTCATTGCATCAGAACACCTTCCATCACTACAGGGATTTTTGGTGCTTTGATATCAGCACCCATTCGTGGGATCGCTTGGATACTAAGGTCAGACCCAGCGCGAGGTCAGGACATCGGTGCGTAAGAAATACTTTTGTGCTTCATCTAATTCTCAGCGTTGTACAGAATGGCAATGTGGAAGCACTACATCGTTCTATTTGGTGGTTTTTATGACCCAGGGTATCGCAGTATGTCTCCAGCATGGAATCCCGCTTGTTCGTGTTGCACTAATATATGTAAAAAATCAAGCCCAATATCTAAATGATACCTGGGTATTTGATACTCAGGAGTATAAATGGCGACAGATCGAATTCAAGGATAATGATCGGAAACTGTCGTGCGTCGTTCCCTGTTTACTTCCTCGAATTTTACCTAGTCATACATCAATTACTACGCAGCGCTAGGAGCGGGTTCTCCTTTCTCTCCACGCCAGAAGGAATTGTTTTACATGGTATGTATGCAACTTTGTCATCAGACACCACTTCCCTATGATGCATGCAGGAGGTTATTGTAAAGAATACACCAAGGGTAAACGTCCTGTTGGCGTAATGCTCGACGACACCTGGTTTCTCCGGTAGGATTTTCCATCTCCTGCTTCCTATCCCATTGCAGCTCGTACACAGCATGTCACTCGAAACTTCACAATCTACATCAGTCTCCTCGGATTCGCTCAGTTTAAAATGGGAAAGGCGAAAGAAACCAACCTTCACGCCGCATATCCGGAGCGGCTGCACTATGGCACTATGGTCAGCCAAGGGTATGGGCATCCTGTTTGGCGGCGTGACAGACGACGACAGGGATGAAGAGAGCCTCGAGAGCATATTTTGGAATGATCTGTAAGTTATCTGAAGGAGCCTCAGTCGGCGTGTGGGTTGTTGTCATCTCGTGAGACGTTATCTTGGCTTGCGGTTATACTGGTGGTGGAACTGCAGACTGACACAATCTTGCGCAGCTACGGATATCAACTCGTTGGCAATGGGCGTTGGCAATCAATGACACTCAAGAAGCAGAAAAAATCCGGGAGAAGTGGAAAGCGAAAGCCTGCAGCTGTTCAGCAAGGAGAATCGGATGAAGATGACGATACAGTCACGACCCAAGAGGCTAAGAACACCAAGGTCTGATTCCACTCATGCGGTGTTGGATATCTAACTCAGACTAGCAGGACCCTGATGTTGATCCTGATGATCCAATACTAACAACCCCAATACCACGGTACAACGCCATGTTAGCTGCACTGAGGAATACACTATACATGTACGTGGATCTTTGCCATGATCATCGTGTACTGCCTTAATCGTTCTCCGCCCATATCAGCTATGGCGGCATCTTTGAGCGTGGGTCAAGGGAATACACACTTGATGATTTCTATTCTATCCAGCTCGACAAGCTCGAACGGTACACGTGCCTTAAGCACAGCGGTATCGTTATCCCAGTGGAGGGCGACGAGAGCAGCAGCGACGAAGATGACGAGGGTGTAGAGAGCGACGAAGATGGTGATAGTGATAATGAAACGCGAGCAGGGGAAGATGATGTGGGACTAAACCTTGAAAAGCTTGATGATAGTCACGATGACGAAGAAGCTGATGAGCCTGTAGATGTGCGAGTGAGTACACACATGATTATGTTGTGTGGTGCAGTGAAAATTGATGGTGCTTCGAGCACCACGAGGTACGTGCGCAGGCGACGGCATTCATGGGTGTATCCAAAGATACAGCGCGCTCTGCGGAGGATGTGATTAGCACACCAGAACCGGGAGAGACACTAGCCCTGTTTTATGCTCGAAGTCGTAAGCTTCTCTTTACCTCAGTCTCGCTTTAGCTCTGATCATTATGAAGGCGAATATTGGACCCAGAAAGCCCACGGCGTGAGCGATCATCGAGGCAAACAACTCAGGAGGGATGGCTTCAGCTTTGCAGAAGAACGGTATGGTACGTCTGATTGCGGTTGGTCAGCATTGACCATGTGTGTCGCTGACCATTCATTTTGTTACCCCGTTAGCGGAGTACAAACCTATCCTCGAAGAAGTAGAGAAGATCCTGGCCGAGGCAGGCCTCGATGAGGACGAGATGCGAGCAGGTGCTGCTCAGACTGGCGGAGGCGGAGGCATCGTGTCAAGTCGGAACCGTCGGTGAATAGTTGTGAACATCACAGATATATTTAGCGGAGGTGTAAGAAAGTCATTGAATAGTGACAGTCGGCCTAAGTCGTCCAGTGACATATCTTGTTCACGACGGACGCCAAGTTAGAAATTTAACCCAGATGAGTTTCACCTCGCACGCGTACTAACAATGACATTCTACAACAACTTCTGATTTGGGGGTTGACATGATCTCCTCAGTAATCTCTCTGTGTTACACTCCTAGACATCAACCGTAAGGCACGCCTGCGGGCAATTATCGCAGGACCCCCTATCCATAGAGCAAATCGCAATACAAGATTCCAAGTTGCAACATTACGAATAGCTTCTATAAGCGCGGCGTCCAAACATATTTCGCGCGTCACACTTAGAGCGCTGTACAGATCCCCAAACAAAATTCCATAAGGTCTACTTGACGAAATAACCAGATGATGTTTGGACTCAGCGAATCTAGACCGGCCTGAGATTCAAAAATATAATATATAGACTATTAAAAGCCCGTAGGCTTTTCGGGATACCTAGAATAGTTTGTAGCCTCCTGTGAATGTACTAGTAAGTGTCCACTAATATGGTAAGTCACGGTTTGACGGTTATTCTTCATCACCGCAGTAACTACAGCACAGAGCAACTGTATACGACTGTAAATTCACCTGTCCGACCAGCGCGCCTCATAACTCTAAATACCTATCAATATTACTACTAACCTTAGTACACCGAAGTAACCATAAAATTGCTTCTCTCGTTACTAAACAATTGGCCATAGGGAGGCAAATAAATGAGTCAAACGTCCGGTATCGTACCCACTCATCGATATATGCCCGGTCGTTCGCTAAAAAACAAACTCAGCCTCTTTAAAATGAAAACCATTTGGCATCCCTCTCATTCCTTACAAAAACTCCCTTCGCGACCTCTTCCCCATTTTCAGGAACGAACCTGAGTTCGACGACGATTCCGGTGGTGATACATTTGACGATATCTTTGAGATTATCTCGGATATGCACAGCTCCCAGGACTCGGTATCATCGCTGTTGCCTCCACCTGCCATCCATAACCGGTCTTCGCAATATTCTGAATCAATAGACACGAGCAGACATGACGATGAAGGTCATACTTCAGCTATGGTGAGGCTGAGAAAACATTTGTTTGCAGAAGTTGATGAAGACCGGTGCGCGGCGCCTTTGTCTGTATATTGCTTCATGACTGGTTTCATGTGCGTAAACTGTACTCTTTATCTACTTCACAACTCACTGGTATCTTTCTTCAGCGACTCGATTACATTCTCTGCTATATTTGTCTGGTGCGCCTTCCAAACGGGAAACAGTATGCAAGTACGAAGTAGCTCCGCGGTTGCAGAGGTCCCAACTAACATTCGTGCAATAGCTTGCCCTTGCCGTTGCTCGCCTGGTCAACGGGCAGCACGACTACTCGTTCCACATAGCGGACCGTCAAGCGCTGTGCTCAGTACTTGCGTTCCTTTCCGGCGCCTTCATCGGCCGTATCGGCGATAATTTAGGATGCAAGACACGGTTGTGGTTGTCCCTCGGCACATTCATTCAAACCCTCTTTACAATGGCCGCCGCTGTGTTGATGTGGAAGAGCGACGAGCTTAGCGTTGCTGATGTACGCGCCGACCCCGTATGGACTAACGCGTTGTCCTTCGTGTGCATTGGCTTCTTGAGCGCGAGCATGGGCTTGCAGGCCATTATGGGGAGGCGTGTCAATACTGAATTCACTACTACGGGTATGTTTCAACCATATTTCTATTTTTTCCTACTCTCTCATTTCTCTGCAGTTGTGCTCACAACGACTTGGTGTGAACTAATGGCTGACCCTAAGCTCTTTCACATCCGACGAATTGTTATTTCGCGCGATCACAAGATCATGGCTATTGCCAGCTTGTTCTTGGGAGGCTTCATCGGCCGTGTATTGATCGACAGTATTGGTTCGGCTGCCACGCTCGGCATCGGCACAGGCATCCGTTTGATTATCAGCATATGGTGGCTTTTCATCCCGGAGATGCAGGCCGAAAAGTAAAAATGAGTATCAAGTGTTCATGAGTGTTAATGTTCCATGTACATGTCCATATCCTCATTACCGATGACTAGAGACGAGATGCTACGGGTAGAGGAGACGAGAGGATGATGCGAACTGAGATGTTTTTTTTGCAACTATACCAGTAGTATGTTGCATTTGTAGTGCAGTATTGCCTAGAGTTTTTTTTCGTTTTTAGATGTAGACATCAAGATTTTGCATACACAGTGGGGAGAGCTTGGTCGAACACAAACGTATTCCCGTGCGTCGGTCCGTTCTCCCAGGTTTCTCACGGCTTTCTGGTTTTATCCACAAACCTCGGCCGAATCGATAAATCTGAGTCTCTCAAAGAGACTTCACACACTGTCTCCATTACTGCTTTCTTGTCAGCGCGTGGACGCTCTTTACCATCTCGCACGCTGTTAAATGTTTCAAGCGAAGATCAAACGTCTGACCATTGTCATACTCAAATGTCCTCTCACTACCGACTCTTGCAACCTCGTCGAGCCTCAAGCTCTGAGCTTCGTTGATTGGATCTTTTTCTTGTCCAAGCTACCCCTGCAATTCATCATGTGTCGCCATCTATAGCCTAGTACTGCACATGGTGAATATACAACGTTTAAACCCTAACCCGGCTCTCTGTCTCTATACATGGAAACTCATTCTGGGATGGCACAGATTGACCCTAACCCTAACCCTATCCGGCATCTAAGATTAACCCTGTAAGATAGTGCATTTACTCATCTTTGCGCTCAAAAGTTTGAAATTTACCTGATATCATTACCAAAATTTCATATCTATTTCCTGACTGAAAACCTCAAATAATAATAATAATATTCACATGACTCAAATTTTTTGTCAAAATGCCTCACTTTGCATTGTCATTTCACCGTTCATCCAAATTTCTTGATTTTCTCAATTCAAAATTTCAAGTGGAAATCTCTAATTTATCAAACGCATTTTTCAAATCTTGCTTGTATCAAAACTCCGAAACCGCCGGTATGTGTGCACTCTGAGATTCGCATCGCGTTGATTATCAGTAGGAATATTCTGTGGCGTCGTTGTTTACACAGCATTCCTGTGTACTAGGCTGAACCTCCACAAGGATGTCTCTGATGAAACCCGGTGTATCACTGCCACGATGCAAATCAACTATTACGCTCACCATTTTCAGCATCCTAATGATACGATAACTCGAGTTCCGAGGGAAAGCTGATAAGGCGTGCATGAAGCGATGACAGTTGACTTTTCTGGTCCGGCTTCATGCCGACGCAATGTGTGTTATGCTCCCCGGGGCTGTACTGGTGAGCCAAAGGGTGTCAAGATGACAATCTTTTCGACGGTCACAAGATGATCAGTATGCATCAAACTAATGAAGAAGTCCTTGGTTGCATTCATGGACTGATGCGCGTGTAGCAAAAACATCTCGATAACAACATTGGAAATTAGGTGCGAACAGTTCTTGATTGATCTAAGCACTGGATGGTGGTATAACTAGCACGAATGCTATTGTAACGTCAACCAAATTTGCCTCTCACCCACAAACATTCTCTCCCAATATGACCATAGTTTCAAATGATTCCTCTTGGTGGCCGGTCATTGATGCATATCGTTTTTCTAGCTATTTTACGCGTTAGTGGAGAGCAGTCAAATATTAAAACTGACCCAATCTAACCCTGGCTACGTTTTCACAGTTGCTGCCGTTGTTGCAGTGGTGTATGACTGGGGTGAGCGTGATAATATTAAGGGACTGCTGATATCTTACAAGTATTTTCAGCCCTTACGTTTGGACAAGAGGTATGTCGATGCTATGATCGAAGCAGCCATCTCGCTAACAATGGTCTTATAGGTCGAATTGGTCTGGGTGAGTACAGTCTCGTGTCAAGGGAACACACATGAAAGTATACTCAATTACAGAGGCAACGTTGGTCTCTGATGACATTTCTGTATCTCGGTGTATGTATCTTGTTCGTCCCAATTGTCATGCTGTATTGACTTGAAAGTATCCTAGGTGCGCTACCTTGGAATCTTATCTGCTGCGTATGTTCGGAAGGCTAAACAGTCGATGTCATGCTGATCGTCTATCTCTTATACTCAGCCTAACCGTGCTTAGTATGTCTTCTCATTATTTACTGTCCTTTCTTCTTCTAACCAACAGCATACAGACAGTCTTCCGACCATCTCGCTGACGGGCACAGTGAGTCTTCTGTACAGATGCTTCTATTCTCCTCCGATTAACCGCGGTGCCCTGTAGCAGTGGGTGTATTTGTTTACTAACTTGCTAGTCCACTCATGACCGCCACAGATGTGAGTCTGTTTGGAGTATGTGCTACTCGAGACTGGTCACTGACTGCTTTCATCAGGTCGGATTATGTACCTCGTTCTGGATTGGATCAATGTTTTGGTATTTCCGATGCTGTGGGGTGAGCTCGGCATTTGCGAGACCTCATTGATAATGACTTGATTGAAACATGCTGCAAGTCATCATCATCACTCGGTTGTATGCCATGTATCAAGGATCCAGAAAGATCCTGATATTTCTTATTGTCACCTTCCTTGCCGACAACATTTTCAACGTAGTGGTCGTCATAATGTCAACGATGCATATTTCAGCGGGTACGCTTGATTATGGATGAATACGAGCGTGCATGGGGCTAATTGATGAACACCAGAGGAATATATTATCTCCGGCACTTATATGTGCCCGATTAACCTTCCGGAAGATGTCTCACTTCTGGGTTCCATTACTTGGATACTCGGAACTGTATGGGAGGTCCTCGTACTATGTCTCGCAGTCTGGATTGCTGTAAAACACTTCCGTGAACTGCGACGTCATTCGGCAGGAGAGATTTTAGGGGACTGTTTCTCGGTGTTGATCAAAACTCATACGGTTTACTTTGCGAGGTATGCTCATATTGTGATTGTGGTTCCCCTTTTCGCTGAAGGATCGGACGTGGTAGCTTCGTCGCTGTTTCTTGCTTCCAGCTCGCTATTAATTTATCTCCAACAATCTTAGCGGTGTGTCAATTTTTTCCTTCCCTCAGCATGCGACCGTGATTCATCATTTCTATAGGACCTATACTCGCTAGAAACTCAGGCTCTTGTTAGCTTGCTTCAGATTTTCACAGCCGTGCAGGCGTATGTGCTGGGACCACGCCTGATCCTTGGTGTTCGAGAATATCACGCTAAGCTAGTGGCCAACTCTGACGCAGCTTCTGCTATGACCTCGATCGCTTTCCAGGAGCGCGTGCATGTATCGACTAGCAGTAGTGTGTGACGCACGAGAGGTCAATAGTTGTCTGGTTCTCTGTAGGAAGCAGGGAAATTTGTGTCGCGGTTTTGTCTCCATTCCAAGCCTCGTTGTGGTATTTATGTATCATGGTCAAAGTCTTTGATGTGGATTTCGATGAGACATGTGTAATAAGTCTAGGCAATATTTTCGTCGTAGTATTTATTCGAATCATTTGCTGTATACTATGTCCTGGCATTTACAATGCTTCAACCAGTATGCTGGATATCCCTACTGATCTAGCTCAGGAAATCAGTGTGCCAAACGGAAAGGTCGAGGAACGGGAGATGCTCTTAGTAGGCCCCGTTAGTAGGCAAACCGATCTGCATCTATTACCAATGAATTACACTACTAGTAGTCTTGTGTTTCGGGTTCATTCTGGTCTATCAAGGTCCGAAGCTGCAGACAAAGAGTTCCACCTGCTGCAGTCAACTACATCATCTTCACAAGACTCGCCCGTCCAAGCAGACTCCTTCCCCATGCATTGCAGTCTTTCCTCGTGTCCTACAATCTAAAAAAATCAATGCCAGAATCTGAAGAATAAAAAACAACTTCCCAAGTCGAATCCCGGGTCGTCATCAGAACGATATCCTTCCGACTGCAGGACTTCCTCAAACAAATCATCCGCCGGTTCTTCTGGAGCCCACTCTGTTATCCTCTTCTTCTTCCCAGGCCTGCCTCCGACTAGCAGCACCCGTCAATCTCCCCTTCTTTGGCCCTTGCTTCTTTGAAGATCAAACTTCGCACTTGCCTCGATAGCCTCGATCAGAACTTCGAACTATCCACCACATCTCGCTCCGATCTCCTCTACAAACCGGATTTCCTCTAATCGCAGCTCAGCCTCGTCCCATTCTTCGAACTTGTTCGATACAGCCTTGGCGATCTCCTCGACCGACCCTCGTTTTCTTGCGCGAAAATGCGCGTCGTAGTGGTGTTTTCAATAGACTATTTTTGACCTTTCTTTCAGCTGGGTGCTCTTTTCTTTGCGCGTCATAGTCAAAGCTTCAATTTCAAGATGCTTGAACACAGAAACATGGCTCGCACCTCCTCGCTCTTCATTGAAAGTTGTTATATTGAGTCAACGACTCATTCAAGAATCTTATTTATCCCTACTCAGTAATTTAGTTGTTTGGACGAGAACGGAAGACATCGGTGTGAAATACTACTCACTGTATCTGTCGTGGAAATTGTTGGAACATTGACTGTATGCCCGTCACAAGACAGTCATGAAGCCCATGCGAGGAGACGTACTCAACACGTGCATCCTGATTGCGAGAAATGGATAATAAGTGCAACACAAATGGCTTGAAAGTCAGAACGTACACAGCATGTCCTACTAGTAGTGCAGCATATGGTGCCTTGGATATGCGCATGTCAATACAATTTGCTAGCCATGCTTAAAAACATGAGCTACATACAATAAGATACAGAATGGTCGTGAGGGAGAAGTGTTGCTTCTGCCACGAATTAAATGTATTATTTTCACATTGTTCTTTTGATGTGAGAGTGCCTACCCAGACCAGTTCCACCTATAAAACTGTTGTCAGCGAGATAGCTGCTTTTGTGATGGTTCGGCCTACCTCTTATCCGAACGTAAGTCCTAGAAATCTCATAATGTCAGTTATCTTTTCATACTTAATCTTGCTCATCCCAATCGTATACTACCACAGTACAGGCGGCTACTGCGAAACTGCAGTCAGCGTTAATCGAATCGTCATGTGGCTGGCTCCGAACAAACATATGAAATAGCTGCTAATAATTTTCTCATTGATGGTTGGCCACCAACTGGGATCGTTCGAGACTAGGGCCATATTATTAGAGGATGGGAGTGAGCGAGCGGGGGAACTTGGTGGATAACGATTACATTCTTGTTCGATGTACTACCATCCAGTGCTTACACTGCCGGAGTGTGATTTGTACCTGATCAATCGAAGTGTTCCAATCTTTCAGCATGAATTGAGGGAATGTTCATCCAGGGATGATCAAAGTAGCAGTTGTCTATGCGATCATGTAATGCAGTGACTCGACGAAATGTTTGAGCACTGCAAAAGATCGGAGAACGAGTGATTTCGGCAATAAAATCAAACCCATAAATTTCCGACATCATGTTAGCTAATCGTAAATTTATCCAGATATCCCGACACATCCCCAAACGAAATTCCTACTTGACGAAATAACCAGATATAATGACCAACCTTGATAATCGATGAGCTGTTTGGAAACAACCTTGGATCCAAGCCTGACAACCGTTCGGCTTTTTGGCACAACAGACTCAGAGCGAACGATCATCTGGTCAGTTCATCTCCGAAGTTTATAAGTATCCACTAACCGGTGAGTCGCGGTAACGGTTATCCTTCATCACCGCAGTGACTACAGCAGAACGGCTACGACTGTAAACTCGCCTGTCTGACCGCCACGGCCCCACCAGGAAGTCTCCTCACTGGCATGACTATAAATACCTATCACATACTACTACTCTCCTGAGTACACCAAAGTAACCATAAAGTTACTTCTCTCGTCGTTATCTCAACAGTGAACGGCCATAGGGAGGCGAATAAATGAGTCACACTGGCAAGTCTCGTATCGTACCACTCATCGATGCATGCCCGGTCATTCATTAAAAAACGAACCCACCCTCTTTAAAATCGTTTGGCATCCCTTTCATTCCTTACAAAAGCTTTCTTCCTTCCGACTGCGACCTCCTCTCCATTTCCGGTAACGAACCTGAGCTTGACGACGACCCTGGTGGTGATACATTTGACGATATCGTATATGCACGGCTCCCAGGACTCGATGTCGTCGATGTTGCCTCCACATGCCATCCATAACCGGTCTTCGCAAAATTCTGAATCAATAGACACGAGCAGACGTGGCAATGAAGGTGACGCTTCGGCTATGGTGAAGTTGAGAAAACATTTGTTTGCAGACGTTGATGAAGATCGCTCCACGGCGCCCTTGACTGTATATTGTTTCATGACAGGTTTGATGTGCGTAAAATCCACTCTATCTACTTTGCAACTCACTGGTATCTTTTTTTTAGCGACTCGGTTACATTCTCTGCTATATTTGTCTGGTGCGCTTTCCAAACGGGAAATAGTATACAAGTACAGTGCCTCCGCAGTTGCAGAGGATCTTCTTAACTAACATTCGTGCAATAGCTGGCCCTTGCTCTTGCCCGCTTGTTCAGCGGGCAACATGACTACTCATTCCACATAGCGGACCGTCAAGCGTTGTGCTCATTGCTCGCGTTCCTTTTCGGCGCCTTCATCGGCCGTATCGGCGATAAGTTAGGATGCAAGACACGGTTGTGGTTGTCCTTCGGCACATTCATTCAAACCCTCTTTACAATGGCCGCTGCTGTTGTGATATGGAAGAGCGATGAGCTTAGCATTACTGATGCGCGCGCCGACCCCGCATGGACTAACGCGTTGTCCTTCGTGTGCATTGGCTTCTTGAGCGCGAGCATGGGCTTGCAGGCCATTATGGGGAAGCGTGTCAATACCCACTTCGCTACTACGGGTATGTTTCAAGCATATTTCTATTCTTTCTGAATCTCTCATTTTTCTGCAGTGGTGCTCACGACGACTTGGTGTGAGCTCATGGCCGATCCTCGGCTCTTTGACATCCGACGAATCGTCATTTCGCGCAATCACAAGATCGTCGCCATTGGCAGTCTGTTTCTGGGAGGCTTCATTGGCCGTGTATTGATCGACAGTATTGGTTCGGCTGCTACGCTCGGCATCGGCACGGGCATCCGATTGATTATCAGTATATGGTGGCTTTTCATCCCGGAGAAGCAGGCCATGAACTGAAAATGAGCATGAAGTGTTCATGAGTGTTTATGTCCATGTATGTACATATCTTCATTATCGACGACCAGGAGACGAGAGAATGATGCGAACTGAGATGATTTTTTTCAATTATACCAGTACTGTAATACAAAGATCTTTCTTTACATGACTGTAAACTTACTCACCTCAAACGGTTCCGCCTGTCCACCGACTCTAACCGACGTGTGTCAGGAAGCCTCTTCATAAGTCTAAATACTCTCACATATTACTCGCCTTAGTGCATCGAAGCAACCACAAAGTTGCTTCTCTCGTTGGTAGTTACTTAACGATGCCAAGTAAACGGCGATAGGGAGGCGAATAAACGTGCATCGTACCACTTGAACGCCCACTCATCGATGTTGTATGCCCGGTCGTTCGCTAAAAAACAAACTCAGCCTCGGTAGCTTCAATCGGATACATCAGCGGACAGCCTCCTTAAAATCGTTCGGTATCCCTCTCATTCCTTACAAAAACTCCCTTCCTTCCGACCTCGATCTCTTCTCTATTTCTGGGAACGAACCTGAGTTCGACGACGATTCCGGCAGTGGTACATTTGACGATCCGAATATCTTTGAAATCATCGATATGCACGGCTCTCAGGACTCCTCGTCGTCGACGTTACCTCCACCTGTCGTTCAGACTGGATCTTCGCAATACTCGATAGGCAAGAACAGACGTGACGGTGATGATAATGCTATGGTGAGGTTGAAAAAACATTTGTTTGCGGAGGTCGATGGAGATCAGTCCACGGCGCCCTTGTCTGTATATTGCTTTATGACTGGTTTCATGTGGGTAAACTGTATTCTTTATCTGCTTTGCAACTCACTAATTTTTTTTCAGTGACTCGGTCACGTTCTCTGCTATATTTGTCTGGTGCGCTTTCCAAACAGGAAACAGTGTACAAGTATGAGTACCTTCGCGGTTGCAGAGGATCTTCCTAACTAACATTTGTGCCATAGCTGGCCCTTGCCCTTGCTCGCCTGTTCAGCGGGCAGCACGACCACTCGTTCCACATAGCGGACCGTCAAGCGCTGTGTTCCGTGCTCACGTTCATTTTTGGCGCCTTCATCGGCCGTCTCGGCGATAAGTTGGGATGCAAGACACGTTTGTGGCTGTCCCTCGGCACATTCATTCAAACCCTCTTTACAATGGCCGCCGCTATTGCGATATGGCAGAGCCATCAGGGTAGCGTTGCTGATGCGCGCGCCAACCCCGCATGGACTAGCGCGTTGTCCTTCGTGTGTGTTGGCTTCTTGAGCGCGAGTATGGGCTTGCAGGGCATTATGGGGAAGCGTGTCAATACACAGTTCACTACTACAGGCATGTTTCAAGCATGCTTCTATTTTTTTAAATCTAATCTCTCATCTCTCCGCAGTTGTGCTCACGACGACTTGGTGTGAGCTCATGGCCGATCCTCAGCTCTTTGACATCCGACGAATCGTCATTTCGCGCGATCACAAGATCGTCGCCATTGGCAGTCTGTTTCTTGGAGGCTTTATCGGCCGTGTATTGATCGACAGTATTGGTTCGGCTGCTACGCTCGGCATCGGCACAGGCATCCGATTGATTATCAGTATATGGTGGCTTTTCATCCCGGAGAAGCAGGCCAAGAAGTAAAAATGAGTATGAAATGTTCATGAATGTTTATGTCCATGTACATATTTTCATTACCGACGACTAACGAGATACTACGGGTAGAGGAGACGAGAGGATGACGCGAAGTGTAGATGTTTTTGTTTTCAATTATACCAGTAGTGTGTTGCATTTTTAGTGTAGTGTTTCCTAGAGTTTTTTTGTTTTGTTTTCAGATACAGTGAGTCATTACGATTTTGCATGCACAGCGGGGAGGGCTCGGTCGAACATAAACGCGTCGGTTCATTCTTCCAGCTTTTTCGTGACTTTCTGGTTTTATCCACAACCTTGTCTGAATCGATGGATCTAGACCTCTCAACGTTCTGTTTCCATTGCTGCTTCCTTGTCAGCGCGTGGGCGCTCTTTACCATCGCTTCCTTCGTACGCTGTTAAATCTGCGAAGATCAAGCCGTCTGGCCATTGTCATCTCTCACTACCGACTCTTGTCATCTCGTCGAGCCTCAAGCTCTGAGCTTTGCTGGATTTCATCTTGCTCTTGTTCAAGCTGCCGCCGCAAATCATGAGTCGCCATTTGCATATGGTGAGATATTTAAACCCTAATAACCCTAGTTTCTTTCTCTAAATATGGAAACCCATCCTGGAGCGGCACAGATCCCTATTCAGCCTGTAGGGTCGGCTCAACCTGTGAGGCGATGAAGCATTTACTACGTACCTGTTGTATTTGGCATGTACTGATTTTCCTGTCAATGTTACAATCTTTTGCATCCTGGAGGGGCTGGTCACCAGTCTACATCGTGGTCTAGACAACCAACCAAACTACACTGCTGATATATCTGGTCCATGGTTAGCGACCCAGGTACTCGAAGCCGGCCCGTCATCACCGAACAGAAGCAAATACGGTACAAAATCACGCCCTAAATCATTATGCAAGGTTTCGAGAATCGGATTGGTAGCGAAGTAAAGACCGAGAGAACGCTAAGCAATTTGTACTAATGAGGATTAGTCGAGGACTTGGTGCGCAAGTACATTGTCCGAGGTGGTAGATGTATCTCGCTTGTTAGATATGACTGTCGGCTAGATGTAACAGCGTATTGCTGCGTGCCGAATTTACGCTCTACCGCAACTCTACCGCACTACTACCATCGGGAGATCAGGAGCGCTTTACCTGCAGGGTCTAGGTGCGGCTGCCAGAGGGCGGATTGACCTCGGCAGCGCTTAGAATCCGAGTTGAAAGAATGCCTTCAGGGGCTAGACTGAACATTGTCAAGTCTATTCATAAGCTGAGTAACAACCGCTCTGATAAGATGGTAAACGTATTGTCCTGAATACCCGTTGACAATTTAGGTACTTACAACGTGACTGTACATGCAGGGGAGGTGCCGTGTCGTATTCAAGCCTGTTGTTCGACATGCCAAGTTATCCTGTCGACAAGTGGCAATCATCACATCCGATGAGCCCCTCCAGCGCCAAGATGGATAGAAGTCCGTTACGGAATTTCATCATTAGATAGATAAATTTAATACAAATGATAATCTTTACACCCATGGAAGCTTACGTGACAGGAGCAGGCACAAGGGTCTGGACACCAAGATCAGCCTGTAGCAGGCAGGGACTTTGATGGTCAGCCACTCGACTTGTTCGTAGTATAGGGCGTGTTTCGAACCTACTTGGCCCGATCAGATAGCAGCCCTGTCCGCTCGGACATGAGCTGATACGGAATCCGAAATAACTTGATTCTCTGAATGAGTTCATATCGACCTTCTAAGCATGAGGCGAGATAAGAACCGAATGACATTGTCATGAGTGATACCGAACGTGATCAAGAAGGATCAAAGGATATGATCCATATGAGTTGCGATGAAATTTGGAAGCGGCGGTGTTGCATTGGAGAGGAGAAGAATAGTAAGTCGTGTACTATATAACACCTACCAGTGCAACACTTCCAGGTCGTCTCAAGTGGGCTTTAGCCGCGGATGGCTAGTTGTCATTATTATTAGCATCCTATGGGGAAACTTTGTGCAGCGAAACGTCATTGATATGTAAGTGAGAAGAACGTACGCGGAGTTAGTTACAGTGGGTAAGATCGGAAGTCCAGTAAGTAACCACTGTCAGGGAGGGTTTCGCGTTCCTGTCCCTTGCAAACTTGAACATGCAAAAACTTGAAGGTAAGCACAGCAAGTTAGTAAGCGAGTTGGAACGAGGTTTGAGGCATGATGTGTGCCACGGTATTACATGCTGGACGACATGAGGATTGAGAGTGAGTTCTGAGTTGACCGGTTGGGGCCGAACAGCAGTGGGGGATCCCCGGAAACATGTAGCCCAAAGAGGCAGGTGTCTGAGTATGCACGCTGGCAGCATCGTGCTCGTTGCCTTCTATTAGTGCCTCGGCCTCAGCTGTGTACTACGCACCTTGTAGGTGCCACCAACGTCATTCTACATGTGTTGTATGTTTTACGCTCTTCAGTCTGCAGCAGCATGTAGAGGCCCATCACGGGAAGGATTTACCTCCAGGAGGTTTGGGCATAACGCTTTGAATATATGCGTAAATCCACGCACTGACGTCGGCAATCACATTTCTGGTCTAGAAGGAAAGGGGACAGTCATGCTTGGCACTTCAACCCCGATGCGATGCGTTGTGATCGCATTCAAGCGCTCATATCTGCAAATCGGACTTCGAGTCATGACATCTCCACCTCTTTCCTGTACACAGAAAACTACAGCCCATGCTCCGTTATTAGACACAGAGAATTCTGTCGTCGCTGCGTTGACCAGTGCATAAACTACTATATATCATATGGTACAGTCTGGTCGTCGAGTAACCTTCTCGTAAGCGTCCTATTCTAGCCCCGCCACTTCATTCTAATTTACCGACTAGTACAAAACCTTCCTCAAACTCTTTTTCTCGCGACGAAGGAAACGACACGTTCCACCTCTTCTTCTTGGTCGACCTTCCACAAAATCATCAACAGTTACTACTCTGAGCACCAGCTGCCCAACTATTTATATACATGAACATCTAGATATGGTCCTCGATCCGACGCCTTGCAACTCTCTGCCATTCCTCGTCGAACCAGCACCCGCATACTTGTCAACAACCAACCCAGTTTTGTCCTCCATCAGTAATTTATTCACTGGCAAGCCCATTAATGCCGGCCCGTTGCCCCCGATAGCGTCGATGTCCCAGAGCGCGAATACATTGAGCAGTACTGGTTCCCAGCCGACGAACGACGTGCCAGAGAGTTCTCAGCTCCTGACATCACAAGCATTTACAACATCTAGTGTGATGACTTCTCAGGTGCGTACGATATTTCACTGTCTGCGTTCGATCAATGACATTGGCTCCATACCTTCTTCGCTTCCATCACGGGCATCACATTCACGTTGCATCTCTTGTAACCATTAACACATTCACCACTCTCCTCAACATATATTCTCGGTTTAATTCGTATTCACTATTATATTTTCATCATCAACATTATACTTCCATTTCAAATCTATCCTTCTTGATGGCCGTTGTCTATTCACCTTACTCTCATCACTTCAGCCAATCAGCTATCCATCGAATGCTGGAAACGGTTATTTGCAACAGACCTCTCCGACAGCCGTCTACATTGAATCTCAACCGTTGTCTGGTTCGCTGTCATCCAGTTTGAGGTAGGTCCTGCCGAAACTACCTGATGCACGTTCATGCAACTTCGCACCCATAGTTCTTCGTCATCTATCGCAAATTCCGGGACAATGGGCGCGAGCACTTGGTCAAGTTCAAGTACGCCCTTGTCGTCTTCTTTGACGCCAAGTGCTGACAGTTCGTCTTCCGGTTCATCTCAAACACTCTCCTCGTCGTCATCTGCACCCACTATGACATCCGGGTTTACTTCATCTTTCACCATTCCACCGACTCCTCTTACTTCTACTTCGTTGTCTTCGTCTCCTCCAGCAATGTCAACATCGACTTCCGCAGTGGTTTCAACTTCCGCTCCCCCAAACTCTTCGTTGTCGGCAGATCCATCTTCGTCATCGCACACAGCCTTTGCATCCAGCTCTTTTCCAGTGTCCAGTACGATCACTCCATTTCCTACCACGTTGATTATTTCTACTACCGAAGTCGACCAATACAGCACGTGTGCTAGTGCTCCTTGGACATCAACGCTGACTTTGACATCCGTCCTGTCGGGTCACCCCACCACCGCTTGGACGACGTCAACGAACGGGGTGCTCAGTACCGCAATTGTAAATACTAATGGGAACAGGTGAGTTCTTTGCCTTCGTGGCGTTATTATGAAGTCACCTGCTATAATTGTGCTCACGGGGATCTCCGCAGGCTCTCTCGTTCCCCTGGTTCTATTGCCGGTCTTATCCTCGGCATCCTCGGAGCCATTGCCTTTGCTGTTCTCTGGCTTTTCTGTGCTCGTCGCCGACAGCGCAAACTATCTCGCGAAGCGAGTGCTATTCCTCCGTGGGCGCCTGGTGGCCCACTTGAAGCTGAAGTAGACATGGAAGAACGCTACGGTGGGATTATCGCAGCTCTTAATGAGGGAATGGGTGCGGGAAGGAATGCTCAACTTGAAGGAGATACGAGTGGAGAAGTATCAGGAGAACTGGTACCTGCGCGTGATTCGTGCGCTACTCTGCCTTCGTATTCACTTCGTGGAGAGGACAATGACGGTCTGCATGTCTTCCCATTATCTCCGCCTCCATCTGCCTACTCCGCTCCCCCGCCACCGTCCGCGTATATTCCGCATGCTGCTAATGGTTCACGAAGAAGAAGTTCGCCTGGGCCTGATGCTTCCGCCTGGTTTGGGGGGTATAGCGTTGCTCCTGCTCCTTCAGCAGCATCGCATTACTCTCATTCTTCCATGCAATACCTTACCAGGACCGAAACCGGAACCAGGACGAGAACTGGAAGCGAGGAGCCGCTCTTGACAAGAGCCGGAAGCGGATCTTCTTATTTCGATTCTGGCAACAAAGTCCGACTAGGGTCAGCATTCGGTTCGCCTGAAGGAAGTATGAATGGCCATAACCTTTCACCTACGTCACACTCCTCTGGCATGCTGAGTGCGACTACTTCATTCGACGTTCTACGGAGTATTTCGTCTCAGGGCGCACTGCAGAGCACGTCTTCGCATGGGTTTGGTTTTGGGAGTACCTCGTCCGGTACCGGATCGCATCAGGGACCTGCACTGGGACTTGCGATTAGTGCAGCTCCGATTAGTTACAAGAGCGGACGCCTTACGAGATGGAAGAAAGGCAAGCGAGAGAGCACTGGAAGCAGCACTACTGTATCCATATCTCTATCTGGCTCTGTAGACGAGAGACCTGCTGGCGTACGAGGTTTCCTTGATCGTCTCAGACGGGGAAATACGCCGAGTCCAAAGACAGATTCTTCACGAGAACTGCCTAGAGATGTAGAGAGCGAAGGAGCTGCTGAGAAGATGAATGCTCACGATCCAAATATCTTTTCAGCTTTCGTCTCTCCTGCCACACCTGAACCTGCGCCCATGCCAACATCCCCGCGATTCGTCCTTTCTAACCCTGATCCATGGCTTTCCTCGCCGTATGTTCACGCCGACGTGGCAGAACATGAGGATAACTTGCAGCCACCCTCGTGGCCATGGCTTACAGTGCCAGCAACCTTCTCTCCTGCGCCCACCGACGAGTCGCGCCTTGCTATGGCTGACGGACTTCTTGATCCTCGCCTGCGCGACTCTGTCGAAGGAAGGAGCAATTCAAGTTTACGGGATTTCGAAGATTACTCCCGGCCAATTGGAGGTGTAAGTATCACTTTGCTTTAGCCTCGTTCTCTCCTGTCCGCTCGTCCTTGCATAGCTTACGATTCATGGTATAGCTCGTCCATAACCGGCTGCATAGTACCACGACATTTGGCACTACTGATACCCAAGATTCCGACAACGCAACAGGCCTGCAAAATCGAGAGGATGGCCAGCAAGAGGATGCTTGTGCGACAGTGACTCCGACACCCCGTGCAAGTTGGATTATAGATGGTGGCGCGCATGACCACGCGCATTAGGACGAACGAATATGAATTTTTACCACGACTTTGATGACTCTAACAACTCTTTCTTTGCCGAAATGTCTATGAAATGACAAAGCATCTTCGCTTTGCCAAGATACATGCGGTATGTGTTCCGATCATCATTCCTGTGTGTTACTCATGAGACGAACGTGCCTACAGACCCAACATGACGCACGAATAAATATGACGCAGAGCACTCATGATCTCACATCTGTACATGACGTACGATTCTCCACATACTATGCTCATATATACCCTACGGGCCCGCTCGCTTCCCGTTGTACCATATAATGACAACAAGAAAGACGACATTGGCATTATTTTTTACTTTCTCCCCTAGACTTCCCCAGGTGACTCTGGTATGTGGTATGGTTCTCTTGATTCGAATGCTTCTTGTTCACGACGCAGTTTGACTCAGGGAATATAACTTAACTTTGCATTTCATCACGATGCAAGCTGTCAACCAGTGAAATGACAGCTTCGTTTTACGTTTAGCATTGTTGCATGTTGCTTTCGATGTGCTCGCTTTCAGTATCTTTGCTTTCGTCAACTACAATCTTGCTCTCTGAGCTTCTTAAGCACTTCCTTGTTTATTGTCGCGCTTGTTTTCTTTGCATAGCTCTTCCTACGCTGACTTGGCCAATTTGATCATGAATCTGAACCTTTCGAGTGGTAGCAGGTTGACGGAGTGTTGCGCTCGTTGTGTGCTTGATGCTCGGTACAAACACATAGTCAAATGCTGCTATTAAGATGCTCTCGAATCTAGACACAGCACGAACCCTGGATACACATCGATTCCAATTTGACGCTAGTGCTTGAGAATACCGAACATGATCGAGACAATAGCTCTTTTTTTGTTTTCTCTCTCTTTCAAATGAATACTAGCTTGATCAGCTGCAATCGTATACCAGCGCATTAGAGGACACAACTGCGAAACTACAGTCAAAGATGAAGTGAGTCAACTGATTCATCCCCCTCGAGATTGTCGAGCCGGTGCTCATGAATTACTGAATGGCAGGGGACAAGCAGATGCGAAAAATGGTCAGTAGCGTATACATGGAATAAAGTGGACAAAACCATCAGGCTTGAATGCTCGGAGTCGCTTTCAAAAGACATGTCCTTGCAGCCTGATGGCCTCTGATCCAAGCGACTTCCAAGATGCATGCTGGACCAGGGATGTAACGGCTCGCTGCACGGGTGACATGCAACACTTTTCTCCCTTTCTGTTATCCCTCCCTCTCCTTCGGAGTCACGCGTTCCCCAGCGTCGTTCAAGTTGGAGTTTAGTGTTGGGTGGACGTGAGAAGATGGGTGGCGACGGTGGTGCTGTCGCAGCCATGGAGTGCCGGCTACATGGATGCTGGTGATGTCAAACTATATACGGGCACTTGTCGAGGGTCAAGTTCAACATCAAAATATCGTAGTCATGCAGAAGTTATTCCAACGTTGTAGATCAAAGCTCATCAACGAGAAACAATGTGACCAAGTACGGTCCCTTGTGATGTTCACTTTGTGGGCGCTCTTGTGCAGTTGTGCAAGTAGTAAGAACGTGAAAAAATGTCTGCTTGATTGCAAGCAGATGGTTTTTTGAGTGAAAGCCCAGAAGGAGCAACCTGGCCCCGATAGTGACCTCGATCTGCGCAAAAGTGAGCTGAGGTGAACTGTGGCTCCCACATTAGGAGGAATGAATGCGATGCGGCGAAGTGAACCTCTGATCCCCAAATCGTAGGAGACACAAGGCGACACATCGAAGCGAGGCCAGAGCTAGATGAAGACAGTTAGTAACAAAAGTAGTAAGAAGGTATCCGCGTGAGCATCAAGTGCGGGCATCTGTGTGAATACAGGCATCTCCGTTAATGCAGGCGTCCGCATCTACAAAAGTGCGGGAATCAGGCTCCACGTGCGCACAACAGGAGGCGTTGACAAGGATGGGGGTCTCGCTCGCCACTGGCAGGAAATGTCATGGTGACTGGATGTATGATTCCTCCTCTTATCAGGTTCTCTGGTGAGAATTCACAACGGTGAGCATTCTACACGAGTGAGCTTGAAAGAGCAGTGCCATAGTGTCTTCGAGTGCCCTTTACTCATGGCCGGACTTGCTTTCATTGCATGCGGCTGCACACAAGGAACAGATCTCACCGGAGTTTGTGGCAAGGCAGATAAGGGCACCGGGGCTTGCCGGAGTGTGGGCGGAAAAGAAACCACGTGCTGCACAGCCGCCGCACGAATTATTCCACTACGCTCGTACCTTTCGGGGTAGAATTCTAAATGGACTTTTACTGAGGCTGACAGCGACATGGATGATCCAAGCGCTGCAGCATCGCCGCCACGACGATTGGCTGTCCTCATCTCTGGAGAGGGTATGTGTCGATCTTGATCTTGCAAACGTACATCCTATCATACCGGATTGCCGACTACAGGAACCAACCTTCAAGCACTGATCGATGCACAGAATACATCGTCCCTGCCTAATACACGAATCGTCCTTGTTCTCTCCAATCGCAAAAACGCACGTGGCCTGATACGCGCTTCCACCACCTTGCCCCCGATCCCTACCGCGTACCTCGGCCTTCAGCCGTTCCTTAAATCAAACCCCGGAAAGACGCGCGAGGACTACGATGTGGAGGTCGCGCGCATCGTGCTACGCGCCAAGCCAGATGCAGTCGTATGTGCGGGGTTTATGCACATCGTGAGCGAGGGGTTCCTGGATGTGTTCAAGGGGACGCGGATATTGGAGGGCGAGGAGGTGCTTGCAAGGGAGGTACCCGTGATTAACATTCATCCGGCGTTATTTGGGCAGTTTGATGGTGCGCATGCAGTTGAGCGAGGGTTTGAAGCGTTCCAGAAGGGGGAGGTGGATGAGCTGGGCATCATGGTGCATCGTGTGGTTAAAGAAGTTGATCGCGGGGAGCCGTTAATTCAGAGAAGGGTAGAGGTAGTGAAGGGGGAGGCAATAGAGGCTTATGAGGAGAGACTACATAAGGTAGAGTGGGAGATTATTGTCGAAGCTACTCGGATTGTGCTAGATGAGGTGCGACTGCCCCTGTCAAGCAACGGTTCAAGTTAATATAGTCAGGCCTGCGCGGTGGAAGCCCAACTTGCACACTTCATCCAGGAAGTAACGAAGGGGAAATAAAATTAGAGAGATAGGATAAACATTAGATTATAGCAAGAAACATGATGCAAATTAGTCTACAGGCAGACGATAGGGTTGATTAACGCGAGAGTAAGATGACATTTATCTAGATCACAAATGTTATGCTCAGAACGGGAACCGCATAGGACGCGAGTCGTGCTGGTTTGTATAATATGAGGGATAACTATCACTGCGATTACACGATCAACCCTCTCAGACTTCAAGAAGCTAAAACTGAACAACAGACCTAGATAATATGTAGTCCCGATGCACGATGACATCCGGTGCACGTCGGTGATATGGAGGAGGTGACAACACATTCACGATCATCGGCGACAAAAGCTTGCCATTTCCAGATATTTCATCTTGATCATCCTGTTCGAGATCTTCTTCGGGCCAGAACCGATCGATGATTTTTTTCCCGAGTGGAGGCTGAGTCGAACGGTCAGAATCAATCAATCGAACTGAACGGAAACAAACATACAGGGGATGTAAGTGCTGAAGCGCAAATTGGGCTCGCCGGTGCCACAGTAATATCGAGGACGGTCGATTCGATGCTTGAATCAGAGTACTCGGGTTTCGGACTAGATTCTATATCCCGGGAAGACCAGGAAGATGACGAGGATGAAGAAAGCCTTAGAGAAGGAAGCAAAGACCTGCGCTTCGTGGCCCTGGAAGTGAAGGACGAAACAGAACTCCTGCGCTTCAGGGTGAGATGATCCCGCACAAAGGATTCAAAAACAGAGAATGCATGCATTCGAATTTTGATGCTGCGCTGAAGAAGTGTAAAACACAGAAGGAATGGGGAGAAAACTTGTCGCGAGGATTCGAGATCTAGATGAGCGCGAATGACACTACACGGGGTCAGTGGCAGGCAAGGAGAATGATGAGGAGCTTTATAGTCCGCTGGTGCCAAGGTCAAGGTGTCCCATCGCCCGCGTCCACATCCACATCCACAGGAAAAGTGAGTGGGCTTTTGTATTAATGGTCAGGTGTAGCCAAAGCGGTGGCACCCGTGGAGTGGACCTGTGTGCTTGGCATTGTCCTATGTGCGGAACGAAACGCGAATTGACACATATTGCATATGAATTGATGAATGAACACTTGCGTGCAGTTGCGGGCTAGCGAGCCTGGTCTAGTGGCTACGTCTGGGACTATAAGCCACCGACGTCAAACGTGTAATAGCCACAGTGATGCTGACAAGCTGGCGTGCGCTCAACTAACCACTAGCCCGGCTGTCCGCTCGAACCATGGGCCAGTGCAGAGACCTTCTTTACGAAGGTGTCGCTTTCCCGAGCCGGAGGTCCGGCCGGATTGTTCTCACGTGTATAAGGCATGGTCCGAAAGCAAATCTCCGCGGTTGGCTTGTTATATGGAGAAGCGGTGAGGATGATCGATCTGCCTGGCTCGCACGTTAGTGTGAGGTCTGTATGATGAGAAGTGACGTGAGTTCACACAATGCGATCTCAAGGGCGATACGATACGTACTCTCTAGATGAATTATATCTCCACGCTTGACGCCCAGTGCACCCCAGGCATCTGCAACATCACCCTACGCGGTGAGCTTGCATACCGATCCACCTTCATTACCTAGAATTATTTTGTGAACTAAAACGTCTCTCCCTGCATCCGAGCTTTTCCTTACACGCACTGTATCAGGGCCTTCTACCTCTAGGATGGCAAGTAATACACTCCCTTGTCTCCCTCTTGCAGTTCTTTCGCTGTAGAGGGATGTAAGAGATAAAATCTTATGAAGGCTAATCTGAAAATGCGGAAGCGGGCTATAGAAGACACAGAGGTGGCGTCCTGTGTTTGATTCATCGCGGCAGGCTGAGACGGTGACAGCGATGTGCGCAGGAAGGAAGGTACACCAGTGGTATCTGCAACAGGAGTTGGAGGCCAGGTTATCACTGTCGTTTGCTCTATTTGCACGTATGAGATGGTGTTCACAATCGTGGAGCAGTTGCCAAAGTGATACTGTCGTGACGATAGGCTGGTACTAGTTCAGTGGCCAGAAACTTTATCCGAATGTAGAGTGTCCAAAGTGCTGGGAGCAATGAGATGTAAGTAGAAATGAAACAGGGTGACCGCGTTCGTTGTCACTATAATCGTATACATGATACAACCACTGGCCCACTGGTGACTCGCCTCGTGTTCACGAATTCAAACCCTTGTCAATTTGCAATATCCTCCAAAGGCTTAAAGTATGGAACGAATCGTATCAGTATTCGTCGTTTCCTTGCAGCAATTTTCCGTCCTTTCATGAATTCTCCTTCTGATCATGAATCATGATGCTCCCCCCGTGTTCACCTCGGGCGACAGTAAGAACGATGTAGGACAACTTGAATGGCAGATTCTCCTCTTGGGCAAGGAGCTATCTTCGCAGTGCAAGCTTGAACGCCTTGTTCACTGCAAATGCACCAACGTCAAAGTTTTGCTCCTCCGTTTCCGTCATCCTACACAAGAAGACGTCGTCGCGATCTTGGTTTTAGACCGAGTGCCATGTACAAATTCTACAGAGAATAACGATGGCTCATCGAGACGGGGCACGCAGTCGTCATACATACTTCGTCTCCCCATCAGTTTCTCCGACCCCCGCTTGCGATTCCATCTTCACCACGGTTCTGCTATTGAATCCTATCTATCCAGAACGTATGACTGGTACAAGTGCCTTTGTTACTTCGACTTCCCTCCTTCCGCTCGCCCTTCCGCAATTCAAGTATCCGTGCTCTTGTCCACTCTCAGCAAGCATTCTCCAACTTATAATCAATACCAGTGTTACTGGTATGCCTACACTGTCTGGGAGGCACTCAAAGGCTCTTCCCAGATTGTAACGAGACAACCGAGAGCGCGGGGCGCTCTCGGTATCTCCGGTTCAAAGTGGAGAAGGCAGACAGCATGGAGGCAGAAGAGATGAGGAGAGCAAAAGAAAATGAAATGCGGCAGGTGAGGTTCTTTTCAGAATCAGTTGAGCCATTTACTCATTTATTGTTACAGTTGCAGATGGAAGAACGGGCTCGATGTCAAGCAGAGATAGCGGAGAGGAAAGCGGAGGAGGCGGAACGCAGGGCAGAGGAGCGGGTAAGGTTCTTTCCAAAATTCACTGCACTATCTAATCGTCGATCCTCGCAGGTTAGGGCCGAGTTGCAAGCAGAAATAGACCAAATGCGAACCCAGCTCGAGCGTCGGGCAGTGCAATACCAGTCTAATCATTCCTCTCATTTCCTCATCATCGACATCCTCATCACTAGCATAATCAAACGCAGTCGCAATATACACTAGAGCATATCAGAATCCGACCTTCCTGTCTCAGACTCCGTTCGATCGGCAGGGCTAGTTCTCATCAGCATTATCGGTCACAGGAAAACCACTCCGCTTTTAAGGTTAAGGGCGCATTGCAGTTGCAATGTATGTAGTCATGAACCTCGGAGCTGCAATCAGTCAGCCAATCGTGAGACGCGGCTAGTTTGAGTCACAGAAGAGTAAACGGTGCCAAGATTTGTGTCATATCATGTGCGTGCTGGTACGAGGGTCGTACAAGTGACCAGTAAACAAAATGGCAATTTGCGCCGTCTCTTGCATCACGGCCGCTTGTCATGCCCGGTTGAAGAAGAGCTGTATTCATTCTTGCGATCGTTCCTACTAATACTATGAGTTCAGCCAACTGAGTGCATTCGATATCCAAGCTTTCATTTAACGAGGTAGTATGAACATTGGATTCGAGGTGTATGTAGGCAAATGTGCTCGACGCGAGAGCTCCGAACGACTAACTGGTGCCTAAGTAGAGTTATGTAGACACGGCACGTCAATGCAGCGACTAATTGGTGGATGCGGTCAATGTAAACGAGTGGATCAACGAATCTGATGGGTGAGTAATACGCACTATAACAAAATCATGTATCAATGGGGCTGAGATTAGATGAGGTGTCGCAGGGGTGAGAGAACATGGGGGCATCGTAAAAAACATAACAGTAAGAAAAGAGGTATCGCACATACAAGAGATCGAGAAGGATATGAAGATGATCGATGTCGCTGGCAACTTACGAATGACGCGCAGGGCCCATTGCCCGCCGAACAGGATTGTCCCTCTCTGCAATAAACGCCCCGGCGCGCAGGCCATCCTCCGAAGCCAGGCGTTGCTTGCTGTTTTTCTCCCTGCGTTCGCGCTCCTCCCGAGCGTGCTGCAGGAGCTCAAGGCGCTCAGCACCTTTGTCAGAATTTTGGAGCTTGGAGAATACAGGCTCCCGCTCAGTGCCATCTGCGAAGACAATGTTCTTGCGGGAGCTGGTGCTCGCGGTACTTTTCTCGCCCTCAGATGCGCTGGCATCCAAATATTCGATCTTTGTACGTTTGGCGCCAAGGGAGCTGATCGGAGGAATATCTTGGCTGCGGTCACGAGGCTTGCGCTTAAGCTTGTTGACGAAGAGCCGGCGTGGGGGACATGCTTCAGCGACTTCAAAATCTGGATGATCGATTGGCAGTTTAGACGCTTCAAGAACTTCAGGGGGAAGATGATATTGGGGGTTATGAAAGGTTGCCTTTTGACCTCGGCTAACGAAGCGGTCAGAATGCATATATTGTTGAGAACGAGGAAGACGTACAAGACATAGGTTATTGTCGGCTTCTCCTCAAACACTGGAGCTGGAGTTGGCGTGCTTTCACGCTTAGGGGCTTCTCCAACAGGTAATTCATTGTCGCTGCTCTCCCAGCCGCTCGCATTAGATGCGCTTGCTTCGCCCTCGCCAGCGAGGAAAGGATTGTCGGGGGAGTCTCGAGTAGGCCATATTTTCTTAGCTTTAGAATTCGAGGGAGATGGAAGGGCACGAAGGAAAAGTTTGCGAGGAGGTGTCACGGGTGGCTTTGGTAGAAAAAGTGCAGGTGGGGGCGAACGCGAGCGCTGCACTGATGATGCACGAGGCTGGACTTGGGGTGCTCTACGGGAAGGAGGAGGCGAAACAGGCTCACGGACGCGATACTTCAACAGTGCAGGTGAAGGTGACTTGTCCTCTTCCGAATCCTCTGCTGTAGATGATTTTTTACGCCCATGAGACACTGCGCCACCACTACGACCAGTCCAGAACGAGTTCTCGTTATCTTCTTCTTCGTCATGCGCAGGAAGGACGTCCGCGGTTCGGCGCTTTTTCCTTCCTATGAGCGCATGGGCATCCTTTTTTCCGATGATTTCATCTTCACTTTTGCTGTGCCTTTCACTGATGCGAGCAGCGTAGCTTCCACCAAGGTCGTCCTCGAGTTCTGACGCGCTGCCACTGTCCTCTGACGCGTGTCTAGAGGTCGTTGAGACTGCTTTTGAACGAGATCGCTTGTGGTGTGTTCTAGGAGGAGTAGGCAGGGATGCTAGAGATGCAGAGCGCTTTAGAGGTCGTGAGTGAACTTCCGTATCGTGAACAGAAGGAATGCGAATGGGTGATGAGTCAAGTATCTGATAGCTTGACATGTTTCAGAATCAAAAGTCAATCAAGTTGGAAGAGATTTCGCTAAGAAGAGTTATGCAAGAGATAAGATGGTGGTTAGAAAGAGAGAAGTGATTAGGTACGAAGTTTCAAACCGACCACACGGCCGTTCACAGTTGCCATAAAAACAACAACCACGAAAACAATGCATATAAACACATACAAACAAATGTTCTTGTCCACAACTTAATTCGGTTTCACTAACTCGACGACGGCGAGCCAGCTGCCGTAGTAACTGCAGACCTACTGTTTCCCTTCTGTATGGTACGGATCCACCCTTCAGAAATCTTCACAAAGGCGGAACCGAATTTGCCCAAAGTGAGTTGTACTCGACCCTCGTAACACGTCACAGAACTCGACTTCGATGCGAAGCCTATGAGGAACACTGCAGTCTACACTGGAGCAAGGTGGTTTCGGATCGATGATCTCGATACTAGGTTTGTCTACTTAAGATGCGGTTACGGCAAACGCAATAACTGCATCAGAATTGTGGTATTCATAGTGAGTCTAAGAATATGTGAATTTATCTGTTAACTGAAATACGGCTAAGCTTTCGAGTTCGATATCGGAATGGATCCAGTGCAAACAATTCGAACGAGGAGTTCTCTCAAGTTCTCCACCCAAACCAACATGTACCCACCACCACCGCGAAGGAAAGAACAGCACCTGTCTCATCGTCATTCAGCACCCGTGTAAGACGTTCATTTTGATCAAGCATATTTTAATTTGAACAGCAAAGTACTTCCTGCGATCCGCAAGCATGACCGTTGTCTTCAGGTTCAAGCTGATTCATCTCGACTGCTGTCCTTGTCTCTCTTTCAATGATGCATGGGCGTTATTAGAGCCCTCTCCTACCCTATAGGAGAGGCTCTTCCTCCCATTTGTCTAGTCTGGATGTGTATCTGTTGGGGATCTCGCTGAAATCCGGGATTTCACAAACTTGCAGATAGTGCTACTGGAGCAGTGTAGAATACAGATTGCCGAAAGTGTCCTCGATAGTAACAATCAATATCCTGACGGTTCAGTACATGAGGGGTAAACCAATTGCCTTTTGGGGACACCTTGAAAGCATCGCTGCGTTACTAAAGCTTTAAGTTCGAACTTCTATCATCCGTAACGTTCAGCTCTCTTCACGCGTACTCATCGCGATGGCTTCGGGAAGTCCGGACGACTCTGGTAGGCAAGCTGCCCTTCCATGGACACCTGACGTGTCCGAGAGCGCAACCGAAGCTCTACAAGCATTGGACACTTACAAGAAGAAGGATCCATCTAAAGGTTAGCGTTGCAGCATTGGTGTTAGATGAACGCGTCTATATCGGTAAACCCAATATGCAGTGGTGGTTCGCTTCAAGGCAGTCGGTAACGCACCAATCATGAGGCAGAACTTTTACAAGATTACTGCCTCCAACCGTTTCCAGGCAGTCATACAGTTTTTGAGGAAGGAGCTGGGCTGGAAAGCCGGAGATCCACTGGTTAGGATTGATGATTCGTCTTTAATGTTGAGCTAACTCGTTCCAGTTCACATATATCAATCTCGCATTCTCTCCTGCTCCTGACGACACAGTATCAAATCTGTACAAGGTAATGAGCCTAGGTCTTATCGCAGAACGTCTCCTGATGGTTGTTGCAGTCATTCGCTACGGAAGGACATCTGATAGTCAACTACAGGTTAGTTTCTCGATAACTTGTGTGCACAGCGCGTTGATACGAGTGCATATTGTTTAGCACGACGGCGGCATGGGGGTAGCACTCTTGCTAAACAGTGCCATCTTGTATTTTTCTGCGCACAGTTGTGTCACCGTTGAACATTATACTCGCCACAAGTTAATACATATTCTTCGCTCGTTATGTCTGTTCGAGAACCTATGGGCGACTCGTTAAAGAGTGCAGTGACTGACACAGCATCATGGTCATGATCTTCGCCTAGTTCCGAGTACTTTGCATCGAGGAACCCCTCAAATAGACACTTCATCCGCCTGATTACCTTCTGCCTCGGGAAGATCCGTTGAGGAAAAGCGCAACGAGGTAAGGGTCGTACATTATCCAATTATAATCAGTGACACAATGTGATTTTGTATGGGTGAGGTCCAAGTCATACCTAATGGCGTCCAATGCAAAGCGTTGCGAAGGTCAAACCAACGGGCGGTAGAAGATCCCCGATGACTATTGCGGGCAAGAGATCGATGGTAGATATAGTGGAGATTGGGTGGAACGGAAAAAAGCGATTTGGTGTCAATGTCAAGCCCAAAATTACTCCTGTACTACACAGTATGTCAGAGATTGAAAAGAGTGGGTATTATCAAGGGAATGGCGTTGGTGTGTCGAAATGTCTTGTTTTTCTTCCTTCCAAGACGCACCGTGTCAGTGTTATTGGAACCAGCAGAACTCCATATAGGGCGATTTCGATAACAGCTTTACTAACGATCAGGACACGGTTTATAGATGCCAGCCGGTAAAACCACAAGATTTGCTAGCCAAACTCGGTTCTAAGAGTAGCTCTTCCCTCCCACACTAATGGCACTTTCGCAACCAACGCGTTCTGATCAAGGTTTCTGTTTTCTCGTTTCATTACGAACTCAGTGGTTACTCCGTCAGGCGCGAGCGGGATAGTCATCTTCTCGATAGATAGGATCCCTTTGATAGTATAAATGCCCTGCTTCTAACTTGATCAGAGGACTCTGAGCTGAGAAAGGGTCGGTCTCGAGCATACCGGGAAGTCGCATCATCGCTGGAGGCTAGGAAAGTGTGAACCAAAGGGGAAAGGATGAGGAACGATTGGGTTTGCGCAGGCCGCCATGCCTTTGATGGTGTAACAAAGTACAGTCATGCAATTGGCTGTCTTTGGTCAGTCTGACGAGGTTCCGGAACTCGGAATATCTATGGGTTCCTGGCTGTCCATGCTTCTCAGATGATTTGAGAGGTCATGTAACTAAAACACCTCAATTCCCCACGCATATTCAAATGCTGATGGCTTTGTAGCCAATCATGGAAAACATCTGCTGGGACCTGCTAGAACTCAGTAACAAACGGTTGATTTGACCATCGTCCACCAAGTATTCTTCCTGCTATCGTTGAGTATGCAGGTTATCAGAGAGAAAAATAAGTGACGTACGAAGACTACTTGACCCGAACTTTCCAAACATCCAACAAACATTGGCCAATAGGCAAGGCTTTGTCCTGAGTCAAGTCTTGAACTTTCAAGCGAATCATGGGCAATTCTAATTACTCCCCACCGCCGTCCCCGATATGATTGGTGTCTCTGGATCAGGAATTAGTTCCTCGAAATGTCTCAAATACGACGAACCAGACCTTCGGACTGCAGATTTCTCAGTGCCGTGGCTACCACGAGGTAGCTCACGTCTGAGCGTGTAAGCCGGGAAACGCTTGCGGGATCATCCTAGCAACAAAAGTCACAGCATCTCACTGGCTTGCACTGGTGAGCGAGAAAAGGCTGGTTTTTCTCTCATTTCAAACAGTCTGTGAGTGGTCTGTAAGCACGTTCAAGGGTTGTGTGATCCACCAATGAGAACGTGGCGGTTCCGAGAAGTTCCCACAACTGTGATCTGGATGGTAACTGACGTATATAAAGTGGCGTCATATGTGAAAGATCAAGCAAGATTCCGTGATAACACCCTCCTAATCCACTACCATCATGAGCGGAAGACCAGCTACGGGTATGTCCACCAGCACTTTGAAGATCTTATCCCTGATCCGTGATCCTGCCATCAGAGTACAGTGCCTGGAAGAAGCTCCAGCAGACGTATGATACCCAACATGCAAGGCTCATCCTGAAGGATCTGTTCGCTCAGGACCCTAGCCGTTTCTCAAAATTCTCCGAGGAGTATGTCGACTCAACCGACAAGAACACAACATTCTTGCTCGATTACTCTAAACAACTCATTACACAACCCATCTTAGACACGCTCCTATCTCTCGCTCGCGAGGCAGAGCTTGAGACCTACCGCGACAAGATGTTTGCCGGCGAGCACATCAACACATCAGAAGATCGCGCCGTCCTACACGTTGCTCTCCGCAACTTCAATGATTTCAAGATCCAGGAGGGTGGTGTTGATGAGGTCGCTGCCGTACTCGCGCACATGAAGGAGTTCTCCGAAGCAATCAGGAGTGGTTCATGGAAGGGTTACACTGGAAAGACGATTAACACGATTGTCAACATCGGTATCGGTGGTTCGGATCTCGGACCAGTTATGGTCACCGAGGCACTCAAACCTTATGCGAAACGTGACTTGACCGCCCACTTCGTCTCTAACATTGACGGAACCACATCGCTGAGACTCTCAGACTATGTGACCCCGAGCGCACCTCTTCATCATCGCTTCCAAAACTTTCACCACCCAAGAGACTATCACCAATGCCGAATCCGCTCGCGATTGGTTCTTGGCAGCAGCCAAGGACAAGTCCCACGTTGCAAAGCACTTCGTCGCCCTCAGCACGAACACAGCGGCTGTCACTGCATTTGGCATGATAAAGCAAACATGTTCGCCTTCTGGGACTGGGTTGGTGGGCGCTACAGCTTGTGGAGTGCCATCGGCTTGTCCATCTCCATCTATATTGGCTATGATAACTTCGAGCAGCTCCTGAAGGGTGCTCACGGTATGGATAAGCATTTCAAGGAGACTCCCCTCGAGAAAAACCTTCCCGTGCTCATGGCTGTTATCGGTATCTGGTACAACGATTTCTATGGCGCCCAGACTCATGCACTCCTGCCCTACGACCAGTACCTACACAAATTTGCCGATTATTTCCAGCAAGGAGATATGGAGTCTAACGGAAAGTTTGTTACCAAGGGTGGTCAACGTGTTGACTACCAGACAGGGGTAGGTGCAATAAAACCATCTGCGCGGCAGAAACTGACATGATCTTGCACGTAGCCTATCATCTGGGGTGCTGCAGGCACTAACGGACAACATTCGTTCTATCAACTAGTGCACCAGGGCACGAAACTCATTCCCGCAGATTTCATCGCCCCTGCCACAAGTCACAACCCCATCGCCAATTCCAAGCACCACCGTATTCTGCTTTCCAACTATTTCGCCCAGCCTGAAGCGCTTGCATTTGGTAAGACAGAGGAGGAGGTGCGCAAGGAACTTGGCAGTGGTGCAAGCGAGGCGCTAGTGAAGAGTAAGGTGTTCGAGGGAAACCGGCCTAGCAACAGCATCTTGTTCCCGTTGATGACACCGAGAACCCTCGGTGCGATCATCGCGTTGTACGAGCACAAGATCTTCACCCAGGGTGTCATTTGGGGCATCAATTCTTTCGGTAGGGAAATGCCCAGTTCTCGATTTCTCGACCGCTGATGGTTTTGCAGATCAAATGGGTGTCGAACTCGGAAAAGTTCTTGCGAAGAACATCTTGTCGCAGCTGAATCACCCGTCCGATGTGACTGGCCACGACAGTTCGGTGCGTTTATCTCTTTACTATGTTTCGCTTTTTGGCTGAGGCAAAAGCGGCTTGCAGACTACTGGCCTTATTCACTACTACCAAAAGCACCGAAAAGAATGAACTGTGATCCGAAGGCTGTAATTTCGCGAGTAGACTGTAAATTAGTACCGAGGCATTTCTGCCAATTCTCGATAACAGTAGTTGAACGGGAGTGTAATCTTGACACAATTTCAAAACGCTTATAGATAAGAGATGCATCGATGGGCTTCGGCTTCAAACACCGGGTGACTCATAGTTCTGGCGTCGCTATCATTCCGAATCTGTGAATGGCTTGTCTCATTGAAGGACACTGCACGGCGGGCAATTCGCAACCCACATGCAGTATCATCACGTTACGAGCAGCGACATCATTCTAATGTAACGTACATATTGGTTTTCCCCTGAGACTTTGATGGTTCTCCATATAGATAACTCCAACGAATCATGTTCCCTGCAGAGTGCACGACAAGTGTAAATAAACCACAGTGTTTCCTCTGTTACAAAGCTGAGCCAGTCGACTTGTGTACGAGTTCCCGGAAAGCAACTGTACTCGTATCACTTCTGTCGTCCGGGTCCGCCATCCTCTCGGCATGACATTTTCGGACACTAAGGATGAGGCGTGGTCCCAATACGAACATTTGCACAGCCTGGGCGATTTGAAGAATGGAATTATAGATATAAACTCCCAATGAGGATGAACCCTGTACGAATGATGAGGACTTAATAGTCAGACGTAGATGTCAATCACGGATAACGTACCCCGATGGATGGAGAGAGACTACCGAGGTTCAAGCAAGCAACAGCAGCATATCTAGCACGCACAAAACTTCAGTGCGAAAATACAATAAAAATTCCTGATCATGAGCTCACGCCACGAAGTAGAATGCATGTGTTTTGATCAACACCCTGAAATAGTTCTGGATGGTCGATCTCGCCGATGGCGGTCGCAGTTCACGGAAGTATTTTGCAACGATCCAGACTGCGAGACACAGCATGGTAACCTCCCATGCAGTGGTTAGAATCCATGTCTCGGTTACCAGATGTTGATTGCCTCCTGTATAACCGCACTGATAGGTTCCGGAGAAAACGATTTCCACTGATGTTTGATGAGACTGCTGTGTTTAGGTCGATTATGAAGCTTACCCCCTGAGATACGGCTACTCGCGAGGACCGCTGCGCATGTGATGTTGACAGCAAGGAAGAATGCAACGAGAAATATGAGTATCTTTCTGGACCGCTGATACATGGCATATAACCGGGTAATCATGATGGCTAGAGTGATATTTCATTCGAGTCAACATCACTGATGATGAATGGAGTTGAGTAGCTCACCGCCTAGCATAGCATTTACGACTATAGATGTTACGCTTTGGAAGTAGTAAAGGATAGTGCCTGAAAAAACTTCGTGACAAGTTTCAGTACTTCTAAAAAAAACCTACAGCTGTGCAATGGTTATATTCGTTAAAGCAACAAGTTGGTCGAAACTTTTACTGACCTCTATGTAGAGATCTATTTAGTTCGAGGGTAGCGGTAGTGATTGCTCAGAATACTCACTGTATCTGACAGCGAGACTGACGGGAGAGTCCCTGCATACCATCAATCAAAGGAACGTTCTAGTATACTTATGAGACATACACAGCATGGTGAGGCTGATTGCGAGAAATAGTTGATTAGTACCGGGCCAACTTTTCAGCCTAACACACATACACAGGGAATATTATTCCAGTGCAACGCAGCTATATTGCTTTGGTGTCAGCAAAACTTGTCCACTAATGCTTGTAAGATGACTTACACTTATATATAATATAGTCATCAGAGACCAGCGTTTCCTCTGCCCCGAATCAACTCTATTATCCAGCTGTCCCAGATCTGGAAGAAACTTCCGCTCACCCATACCAGTTCGATCTGTAAAACGGCTGTCGGTGAGATGGCTGTCAGAGAGTCAACATCAGCCTACCTCTTGTCCCAACGTCAGTGCTGGTGAACGCCATAATTAACAATGTATGCAATCAGTACTATATTGCTTACCCCAGTCATATATGATGATAGCGAAGGATGCAACTGCAAAATCGCAGTCAAAGATAAGATGGGATCCGACTCGGTCTCCACGAACCTACAAAATAGCTGTAAAAGCGAACCAATTTGATTGGCGGCCATGAATCGGTATCACTTGAGCCTGTGGACATATCAAGGAGAGTCACGAACTTGGGCGTATGATCGAAGCACGTTCATGATTCGTGCTAGATATACCAACATCCGGCGCTTTTCAAGATAGGCATTTGTTATCATGCGCGCAGGGCAGAAGACTGATTGGGCTTGGGCTTGGGCTTAAATCAGAACTTATTTTTGGACCTGGAGTACCATGCAGCATACGACCAAGTATGGTATAGGCTCTTCAAGGGCAGAAAGTCTGAACACCGTTAGGGCCGCACATTGTCCTTCTGACTCCTTCAAGAGGGACGAGCCTGAATTGTTCAGCCTTGAAAGAACCATGCGGGCGGAATTTGATTTGATTCTAAAGTTCCTGCCAAATCGTAAGGAAAACTTGTCATTATAAGTCGGACCCATTCGGTTGCTAAACGTGTGAGGTAGTACGTGACCGAGGGTGTTCTGGACAGGACTACTATCGTTGGGCCAGAGTTGCAAAATCTGACGACCACATTTTCATATCTCGTTGTTTGCTACACATTAAGACAAAATAATTATACGGACCTGTAGCTATGTGTGTCACGGGAGAGCTCCAGCTGACAGAAGAACGAAAAGTGTTCAAACGATGCTGCCAGAGGGATGCCGATGCAAAATGTTAGAAACAGTAGAGAGTTGCAAAATTTCTCATGGGCAAGTTGGCACAGGTGTCACACTGTGTCACAGTGTCGGTTTTGCAAAACTGAACTCCGCCACGGCAAACGGTGCAATGAAAGGTGCAAGTCTCGAATTTAGAGTAAAAACATTGATTGCGGCGCGGGGAATCATTCTACAGGAGGAATATTAGTGTACAGTATGTAAAATATATGGTAAAGAATATTTATGGGTGACTATAGTACGAGTAAGATGCTTGTGGATAAAGTGGTGGTGGTATTGTACTGGAAGATGGGTAGTTGCTCGAATTAAATTGCATTGGCGGGTATAACCTATTATGTGACGCAAAAGATGCAGACTCGATTGAGGGGGGAAACGACGAATATTTGGAGAAGGAGAAGCAAGAAGAATAGCACAGACATCCTGAATTTTTTTCTCTCGCTCTTCATTGAGTTTCTGAGCTTTTGTTCTGAAGACATGAGCACGGCGCGCTGGCATGCAACAGCACTATTGAGTACCCGAGCAGTCTCAAGTCGTCATTGAAAGTTTTGCAGCCGTACACTGCCGCACTCAAAATTGGTTCTCCGCTCCAAGCCGTCACGCTTGATCATTCTCTGACATTGATGCTTGCATTGTCGATAATAACAGCAACTGTGCTTCGTTCTCACTGGAAGAATGCTCAGAAGGTGGGGGTAGGCATAAAGTGTGTGCGGGGAAAAAAAATCATTTTTCGGTTGTGATTTTTGCTTTCGCCTGACTATTCTACGTGAAAAAAGGTAACTTCGAATGATAGATTTGAAGCCGTATGTGTTCCTCATCTTTATTTTTATAAAACAAAAATACTGTACTATGAATATATGTTAGAAGGTCCTATATCCAAGAGTGGGGGACTTAAGATGTGATGTTGTGTGTGCTACGAGGCATTTTGCAACTCTCTACTGTTTTGCAACTCCGGCCCAATGATAGTAATGATCAATAAAGCTTCGAATGAGTTGCGCTTTTCGAATTGACAGCGCGATTGATTTTCTCTTCTTTCCTGAGGAAGTTGAATTGCAAGCACTGACTCACTGGGGAACGCAAATCTGATACATATAAAATGCATATACACTGCAACATCATGATGTGGGTATGAAGAGTTCAAGTGATTATATAAGCATCGCGCAGATGTTCAACTTGATCACGAAACGCGTCGGGTAAGTATTAGGTAGAGCTATTTTGAAGTTTTTAGGTAGGTCACCTATCGCAATTCATCAGCAGTCGATGGGCTATACGATTTTTACATGCTAACCGAATTCACGACATAGAAGGAACGACCATCTTCCTTTCACCACGATCGAGGACGATGGCTCATTCACTACCTCCAGAGCTATGGTCACATATCTTTGGTCTAGCTGCGGATGAGGATACAATTTTCTATCCTGGCCTTCCAACATCCATGACCCAGTCTTCTTGGGCACGTTCTGTGGTTACGGATTGGCAGCTAAGGACGCCTCGCGACTTGATCAACATGGTTCAGCGCAGGAGTTATGCTACCAAGAAGGTGTGCTGCGTTACACAACATAGACACTCATTTCTCATTGTAATCCTCTATAGTCCATCATATCAACGTGCTTATCATGGCGTAGTCTTGGCCTCGAATTCCTCGTCCGCTATTTATTTTTCAACGACCCTTCGAAGCTTCGCTCTCTTACTGTCCTTCTCGCTTCCAATCCCTCACTTGGGTGGTGGACACGCCGTTTACATATAACTCATTTTCTCTACGAGCGCGGTCCTTCCCTCGACGATTTTGAAGCCGCCCTCATATCTGTACTCACCCAGACTCCTAACCTAGAGATTTTCATCGTCGATTGGCCTCTATCAAGGGCATTTGGCCCCATTGCGGACACGCTGGGTATGTATTGCAAGAACTTGCGCACTGCTCACTGGCATGTCCCCGCCGAACTCCTTCCCAAGGTCATATGGGCATTAGACGCCCTCCCACTCCTAGTTTCGCTTGCCGTCGAGTTCGATGCACCACTCCAGGATTCTGACACGCTCACCTTGGGAAGCGCACAAGATGTTAAACTCTACCTCCCAAACCTTCAGCAGCTCATCCTGCGTGGGTACTCCGCTGAATTCATTGAACAAGCCAGCGGCTGGACCCTCCCTCTTCTACGCAGCTTTTCCTTTGACTTTGGCAACAAATGCGAAGACGTTCCTGATATTTTACCCTTCCTCAGCACCCACGGGACCGGCCTGCTCTTCCTTGATCTCAACTGTATCCCAGCACTTGATATCCGCAAAATCCTAGACCTATGCCCTCTCCTCACCGCTTTCTCTTTCAATCTCGATTGGAAGATAGCGCCTATCACCCAGAATGCCGACACAGGAGACGGACCAATCATTCTCACTAATCGTCCACACGAGCATATCGCACACATCGGGCTCCATGGGTTGCTTTTTGCGTTCGGAGTAGGCCTTGCTAGCGCTTATGCCACCCCCGACCCTCTTCGCGCTCTCCTTGTGCAGCGTACGAATGACAGGAATTTTGAAGCGCTCACTAAAGCGAGTTTCCCTCGACTTGAACGAGTGCGCGTGTTGAGCACGACGGTGCTCATGGACTTAGAGCGTGCAGACGGGCCGCAAGGGAGTGGAATGGAGCGCTGGGAGAGGTGGGCAGGGATGTGCGAACGCAGGGGTATCCGTTTGGAGGACTGCACAGGCGCACTATTGGGTACGTTACCTCAAGAGTTTGGAGAGGAGGAAGAGGAAGAGGACGAGGATCAGTTTGAGGAAGATGATTTTCTAGAAGACAATGAGTATTCTTATACGGACGATGAGGAGCCGGCCAGACCAGGTGGAGTGGGTTTGTCAGAACTGAGGGCACTGCTAGAAGAATGTAGGAGGATGAGCGAAGAACGTGAAGACCCGCCGTTTGCATTAGCGTATCGATGACTTTGGGCCATGGGTGTTTTGTTCTTGCTTTGTTAATATTCATTTTCACTGATCATAAGTTTCATGTAGTACCGGATACATAAGATAGCTATTCACATAATTTATTCCACTGATAGTTCATTATGATCTTGGTCCCGTGAAAATACTATTTATATGGGTGGTTGAACAGTTGTACATCGTATTTGTGAAGATATACACAGCTGGGTGTAGTCCCGTGAGCAGCATGCCACCTTCTGCGGCCAGCCTACATCCTCTAGGCAACACATATTTGCGACATTAGCGATTCAGCTCAAACGCATTGCCCCTCACAATGACCTGGATATATCTCGTACTCACAAACACCTACATAATGTGCCCAGCCCACGTTAAGGTACCAGCATTCAACGGGGTACATGAGAATTTTTTGGGCAATAATGACGCGGCACCACTGGAATTGTCAGGACTAGTCAATAAATTTCAGCATACTTACCATATTGCATTATCTTGGATGGTTGTAACGTGTGCTAAATCCAAAACACAATCATGATGGCTGAAAGAATTTCACATTGGTATGACTCGGACGAGGGAAAATAACGACATGGATGCTGCAGTGGCTGCGGTGAGTCAACGTTTCATCAACTGGCTTCAATTTCCGAGGTAATATCTCACTCTACGCAAGATTGCCAACAGACTGGCTTCAATTTCTAAGGTAATATCTCACTCTACGCAAGATTGCCAACAAACTCGCTTCATAGGGTAGGTTTTATGTGGCGATCTGCTGGCATGGCAGACACCATCTGCTCGATATGAATTTCAGGTGGATAAATTCTCACTATATTTAAATGAAGAAGAATACTTGACACATCAAAACAAGGCGATTTCCTACCATCAACACCTTGCAGAGATTTATTTGATCTCATACCAAATCCTCGAGAAATGCGTCTTTCCTTTGTCCTCGCCGCTGTTGTTGCTTTGACAGCATCAATGTCTGCCAATGGCTGTCATACTTTTTGCAAACATACTAGGGACTGCAGAGGGTGCGGCCCAGATTCAGAGTGTGTGAGTGGTCTGTATCCTGGATCTATCCACATGACTTACCGGCGTGGTAGATCTTTTATATATGCAGCGACTGATAAATTGGGATTAAATAAATCCAGTGAGCGGATATGAACAGGTTGTCGAGCGGCCCCATACTTATTACAAGACACAGCTATCTACAAAACGATAGGCCAGAATTTCACAAATACACTTAGCCGCTTGTGTTGAACGGTTGTTGTTGGAGTGAGACCAAACAGAAGCGCTCACGCTAACTACCTTTGTAGGTCATATCACAACTCATCAGTAAATCACTTGGTTCTGTACAGTGTGCCAGCCTGACAGCTTGGTCCCTATTGGCTAGCTCACCACAGTACCAATTCTTTCTGTGAGATTATGTGCACACACTCTACAGACACCCAGAAAATGGCTCTGGTACAATCAAATAGCACTGTGCTCGCTGTTCGCCCATTCTAACACATATAACTCAGGTAGTGCTGCCGAAGTCCGGTTCTAATTTTCCGAACGCCAAACCAAAGCCGTTTGGTCAAACCCTGGACCGAACCAGGTTCGACCTACAGATGATGGGCTACTGTCATCACGCCTTATCGTGTCCTTTTCCCTCTGGAGTCCGTGTCTTAAACGCTCCTCTACGCACAACATCCTCCACAATCCTTCTCGCTCGATCTACAAAAATGCTCTGGTCTCCTGGAAGCCTTTCGCGACCTACGCACCAAATTCAAACCATGAGCCGTGCTACATTGAGAATTCAAGGAAATGCAACACCCACCTACAATCGCCCAGTTCCGCGTGCTAGGTATCCGGAGCGTGTCGCACTCAATCTTCCAGCCCAACCACCGGCTCAAACGCGCAAGCCAAATGCGATAGGCTGAGTATTGAGACTTGTGCGTGCCCTCAGCGCCCATACCGAGGCTGGAAATGAACATAGCTTCGTCCTCGGCCTCGCTTGACACCACACCAGTGGCAGCGTCAAGCGATTCATCATTAAACAAATCGAGCGCTGACGCCGCAGACGAGCGAGTAAACCTCTCATCGAACATCCATGCACAGCAGGGTATGGAGAGGTACCCGCTCGCACCCGTGAGCGTTGCTAGTACAGGGAGCCATGGTGTCAATTCGTCTGCGTGATTCCCAATGAGGAATACTCCGGGCTCCCAAAGCGATTTCTGTTCATCGTTGCTGCTGTCTGGGGAAAGAAATTGAGTGGGGTCAAGTGCGTGCACCTTTAAGGCTGCCTGTGATGAGTTGGGGTAATGTGCCCAGGAAGTCCGTGCGCGGAGATCGATACCATATCCAGAATAGCCTTCAGCCGAGAGAATATGTGTCAATAAGCCATTGCCACAGCTGCATCAAAATGATAAAAGACGGTAAAATAGATAATGTTGCAGGCAAATTCACCCAAGATCAAGGAATCCTCCAGATGGACGAGGCCAAGATGTCCATCGTGAATTATCCAGCTCCTTCACGTCGGCTAGATCAGCTGAAGCGGCGAACATGTCCTTCCAGAAAAGCATAAGATATGTTGCGATGCCGATGTCCTAGGCAAATCAGCTGCTGGTATAAACTTTATACGGAGTGAATTCATACCTCAAACACATGCTTCAGGGGATCAGTGGACTCCCTCCATGTATTTACTATCCCTTTATGGCGCTCGCGCATTCTGAGATATACGTCTTGATATATTTCTCGGGGTATGAGGACATCATGTTGTACGCGTTTTTGATAATGAGTGAGTGCACCCCAAAGGTAACGGTGGAGTGTGTCGAGGAGTGCAAGTGCCGTACGGTAGAGGCGACCGTTTGGGTCTGTAGGCGTGCCAGGGAGTGGAATAACTTCAATGCGCAGTGCCGATTGTGCGGAAGTTGAATCTGAGGTTGTGGTAATGCTGGAAGGGATGAACCGGAAAGCAAGATGTGACACCGTAGGATGGTAGTAGGGCAGGCTCTCTCCTTCGGGTACAAGCGGTGTAAGAACCAACATGGACGGAATACCCGTAAATTCACCGGTTTCAAAGGCGTAAAGCGTACAGTGCTGTTCTAGCCCCGAGTCTCTACCTGGCCTACGCGGTAGCAGCTTGCGATGTACATTGCGTACAGGGTAGTATCCCTCCAGGCATGGAACAGACGTCGGGATGGTAGTATCGGAGTCTGAGATGGTCTCTGAGCGTAAGATCAATGTCGAATTGTATTCCGGGTGATGAATCAATTGCGAAACAGCTGCCTCGAACTGTTATAGTAAATCGGATCAACGACAACTCGGAAAGCACATAGCCTGTATACTGCGCACCAATTCAAGCGGGACATCTACGGGACAGCTAACCAATGACTGGAATCTGAAGTGCAAAGGATTGGAATCTGAATTGCGCAGCGACGGTACGTCGTGGTGAAGCGGGTGGACATCATTGACACATGATAAATTCGAAGGATTGAATCTTGGTCGCTGAACTGAAGGCGTCGTAGCCATGTGTGTAGGCGAAAATTGGCAACTGGTATAGCGCTACACAATGATAATGACTAGTAGTGAGTGATCCGATGGCACTGATCAAGCATTATGCGTTATGCATGGAGGTCAATTATCAAGATATAAATTGCAATTGCAACGTTGAGCACCGGAGCTGGTAGAAACGTCTGAAGCAAGGACCTGGTGTAATGTGGTTTAGAAAGATGAAGAGCCGATCTAAAATTTTCCGAATCCTCAAAACGGTCTCAATCCACTATCATTACAAATTCCATTTCTATCCACAACTCTGTACGAGAAAACAGCGCGGTCTAGATATAAGTCCTGCTCCCTATCTGCCATGCGGTGAGTTATTAGTGTCACTTTGATGAAAACATGCAGCACATGACGCTTGCATCAAGCGACAGTGAACGATCGTGACGCTGAAGAGCAAGATGTCGAAGGATGGCATCGATGCTAAAGTCTTTGGTTCGAGTCCGATATATCCCAGCTGCAGGCTGCGTGCAACATCACAAAGAAGCCTAGCAGGCAAATCAGATAGATTTTCTCTATAGATGTGGTCAGAAGATGAAAGCCAAGCAGGATCACATCGAAACTTGGCGTCGGGCGAGGAGGCTACACTCCATATGCAGGTCTCCTAGACAACCTTCATAGTGTTGAAACACGATACAATGGACATAAGCACGTTCGACGAGCAACGCCCCAGTAACCCAAATATTGATGTTCGAACCATCAAAAGTCACCGAATCCACACGACAATCTGGGAGATGCCTCGAACATGAATCGAAGTGGTCGATAAGCGCCGAGTGTAACCAGGTACGCGCAATAGCGAGCATGGCCAGATGAGCCTCGGTATGATCAGTGGGTCATAATCCAGTGCACATCGACATCGTGTATACAGCAAGGGAACGATAATTGATATCAATTGCACGAGGTTTCATCAAGGGACATTTATTCAAGAACGCTGCCATAGGTAGTAGGGCCCGGGGATTCACCTATGCAACCTGAACTTGTGGAAGGCTTCAGAGACACACGACAAATACCAACCAGATACGGTCCAGATCCATAGAGTACAAGAATTCCAAAGGCAAGAGGTAAATAAACAACAGGTTAAATTTCGGAGAGAACGACAAAGACCTGGGCTGGCCAGGAGCTGGAGGACACTCGAAAGTCGTGCAAGAATGGAAATGTTTTCCCACATCCCTCTGAACCCGACCGCTTCCGAAGTACTGCAGTCGGGGAGATGTCATTCTAATTTGTTTCCCAGTGATGTGGCAATGAGCTACTACGGTCGTTGTCGTCCTACCTCGCATCAGTCATGAGGTCACATCTACTAAACTAGTCACTTCAATTTATCTTTTCTCTTGAAATTGTGGGCTTTACAGACTATTCCGAAAATACAACGCCACTGCTCTAAGCTTGTCTAGACTCTGGACGCTGCGGATATGCTATTTGATGTGGAGTTGGAAGGTTTTGTGCTCAGAAGCATGTTTTTATGTAAGTAAGTTGCACGCTTGTAGTACGAGTTGATGCAATTTTTCTGAGTGTCGTGCTTAAAATTCACAGCTGATGGCGGCACTACTGGAATGGAGTAGCATTGTAGGCTTTCTTGCTACGATAAATACCCGGAGAACGTGGCAGCATTAGAGCTCAGCACCTCGCCCCTTGGTTCCTTAAGTGCTATCGATATTCTTCTAATAAGGACTTTCTGCCCAGGATTTAAATCCCGAGTAACATACATGGGGCAACCAGAGATGCCGATCCTCTTATAACAACCGTTTTGCACTTTTGTAAGAGGTGAATGAGCTAATTTAGGTTTCACACTCGTCGAAATACCCCTAACCTCGAAACCCCTCTCAACTACTTCGAACATGGCCACCGTTTCCCCAAGCACATATCAGCCTACAGGCGCCCCCCACGATTATAATTCACAAAGTTCAGCTGGACCGAAGGTATATCATGTCCTGATAGTAGTGAACGAGTCTTTTCTGACAGCCTTGCCTCTCTCAAGCCAGTGCAATATGCTCCTGACGATCCCAAACCACGCCAGGAGCAGATGCAACCCACAGGACATATGGACGCTTCAGAGGTGCCACAGGATAAAGGGAAACCAGCGGGACAGTGGACTGATCAGAGCCAAGAAAAAGAGCAGGAAGGCTCCGGTTCGGGTGCAGGGCACCCTGGACAACAACAAGATCGACCCCGTAACTATTGGCACACTGGGCTATTTAATTGCTGGGATGACGCTGGGACTTGTGAGTTCCATACAATCTTACCACGAAGTAAATCAATCGATCCGTAACTTACTTAACAGATTGCATGTCGTGTTGGTGTCCTTGCATGGTATATGGGAAGAACCGACACCGGCTTGACCACTTGGAAGAAAACGATACGGCAGATCCGGAACATGGCGGTTCGGGCTGTGATGCCGATTGTTGTATGCATCTAGCGCTTAATGTAATGTGCGGTTTCGGTTGGATACTGCAGGTGAGCACATATTTTGTCGTTCTTCACAGGTACATGTTAAGAAAGGTTGGTAGCTTGGGCAAAGAGCCACATTGAGAGCACGCCACCACATTGATGGAAGCCCTGTCAACGATTGCTTGACTGCATACTTTTGCACCCCATGTGAACTCACCCAAGAGAGTCGAGAATTGACAGAGGAGGAAATGACTGCTGCCAACACTCAGAGACCCGAACAGACTGATAATAGATAATTATTGCGGACTGGCCAGAATTCTGTATTGCTACAACTGCTTCTAAGACTTCGACTCACCCCCTTTCCTTTCACGCGTTGTTGATCATCCCTTTTTCTTTCTTAAAACAGCCATGTATACGATGTCTAAAATTGTACCATTTAGTCTTCATTAGCTCTTCTCTCCTATATACGTGCTCACGCTAATGCTGGGGAAAAAACTGCAATATATAGTCATGTCTTAGCACCGGTTTACTGATTGGTGATGTCTTGACACTGCAGGTAGCAACTTTGACTCAATCAGACTCCAGCAGGCTCCGACACTGGTAGATAGTTACACGTAACAATTTGATCCGAGTCCCTCTTTTAGTCGGAGTCGTCGAAAAGACAGTCAAACCCAGACTCCAAACCAATCGGCGGTGTGTAGAGAGCCTTAATCCTAGTGTACAAATACAACCATACAAAGTTTTTCCGACATAATTCCGACTTTTTGTTGGGCTCTAACACACCTAGCTGACTGGCACAACTTGCTGTGGCGCAAGATTATGTTCTGTTTGTCTCGCCATAAAATCTCAATCCTTTTGGGAAATCGTCCACCGGTGTCCGCACAATAATGAATAAACTAATATTATTATTAAAAGGGTTTAAGCGAAGAGATGCAAACATTCGCCGCACGATGAACATGCTGCACCTCGAGGCCACTAGCTATAGATCAAAGTGTGATTGGTACTGATTGCAGAATAGAGCCTTTTTCCCCCCATGCAAGCCGCTAATTCAATCAGCAACATATTGCATGCCCTCCAGACCAATCAATTGTCTGTCGCGGGCTTTGTGCAGGGTTTATTGAATAGCAAAGATCTGCATCGTCACATTGGGCGCAAGTCTCTGCTTCACAATGCTGGAAACATCTGTTCATTGCTCTATCATCAAGAGAGCGCCCACGAGCCAGTATCAAAATGGGCAATTGCAGCAGTTACAAAGATAATCTGCAGAGAAGTTACTGATTTGAGCCATGAGAGGCATGGGCTACATTTCAAGGCAAGTGCTGCAACGGTCGAGCAGCTCAAAGGCAAATTTATGGAGATGATGGCAACAAAAATGCGTACGGTAACACCACTGTTGTGGGGCCTCATCAGCGCTCTCCTCGACAGCCATCAGGACCGCCATCATGCCATGATAAATCTTGATGGCATGGCAAGTAGCCTCCACTCACGGTTTTGGCTCTGCGCTTCAAGTCGCCAGCAGTCAAGCATCGATGCTTGAAGGTCATGATGTATGACTTCATGCATACATCAAAATCCAGGCTTGGTAACCATCTTCTTGGTTTCGTCTGGTCGCAAGTACCCCACTGACTGGAACAGACTATTCTCATCATCTCTGCCTTCCTTTGGCTGAAGATATATACGCCAGAGCACATCCGCACATGCCATCTTGTAGTGGAAAAGCCTGGGAAGAAAAACAACATATTGTAAGCAGTTTTTTGGTGTTGTTTCGATTCTCCTGCTGCCGCCAACAGTGTCCAGCCTTTCCTTCGTCAAAAGGTCACCATGGACAAGGAGTATGTGATCTGACATGTCTATGTCATGGTCCTTGTTGAAGTCGTCACTATTTTGATCTCCAATCCCCCCTTGACGAAGTAAGTTTTCCATCACTTCAACATTTCCATCTGTTGTTGACTGTTTGATGTTCATGGCCCGGCAAGGTACCTGCTCAGTCTTGTGCAAGGGTATGCGGTCCACTGGTGCTGGCTCGCACAACTCCTTCTCAAAATGTCGAAAATGTCAGCCATGGTGGACTAGGATCTCCCAAACATGCCACGCAAATGCTTCTTGCTGTGGACTAGGTCTCATTGGGTTTGGCTGTTGGTTGTAAGTGTCGTCTTTATGCAGTCGCATCATAGATTTAAGTTCGATAAACAGAGGATGTAGTGGGTTGAGAGGGAGGGTTGGATTGCGAGGGTTTCATTCCCACATCCACTGGGTGTTACGACTTGGATGGTATCTGTTGGCGACGCTCAAACAGAGCGTGTGTCGTCAACGGTCGAGGACGTCCTTGGGCTAGCCCAAGGTTAGGGGTCTTACTTGGCGAGGCTTCGGCAAGTAAGATTTGACTGCCTATGTCCAAATTGGGTAGCTTATGTCAAGTGGGTGTGAGACGATAAGCTATATCGGCCTAGGCTTACGACACCCGAAGGTTGATCGTAAGATCGTCGTTAATTAGAAGGACAGAAGTCCGACTAGTTAACAGGGGCTTTGCTCATCAACGAAGTCGATGAGTAAAGATCGAGACTATAGGCTTATCCACGAAGAGCAGATAAGAAGATAGAATATAGACTGCTGGCGAGGCAGAAAGGATCACTCTGGTGAGAGTAGGAGGTCAAGAACCAAGTAGATTCAAGTTAAGGAATATGTTACATGGTAGCAAGTTTATATAGAGGATGGGACGCGTATTAGTGGATGATAACTCGTACTACCAAGAGAAGTAAACGGTAAAGGGTATAACCATAATAGGAAGGCACATTCGAGGTGAGACACGGTCGAGTCCTGAATGTGCAGATAAGAAGTGAGTCAAAGATCAGAATAAGAAGTGAAACGCGCAGGGGCACAACCGTGCAACTGCGGAACTAAGTATAAGTCGCATGTGCGACTGCGCATCGAGTCAGAGATCAAGAAAGGGAATAGGGCAAAGGGGATGCGTCGTGCATCATATCATAGGTTACCGTCCGGACGGTAAGGGCAAGGGGACTGTCCATAGGATCAGTCAGGTGGTGGAACGGAGCATGGGTATGCTTCGTCAGCGAAAGGGTCCGGCCAGATGTACTGGCTTTGCTGAAGCGACAGGTAGAGAGCAAAAGGGAATGTGAGGATGACAAGGATAACAAGGGTGAGGTCGGGGTAAGGGTATGACGCGAGGGCTGATATGAGGAGGATTAGGAGAAAGATGGTAGGGGCCCAAGCGTCTAGATGTTCTTGTAACACTGGGAACAGCGCAACTGGTTGGCGCTGTTCACGCCAAACAGTGGTATGACAGTCACAGAGATTGCACTGACAAAATTTGAACGGTGCTCGAGCGTTGGCTGATCAGTTTTGAAGTCAATATCAAAGTTATCGTAAGCAAATGCTGACTGTAGTGATCAAACTGCGTGTCTTATTCTAGCTGATGTTTGGTTTGATACAGATTGGACAGTGCTGTGGATTGAAGAAATGCTGATGGACAGACTGGCATGAGCGAGCGTTATTGAATATACACTCAGTTGGCTATACAAGCAACTGTATTAGTATATGTACCTATTGAATATACACTGAATGAAAGTATTAGCTAGGTAAGTAGACCGTAAATGAAAGTGTCTCACCTCAGTTGGCTATACAAGCAACTGAGGTGCATAGATGACAATGAACAAAGAAAAACCGTACGTGATTATGTAAGTAAGCAGTCACGTGTTACGATAACCGTTATCGTTGTTTGTACTGACTTCCAACACTCCTTCTCAAACGATGACTCTAACTCCTAGCTCGTGTGCGAAATGCTTCGCCTTAACTGCTTGGAAGGGCCTTCGTTAGCGTGTCGGCGACCATGTTCTCTGTCGGGCAGTATAATAGTTTGATCGAGCCGTTCTCGACACAGAAACGAATGTAGTGGTATCGAATATCGATATGCTTGGTGTGTGCATGGTAGCTTCCGTCTTTGGTGAGTGTGATTGCTGACTGGTTGTCACTGTATAGTGTTGTTGGGTGCTGCAGCGGCCGAAAAACTTCCCCGATGAAACGACAAAGCCATTGAGCTTCCTTGGCTGCGTGAGTGGCCGCTACGAATTCTGACTCTGCAGTTGACAGGGTTACTAGCTCTTGCTTTTGTGAGCCCCACAATATTGCACCGCCGTCAACCAAAAACGCGAATCCGGTTATGGCACATCTGTGCTCTTGACTGGCGCCATCAGCGTCAGTATACCCGACTAACCCTGCACCACTTGTCCCAAAAGTGAGTCCCAACTTCCTTGTTCCCAGCAGATAGCGGTATACCCGCTTCACTCCTTCCCAGTGCGTCCACCCTGGCTTGTCTGCAAACTGCGCGAGTGTCAAGACGGCAAAGGCTATGTCTGGACGTGTTCCGATGGCCAGGTACATTAGGGATCCGAGCGCTGAGCGGAACAGGACTCGTTTCATTTCAGCGACTTGTGTCGTTGTGGTAGGGGATTGGTCCTGTGTGTACTGAATACTTGGGTCCATAGGCACTGCTGCGGGTTTAGCATCAACGAAGTTGTACTTCATAATGATAGCGTCGACAAATGATTCTTGGGATAATGAGACGGTGCATGCTTCACGGTTTCGAGTGACTTTCATGCCGAGTAACCAGCTGATGGGTCCTAGGTCTGTTATTCTAAATCACTATGCGATTTCGACCTTGAACGCTTTAATTAGCTCCTTCGAGCTGCCAGTTATGGTGCAGTCATCGACGTGTGCTGCAAGGATGAGCAGGTCTTCTCCTATGTGTGCTGTGAACACTCCCCAGTCACTTTCCATCCGCTCGAACCCTAATTCGGTGAGTTCTCTGCACAAATGTTTGTACCATTTTAATGCGCCTTGTTTTGATCCATACAGCGCAACTCGAAGCTTCGCGACCTCGTCCTTTCCTCCTAAGTCCACTCCTGGTGGCAACTCCATATAGATCTCTTCATCCGCGTCAAGCTTGCCATTCAAAAACGCACTGTGGAAATCGAATATGTCAATGTCCCAGTCTTGGCGCATGGCGATAGCGAGAATCAGTCTCAACGATGCGAGACGAGCCACTGGTGCGTAAGTCTCGTAATAATCAACACCGTATACTTGAGTGAAGCCTCGTGCGACTAGCTGGGCTTTATACTTATTGATTTCTCCTGCAGCGTTCCTTTTAATCTTGAAGACCCACTTGCAGCTGATGACATTCTTGTTCTTGGGCCGCTGAACAATGTCCCAGGTACGTGCTTCATTGAGACTCTGTAGTTCTGCATTGACGGCGTCTCTCCACTTCGCCCAATCAGATCGTGTCTTCGCATCTTCGATGGTGCTTGG